TGTTTGTTTCCCATTGCAGAGAAGGTTGAGCCGTGAGTGTAACTATTAACGCCACTATCAAGTGCATTTTGAGGAGACAAATATACAACAGAAGCACTGGTGAAGTTGCAGGACTTCATCGCCCTTTATATCTATCGATGTCTGACGAAGTAATAATATTTCATTACTATAGCTTATCTATGAAATCTCAAACATTGCTTTTAAGTTTATTAAATTGGCAAGTTGATAAGTATTTTCAATATCATTCTAAATTTACCTCCACTTTCAGTGATTCCCTTTATTTCCTCAACTCTGGTCCTCATTTCGCTTCAAGTGAACTCTCCTGATTTCCCGGCACACATCAAGTCAATTATATTTTGCTTTGGTGCCTTTTGGGGTTGCACAAGCGTATCGGGAAACTTTTTCATTCTGCTTTTGGGCGTCATCCCTGAAGAAAAAAAGTTTACCAGTCTTTCATTGGCCTCTATTGTCACGCCCGAATGTTGATGTTTGTCAACAAAAGTTGTGCAAATTGACAAATATTGCCTCGCATGCTCGCAATCTCTCTTCTTTTATTATTCTGCCCTTGCATACACGATAATTGATCTCTCAAAGCAGGAAGATGACACTGACCATATGATGGAGATATTTGTCTTGCAATATATCTTTCGGGGTAGGCGAACAATTTATTGCTTATTTACCGGGGGATGAAATTTACATAAATCGCATAGAAAGAGAAGAGATTGATTTACGATTCATTTTTTTCTCGGCGAATCATGCGATTCCTTGTTTCCCATCCGTGAGCACCCCGTGAACGTTATAATAAAAAGTTATGTGTTCTTGTGATAAAATTGACTGGCTGTCAATAAAATTCTCGTCTTGTCTCCTTGTCGTTGTTTCTCGTTCAACATGCCACGCTTGAGGATATTTTATCGTCATTTTTTTGTCCATCACGAGGGTCCACTTTGGTTGTTTGCTGTGAGGACAAGACAAGTGTAATTTTATGGTTTATTTTCTAAATTTTATTGCGCTCTCCAGTCGTGCTCAGTGAGACGAAAACCAATTAAAACTTGCAAAAGGCTTCGAGGGATGTCTCATTAGCGAAGGTCACTTTGCCGACACGTTTTGCTCCACTATTAGATTAAAAAGTTATCGCGCGCGCGAGCTTAAGAGTGTATAACCAGGCGAGAGACTCGGCTTTTGGCACGAAATCTTAATGCAGAGATTGGGAATTTATGGCCTTCGAAACTTCAAAACAGCAGCGAATATATCCTGAGGACATTCAAAGGGAAGGGACGAACAGCGTCGCTATGTTCCCTGTTTTCCACTCGATTCGGGGACGAAAAAGAAAAGCAAAGTTCTTCAATTACTTTGGAGCGCATGTTAGTAAATTACCAAGCCTGAAATTTATGTGAAGCAATAACAGTGTAATTTAGGACTATTTGTAAGGCTGTTGCTGTAAGAATTTATGCCATCTTGCACTTTTCAAATTAAAAATATATATATACATACGAAGATGAGCACCCGAAAAGTGTCTCTCGTGCAATGGGGATATTCTACCACATCTAAACCCTTTAATTTCACCTACAGAAAGCGTGGAAATGGGGTTTTGCCGTTTTTCTGGTTCAGCAGTCAAGAAAGAGTCATATATTTCTGGCGAGTGACTTGGGCAAAAATCCTCTCGTAACACGCCCATTGAAATAAAATTGTGAGGAGAGGCTTTAGAATTGAGGAAGGATTATTCTATTTGCCCTCGTATTCGCTCTCAGCATCGGATTTTCAGGGTTGCGGCGCGCGTTTGTAAACTTCCAGAGCCAAATCCAACCTTTCAGATCAATTCATGTGATTTAAGCATGAATTAATCCGCCAGACTTCTTTTGCATGGCAAACATGAATATTTCGTGGCCTCCCAGGCGAAACAGCATTTCATATGAGAGCCTCGCATGAATTTTTGCCCTGCGCTACTCGTGATGAATAGAAAATTGCGATGCTGAAGGTGTGAATGGTGAAATCAATATCGGATCTGTGTGGAGAAAAGCATTGAAATGCAATCCGTAATCCCTTAAAGAAGACCTTATTCTGTGCGCTCAACCTCCGTGGAAAGTGCGAAGAAGCTCAACGAGTGACTCTTTGAGCAATTAAATGATTTTCTCACACCCTCTCACTCGTGCCGACGTCAAAAACTCAAATTTCATTCATCCACCCACAACTGTGATTCCGCCAGAGCTCCTGAGGCTGAAAGGGTTCTGCGGCGAGGCGGAGGGTGGCAAATAAATGTAGCAGTTACTGAAGTGAAGAACAAGAATTTCGTTTCGTATTATTGTTCTTCGTCGTATAATCGTAAATTAAATGAGAAAATTGTGTATCTTTGTCTTCAGCCATTCTCTCACTCTTTCACCCCATTCAGCATCTCCCTTGCGCCCATTGTCTTAAATGTTCTCACTGGTGTGGGGCTTTTCCTGAAGACATCTCAAATGGAGCTTACGAAAAGTCACACGAAAGGCTGCTTTCCTGTGCACAGAATTTTGACTCTCTGGAAACGGTGTGTCTTCAGCGAAAAGTGTTTGCTTTCTCAGTGGCTGGCAAAATGGGAGAATTCTTAATGGAGTTTAACTGCACAGGATGATAGGAGAAAAGTCCTCTTATTTGCACTTCCATCCTCCACAATTTCCCAACCAAATACACACTTCATTTGCTTTGAACTCGTAGCGCAAGAGACAAAGAAATTTTAATGAAAATTATATTACATTGTACTTGTGATACGCTCTCATTTCATGTCGAATATGAGAGCGGTTCAAGCATATAGATTTTGAATAGAAAACATTTCACGCAAAAAATATTATAACTGAAACAAATTCTTGGCGGTAGTGCAAATTATTAATTATTCTGCATGATTGCAGCAAAATTATTGTAATGAATTGATATCTGAAAAACCGAGTCCTTCAGATAAACAGTATCTATATTAATTTGCACACTTCTTCAACCCTTCTGATTTCGCACTCGTAAGACAGCTCACTTCCACGGAATTTTTCTGTAAGCACAAGCCAAACTGTCTTCAAGCGTGTGAAATGAAATTTGTTCCACAACACTAAACTATAATACAGTATTTAACTTTCAATTTAAATACATCCGGCTCTTGAGTACTTGGAGGATTTCGAGGGCGGGAGGAAAAGTTTTGCTATCGGCACTGCCTCCGTATTTCATAATTTATCGTGCTCGCAGGCAGTGAGGAAAAATAATTTTCCGCCTCTCCTCAGGCACAGACGCAGTGAAGTGTGTCCATAAATAGGATCGGAAATCGCCCATTCCCGCCCTCCAAACTGCATCGCCAAATGTGTGTCGCTTAATCGCCGGAACGCCGGAATGACGATCACAATAGAATTTAAATGAAACTCATCTCTCTGTCTCGTGGGCTCTACAGGCATCTTGAGAGCGTCCAATTTCCACCCCATTCGCTAGACAATGGGACAAAACACAGAGATTGTCAGCTTATTGTTGGTCCCAAAATGCGAAATCGATGGTGACGCCCATTTAAATTCTAAGCATTCACTTGAGATGACTTGTCTCTCAAATTGTTCCATATTCCATCCCATTTGGCATCGCAATACATTCGATTTTGATTTTGACCTTTTATTCCTATTGTTGGCCTTTTCCAATTAATTCTCCCACGATTATTCCCAGAAATCTCATCCAGTCGTTTCATTCTCCGCACTTGCAAGTGCCTCAGCTTTAAACCAACTTTCGGGGTGTTTAATTAAATTTCCACTGGTGGTATTTTTCTTTCAATCGCGCTAAGCAAACGAATTTCAGTTGGAAAGGTGAAATTGGGGAATTTTCCACAGGGGAAAGTTCATTTGAGTTATAGTTGGGTTTATTTGAATTTCGATAAAATTGATAATTGAAGTTGATTCAACCCACTCTCGGCAAATTGTTTGCTTTCCCAATTGTTTGCCCGTAAGTTTTGAATGATGAACATGTTAATTGCAAAAAACCCCATGAAATTAATGCGAAGAAAAATCCGTCAGGAGTCATAGAATTCCAATTTTACATTTGAATAGTCAAAGTTGGTCTTTCATCTGCAGGGAATTGACGCAGGGGAAAAAAAACAAAATCGGGGTATCAGCAATAGAATCGGGTAGAAATGAATGGCTTATTTCTGTTTCCAGGAATCCAACTGAGCACGACATGAGTAATTAGTATGCAATTCAAAAGCTTGCACAACTCATAAACATCAAATGTGGTCAAAGTGGTAAATTTATTTGATTCTGTGGCTTTTGGCCCTGCCAACGAACTCTCAACTGCCACTCTGGTTGTCTCCTATAAAGCAGGAAAAATGTCCTCAAATTAATGTGCAGACCAGCTGAATTTGTACAAAATTAATGCCAAATAGATTGCTAAATAAATGTTTCTGAAATCGCCTTTTATATGTTGCCGGTGAACCAAAATGCGACATTTGCGCATCGATCTATGAGGATTTATGGAAATTGCATGAAATGTTTTGGTTCCGAAATATCGTTGGGCGTGAAGGAGGAAAGGGAAGTGACTTTATTTGAGACAAAGTTGACCTGTTGAAGGTTTTACCTACAATTTTACTCACTCTAAAGTTAGTATAAGTGTTATTCGCGCCATGTGTCATTTCACTTTATATTTGAAGAGAGCCAACATGCTATTTCGTCCCAACTTTGCCCAAGAGTTTAATTACTAAAGGGGTAGCAAGCAGCAGTGAAGTAGTCTTGGTAAACAGACACCGAGCGTTTCTCAAAGTTCCATGAATAATCACCACGCCACTGTTTTATACGCTGTGTTTTCCAATTTCACTCTCTCACCGAGGAAAGTGTCATGAAAAATTACTCAGATAACTTATAAGAAGCATTGACACCTGTGAGTCCTACAATTTTCTAATTTATAAGACCCGGAATAAATCATTTGTGAGGCAGGAACCTATTAAAAGTGGAGTTATTATAGATAACTCTGTTTGTTTTGATCTGAAAGTGTGACAAACAAGACGTCTTTCCTGAATCATGCTCGCAAAGTATCATTCCCAGTTGAAGAATGTAATTTTGGTGTTCCTCGAAGTGTGGAGATTGGATTTTCTTCCCGGATCTGATTGGAAGATTGTTAGTTTCCTCAAATTGGCAGTGTATCCAATGCTACTCATATCTGGTTGGTTCTTTGCCTTTTGGCACTATCAATACCAGATGAAGGGCTTCGAAGATGTTCTCGATGTCGCCTTCACGATTGTCTTTGTGATTGCGTACTACCAAGTCTTGATGGTTTACCTGAGTGTCAACGTATCAAACAAGGATGGCGTTTTCAAAGTGTTGGCCTACTTTGATGAGTTGGTCACTGAAAAGGACACTGAAGTGTCACGGATAAGAATTAGGATCCTAACACAGGTCCTGGGGAATGCAGTGTTGTTTGCCAAGTAAATGCCAAATACTCCAAGAATAGATTTCCTCAAATCAAGCAATAAAACCTTTTCCAGATGGTTCATAACTGGTCTCAGCTCAGTGGGAGTAATTGTGAATTGCTACGATCTCAACAAGACCGGATTTACATCTCCGATGCTCTTTCTGATTCCCGGCATTCCGGAAGACAGCATTTTCTTCTATCCCGTCAACATTATATTCCAAGTGATCCTGTACTTTGCCGCCATGGAGTTGATCATCATTTCTGATGCAGTCATCATGATTATCATAATGTATTTTCATGCTGAATTGTTAGTAATCACCGAACTTCTTCTCCAGCTAGATCAGGATGAAATTGGGACTGTGAAGGCCAAGAATATCCTTCGAATTGTACATGAGGAGCACAAGAGTGCCCTAGAAATGTTCAAGGACATTTCCTTCTCCTTCTGGCACACTTACTTCCACAAACTCCTAACCATAATGATGTACCTCTGCTTCACCTTCTTCGTCTTCTCCTCGATCAACGCAAACATCGTGGTCGCTCTCTTGTGCGCCATCGCCATGGTTTGGGAAGTCTTTATTCTCTGCTACTTTGGCCAGATCGTGAGGAATTCATCGGAAACCATGGCTGACGCTCTCTACATGACCAAATGGTACAACATGGACATTTCAGATCAGAAGAATGTTCTGATGCTCATGATGAGACTCAAGTACCCATTCAAAGTGGAGACTTTTGGATTCGGCATCATTTCCATTTACACATTTGTGCAGGTGCAAATTATCAATTACTCCATTCATTCTAATGCATAATTAACCCTATAATCACTCTATCTCACAGATTTGCAAGGCAGCAGTCTCTTATGCAACTATTCTTTACACCTTCTTCGACTAACTTTCCTTCCTGCACTTTGAACTCAATTTCCACGAATAACGTACAATCACAATGGAGAAACTCAGTCGTTATGTGGATCAATGTGCGGGTGTGTGAAGTGTAGCGGAAGCGAATAAATCGGTCTCTCTCTCTCTTGAGGAAATCCAAATGGTCAGCGAAGAGTTGATGAAGTTATGGAGAGAAATTCCAGCGAGAGTGCGATTTCCAAAAATGTGTGCTAAAGACGCCACTTTCGTTTTCTTGGGCGGTCATCGCCAGCCTGCACTGTTAAAAACCATGCACAGGTGCAAATAATATCTGTCAATTCTCCAACGACGCAGTTACGGGAGAGTGAAGCAATTGTGGTTCATTCTTCAATGTATGTACAAATTTCTAAGCTGGTAAATATCTTAGAATTAGCTTGCAATTTTAGGAAAGCTGCTCGACGAGCTGTTGCTTAACTTTTAGTATGATATATTTGCACAATCAAGAATCAACTCAAGTAAGAATAAATATTTGGACGTATCTAAAGATAATTCATGATTCACAGTTAGCGAATATTTTCATGCAAAATTCATGGCCATAGTGGATCCATTCTCCCCTATCCGTGGACTTCCAATTAATCTTGCATTGTAATGCTGAGGCCAACGGTCGCCAGCCCCATTTCTTCCGGTGTATTTCTACGGCTGATGACTCGATCCTCTCCACACCACCATGACCTTGAGATGTATGTGGAGCCCGACGTCACGTCTCTCTTAATAACTCAATCCGGCTGCTGGTGTGCGTCGTGAGCCTCCAGCTCACCATTCACCACACCTGCAGAGAAACCCAGTCCGGAGGTGAGAAGAAATTTCTCTGCGAGCCAGTCTTGGGCATTGAGTGAGTGAGTTAAGACACGTCGCAATCTGGGTGTTGTCTGGCCAGGAGACAGAGTTTCAAGATCCTTCCGCCAAATATCCGCCGACGAATGCGGGAGAATTGTGAAAGTGCGACCTGAGATTGAATGTGAATTGGGTGGCAAAATTGCCTCGTCGATTGGATCTTAAATGCAATTTTGCGTGTGACACAGTGATTTCTACTTTTTGCACACTGTGTTCGTCTTTCTCTTTAATCGATTTTTGCACTCCGCGAAGAAGAAAACATTCAACAGACAAGTTATGTGGAAGAGTGCCTCTCGCTGGTTGCATGCCATTGTGCTCATACTCACTGCACTTCGCACATCTTCCGGTAAGTTTTGTGTCGACACATCCCATAGCAGAAAAGCATCTTCATTTCCCGGTCGAAATCCCCTATTCGCCGATAGTGATTTCCCACTTGGTGGAGAAGAAGAAAAAATCATTGTGATTTTATCACATGGCAATATAAGGATGAAATGGGTGCGACGAAGCGAGGAAAATTGGCACAATATTGGGAAAGGAAAGAAATGAAATTGAGTGAATTTCGGTGTGATTTTCACTTTAGTGACGATGAGGTGACGGAGAGAAAAAAGCGTAAATGTGGCAAAGTGTTTGGATTGCGCTGAACGGAGGGGCGAAATTGATGAATAAATATGAAAAATCTTTCTTGTTTCTGGCCAACAACATCCAACTCACCGTTAGATAAAGTGATTGCAAGTGCGTGAGAGAATGTCGCTGGGCACTTGAGGCACTCCCTCTTGAGTAGCACATCTCAGCGGATGTCTAATTGAGAGATATCCCCTCAGGACATGTCCGTGAAAACGTCCATATGCCATCACCACCTGCAGATGGACAGGAATGGGGTTTGGACGCAAGAAAACGGTCGAAAAACATGAAATGCTCGGGAAAACGCTAATTTATTAATTTTATTCACCCAAAAACCGAAAGAGAAAGATGCCAGAGAGCCACTAGCGGGTTTCTGTGGACGAAAAAAAATTGCAAGATGCCCAAAGATGGCGAAAGAGAGACGGAGAAAAAATTGTGAATATCGATGGGCATTGTGCCATCAATTATTTGAAATTCAGCTTTTCATTTTATTAAATAATGCGCCGATGGATGAAAAAAGAGCATATACGGAGGCCCTTACGTAAGGCCAGTCGGTAAATAGCAAAATTGAGACACTTGGCAATACATTTTCTTACACCTCCGAACGCATTTCAGAGTACAGTTGGGCTCCAACATTCGTGGTGGTGGAAACTTTTTTCCCCGACCACCAAAGAGTCAATATTTTAACTGGTGAGCCAAGTTGTGATCTCGTCTCTGGGCAAACAGAAAGTGCAATTTGAGTATGTACAAATAAATAATAATACAATTTCCAAGTAATATTCACACTCCGTGGCGCGCATTTTCATCTTGGCGAGAAGAAATGAGCATTGAGGAAAAAAAATAATGGCATGAGAGAGGCTTTGAGCCACGAAGGCAGGGTCAATGAGCATTGTGAGAAAAATGCTCACATGCAGAATTGCTATGCCTAAGAATTCTGCGAAAAAGCAGGTCATAAAAATTGAGGCATATGAAAAGCCATAGATATACTTTTTCACTCTTAATTTGATATTTCAAGAACAGGTTTAGCGCGTAACTCGTTGCTTTTGACATTGGACAGCGCCGAGCAATCTCACTTAAAATATTTCCACATATATTTCACGTCAAACCGCACCCATCATCCCCCATTTTACTCCCTCTTGTTTACGTGCTTCCCGGCAAAATGCAACAAAACACTCTCGCCACTGATCCATAGGAGAAAAAGGCCACCAACTCGTGTTCAGCATCTTGAAAAATGTTCTGCGAAGGAAGTTGGATAATTCATTTTCAGTCACAGAATTTGTTGTGTCCATGCCAAAACTTGAATGATAAATTATACAGCAAAATATCCCACGCGAGCAATCCACTTTAAACAGTGCTCGTTTAAATAGAGTCAACCACTAATTGAATGCAAAGATTCGCATTACTATTTTGGCACCCTTTGACATAATATAGAGACCAATAAAATTTTGCAAATTGGTAAGTATAAACAATTTTCATGAGGAAAATCAACTTCCAATGTTAATTTTCTGATGTACACACTTTGCATATTAAACATTGATTTAGCGCTTCAAATTTCAATTTACTAAATTACAATTTATTCATTGCAGTAGAATAAATAAAATTATCATATGTGCAAAGGAAGAATTTTAATATAACTGATTAAAATTGTAGAAAAAAGGCCATGAATATAATTATATACAAAATATTAACTATACAAAACTATTTTCTGCCTCTACGATTTTACGACATAATTAATCACATATATTTTCTCTCTAAATAAGTGATTTTATTATATTATAGCACAAATTTTGCCTATTATTCTGTGCGAAGCAAAAGAGTTCCCATAAAAGTCTCTCCACTTTAATTTATGAGCTACAATATTATTTCCTACGATGAATTCGCCATGAGTCAGTGTGCCAAGCATAAGTAATTCATTCACCGGCAAAAATAGGAGCAAAAGTGGAGGAGGAAAAAGAAATTGATCGTCCCACAGAGCATTTCTGCATGTGTCAAACTAACACTCGTCTCATTTGTAGGTCAGAAGCCCGAAGAGGAGTACAAATGCCCAATAGACGTGGGCAATGGTAACTATGCAGACCCAGCGACGTGCAAGAGATTCTACCAGTGCGTCGATGGATATCCCTATATAAATCGCTGCCCTTCCGGTCTGTACTTTGACGACATCAACAAATACTGCACGTTCAAGGATGAGGCGCGGTGTGGGCCAATCGCCACGAGTGAGTTTGCGAAGTATGGAATTGATGGGGATGGATTTTAATGGTTGATTCTGGGCCATTGCAGCACCTGCGCCAGTCACAGACACTCCACAGGACTTGGCAGTGAAGTGCAATCCCGCCGATTGCGAACTTCCCTACTGCTTCTGCTCGAAGGACGGCACGATAATTCCGGGTGGACTTGATCCGGATGACACTCCACAAATTATCATCCTGACATTCGACGGAGCGGTGAATCTCAACAACTTTGAGCACTACAAGAAGGTGTTCAACGGGAAGCGCAAGAACCCGAATGGATGTGCCATCAAGGGCACCTTCTTCATCTCGCACGAGTACAGTAACTACCAACAGATCCAGACACTGGCGTCGGAGGGCCACGAGATGGCCACGGAGACCATCTCGCTGCAGCAAGGACTCCAGGACAAGGGCTACGAGGAGTGGGTGGGCGAGATGATCGGCATGCGTGAGATCCTGCGTCACTTCTCCAACGTGACCACCAACAGTGTCGTGGGCATGAGAGCGCCTTTCCTCAAGCCCGGCCGCAACACACAATACAAAGTGATCGAGGACTTTGGCTACATCTACGACAGCAGCGTCACCGTTCCACCCCAATCACACCCCGTCTGGCCCTACACACTTGACTACAAAATCCCACACGAGTGCAAGAGCGGCACGTGTCCCACGAAGTCCTTCCCGGGCGTCTGGGAACTGCCCCTGAACGCCCACTACGTGGAGAGCTTCGAGGGCGGCCACTGTCCTTACCTCGATCAGTGCGTCCTGCACAACCACGATCCCACCGACGTCCTGGAGTGGCTGCAGGAGGACTTCGCGCGCCACTACGAGCAGAACAAGGCGCCCTACATGATGGCCTTCCACACCAACTGGTTCCAGATCAAGGAGCTGGAGCAGGGACTGCACAAGTTCCTCGACTGGGCAAACTCACTGTAAGTAAAGTCAGCTCTTCTCTTGTAAACCGCAAGTCAATCAGAACCGGTGTTTATCAATGTTCCTCCTTTTAAGGAACAAGTCTTAGTCTGGAGAATTTCATTTTGCTGCCACTAATTGAGCAGAACTTGGGCTAAACTCTGCTCCCCTTTGTGCATCTCCCACAATGTTTCCCACTTTGCCCATATAAGTTTAGTGGCGGAAGTTAAATTAGAGAATTATTATCTCACAACTCCTAAATTACTTCCGAATTTTCTTGTCAGAAGAAAAGGGGTTTAAACGGTCGCTTTTGCAAATGCTGGTCAGGAATTCCGATGCCTTATCGTGATTTCCAGGGACCAAAATTGGCAATAGAAAGTTTCAAAGTTTCCTAACACAGAATAAATTGGCGACAAGATTTAATTGGTCACCACTTAAAGCCATTGTGGAAGTATAGGAATTATTGATTAGAATAGAAAACTGTGTTGATGAGGAATTAATTTGTGCAATTAAGTCACTCGCAGTGTTTGGATTGCGAGGGGATGAAAGGCGGAAACTGCACGAGACTGAAGATGAATATGAAATATTACAGAGAATTTCCGTGTCAGATGACTGGAAAACAAGCTGGAAAATCAATTTATGCCTTTCAAGCGCACAAAGCCGAAAACTTGGGAATTTCCCTCAAGCCGGAAAATCAATCAAAAGTGCAACTTTTGGAGAGGTTCTCTTGACGAGAAGATAAAAGTTGCGTGACTGTTTTTCCCGCTTTTCCTTTTGATCTCCCAGAAAATATACTTAGAAAGTTAAATATTGAGAAAATGTTCGCTAATGACTTGTCTTTGTGACATATTTTCTGGCCTCCCGCCCCGCCAGGCCCGATGTGTGGTTCGTGACGGCAACGCAGGCCCTCCAATGGATCACGGACCCGAAGCCGGTGAAGTCCCTGAACAAGTTCGATGCGTGGGATTGCAAGAACAGCGTCCACGCCGCACCAAAGCCCTGCAACATCTCCAACAAGTGCGCGCTGGCCTTCAAGAGGCCCCCCAGCAACATCACAGACACGCGCTACATGGAGACCTGCACGGAGTGCCCCAACCAGTACCCGTGGCTCGGCGACGCCGAAGGCACCGGCGTCCCGGGACGCGACAATTACATCTACAGCTCCGACAAGGAGCCCCAGATCACCAACTGAGCGTTGGCCGCGCAGTGTAGAAGCGTCGGAATAAAGTGTAACTGTGACGAATGCCCCAAGTCTCAATCCATCAGCAATTCCCAGGCCCCAAGACTTTCCGCAAATTGATTGATTTCTACCATTCATTCTCTGATCCACCCTCACCAGCATATTTGCCACTCCGTTTGGAGATACGTAAAGTGCCAGCACGACATTCTGCCCAGAAAACGAACCAAAGGACTCAATTCAATTAAATGCTTTAATTTGCAAACATTTACAGAGCAGGAATTCACTCAAAACGAAAGGTTCTCTAGGTTCTCATGAGAATAGATTCAAAGATTGCCAGGTTTTGGTAATTTGTTCGATTCTCTCAATCTTTACTTAAAGACTTTAGGACTCTATTTCCTTCTTAAGCATTAGTTTAGTAACAAATTTGCGAGGTATCACTGAACAAACCCTCAGATCTCGAAATCTCATCTTTCATGATGCTTGACACGCTTTCCACTCGTCTTCACATCCGGTGCTGATGAATCATGATAAATCACTTAGTCAAAGTCATCCTAATTGCAGTGATTCCCTGTGAAAGTCTGGGAAATCATGTAAGAAATGTAAGACACATTTGCTACCATCACCCACAATATGGACAAACTTTATTCCCGCCACAGAAAAACCTGTTAACAATTCAGCACGAATCCCAACAAATGTTACCGGAATTAATTAAAGTAATTCAATGATTTTGACTATAATTCGAGGATTTGATCGACCCGCCCGCAGATGAGTCCCAACAGGCGCCACTTCGGAGAAGCCCCACCAGTTTCACGTGGTTTACGGACTCCTCGTCACAGAGAGCACAGAGGCTCAGACGGTCTGTCAGGAGCCACTCAGCGGACCCCCAATAGCTGTGCCTCCTGGTGAGAAGCTAATCTCACCGGAGACACTTTACCGCGCTCATCCACCGCCAGGAACTGAGCAGTCAGAGATGGTCCGGAAGCCGCCCATCCGTCTCGTTGGCGGCCTCGGAGGGCTGTTGTTTTTAAGGATTCTCATAAAATCAACTCCTTCTCACATTAACTACAATTGGTACTCACTTTCCGCCGCCGCCACTTCCTCCTCCGCCGCCCCAGGAACTCCTCGAGAATCCCCCACTGGGATTGTCTGGATCTATGTTGAACATTGTGAGGAAGCTGGAAGAGAATTCCTGAGTCACTTTATCCGCTCAATTGCAGAGAATCATCACGAAGATACTCACAAAACATAGATGAAGTTGACGACAGCCCAGAAGATTGACACCAGCCTCTCCAGACTCCAAGGAGCACTGTTGTGGACGGTGCCATCTGAAAATCACGGGAACCCTTAAGTTCATACCAAACCTCCACCATATCCTGATTCTCTGGTCCTTCCACTCACCTCGTGACACATAAACCATTTTCCCACGCGACTCCTAAGCCAGATTTTCACAATATCTCAAAAAATTACATTGCAAGAAAATGACGTGTTGTTCCGGACAGTGAAGTTCTTGTACCAGTCACCAGAGGGGTCCCAAAGATATTTAAAATTGGTCGAAAAACGATTTCTTGCATATTTCTGTGCATTTGCCACTGAGCTTAGAGATAAATCGCGTTTTGAGATAAAGTGATAGGCAATTAGATTCATTACAATACCCACAATTCATTACTCAATTGCAATAATTTCAATTTGAGCCAAAACAGCTTGTTTTCCCAGCCCAATTTCCCCTTCAACCTTATCACTGCCAAATTGACCTTCAGTGGCAGCGAGGATCGGCCGGTTATCACTTCGCTTTTACTTCCACGCATGAGAAATCTCAGAAAGAGTCGAGACTACTTGAATTTGTGGGCTCGCCTCGTCAAGGTTACCCAAATACCCACACAAGTGGCTCGTTTTGGGATTAGATACCGGTCTGCGGGCATTCTGTTGCCACGCGTTCAGCTGGACGAGTGTGCGAGTTTCGTTTTTTCGACACTCTTTCGCGCTCTGTAGTGGTGTGGAAAACTGTGTAAAAGCCACACATTTCCTCTTTGCCTCAGAAGTCATCGTCACTCAGCCGCCGTCAGTTTATCGGGAACGACTTTACGTGCCGCGGAGCAACAAGTTAACAAGCAAACAAGTAAGAAATTCCTGCTGAGAAATTCCACTGGGACTTTTTTCTGAACTTTCCCTCTTCCTCAGTGACGTCAAAATCGCAGCCCTTCGACTCAAATTGCATGACGTTGACGCGATTTGTTCTGCAGGAGCAGAAGAAATTCGCCAACGCCACCGGAGACTTGTCTCAGCTCCTCAACTCCATCCAGACGGCCGTGAAGGCAGTGAGTTCGGCCGTGAGGAAGGCTGGCATCGCCAAATTGTGAGTTTGTCGAGTAAGTAGCTCAGATCTTACCATCAAGAGTGCTCTTCTGGGCGTTTCCAGGCATGGAATCTCAGGAGAAACCAACGTTCAGGGCGAGGAAGTGAAGAAACTCGATGTCCTGTCCAATGAACTCTTCATCAACATGCTGTCCTCCTCCTTCACGACATGCCTGCTCGTCTCGGAGGAGAATGAGACCGTCGTCGAGGTGAGTTACCCAGCATTCTTCCTGGTATATGCACAGAAAGTGACCAAATGTGTGGGAGAATCAGGACAGGCGCGCTCGTTTTGGCAATTTTCGAAAGGTTTTTTTTATCTCATTTCTGTGATCGCTTAGTAGAATTTTATCGGACCATTTTCGCAGAACAGAGTGTAATAGATCAGTGTTTAATTGTGCAATTCAACCACATTCTTATCAATTCTAATGAGCCCTCAGTTTTCGCGAAAAATACCTTATCGTGTGCACAGAAATTGTAACCGCAGAATAATTTGCTTACGCACGATTTCAAGGAAAAATCGGAACAATGAAGAATGATAACGAAGTCTATCCTGATACTCACAACTTGTCCGTTCACTCTGACGTCTCTCTTTTCCTAAAACCGCCACAAAATCTTGCAGATCGAAGTGGACAAGCAGGGAAAGTACATCGTGTGCTTCGATCCGCTGGACGGTTCCTCCAACATTGACTGCCTGGTGTCCATCGGCTCAATCTTCGGGATCTACCGCAAGCAGTCTGAGGGCGTGCCCAGCCTTCAGGACGCTTTGCAGCCGGGGAGACAGATGGTGGCCGCCGGGTATGCGCTGTACGGTTCCGCTACGATGATGGTCCTGAGTCTGGGCACTGGCGTGAATGGTTTCATGTACGATCCCGCCATCGGGGAGTTCATACTCACGGATCCCAACATGACGATCCCCGAGCGCGGAAAGATCTACTCCATCAACGAGGGCTATGCCCACGAGTGGGACGCCTCGGTGTTCAACTACGTGCGCGACAAGAAGGACCCGGCCAAGGGGAAGCCCTACGGCGCTCGCTATGTGGGCAGCATGGTGGCCGATGTGCACAGGACGATCAAGTACGGCGGGATCTTCATCTATCCTGCCACAGCGTCCGCCAAGAGCGGCAAGCTGAGGCTCATGTACGAGTGCAATCCCATGGCGTACATCATTGAGCAGGCTGGCGGCCGCGCGAGCACTGGAAAGATCGACATCCTGGACGTTGTGCCTACCAAAATCCACGAACGCTCACCCATCTTCCTGGGCTCCAAGCTGGACGTGGAAGAAGCCCTGAGTTACGTCCAGTAGTTACCACAATGGCCTTTATTGGCTTCTTCACAAATAAATCTCCGCAGTTCTCAATAAGAGTTGGCTTTGTGCTTGGGCAGGAAGACAAAGCCATCCGGCACTGGGCCCAGGAGTCTCTCACTCAGCAGAATCCAGTCGGCGCAGTTGTTGGACGCCATCAGAGTCTCCAGATCATCCCGACCACGATAAGTGTTTGGTCGAGCGTTGATCTTCTGCGGCGGATGCTCAAGTAGTCCGTAGGGAACGTACCTGTACAGGAAAGACTGCCACTCCAGAAGGAATCTCCTGGTCGTTTCCACACCCTTCGTGTCACTTCCCCAATGTTCGAGTCCATAGTTGACGAACTTCTTCATCATGTCGAAGCGTTCCGAGGCGGATGGATCCCAGTGACGCCCATCCTTGATTTCCTTGAAGAGCCACGGCTTGATAAGAGCTCCTCTGCCAATCATCGCACCAGAAATGTGAGGAGCAATCCTTCTCGCTTCCTGATAGTCCTCGAAATTGAGAATATCGCCATTCCCTATAACAGGAATCTCTTTAGCCTGCTTCGCACACTCCTCAATGTACTTCCAGTCGGCGGTCTTCGTGTATCTCTGCTCCCTGGATCTTCCATGAACCTTGAATTCAAGACAACCCGTTAGAAATCCATCGAGAGCGTTTCTCAGATTACTTACTGTGACCAAACTGGCTCCCCACTCTTCAAATTTGGGCACCAACTCATGAGCCACGCTCTTGTCCGCATAGACGCCGGTCCTGGTCTTTACTGTGAAGGGTTTGTCGCCCAGAACAGTCGCGCAGCTGCGCACAATCCCTTCCAGGACGTTCTGGCGACGAATCAGAGCACTGCCCGCTCCTTGTTTGTAGATCAAATCAATTGGACAGCCCAGATTGAGATCGACAAAGTCCACATTAGCCTTCTCAATCAGAACCTGCGTGGCTCCAGCCACCAGACTAGCCTTGTTGCCACAAATCTGCACGCCAAATAGATCCTCTGAGGGATGCCTCTTGGTCAAGGCCCACTCCTGCTTCGCTCCCTGGAGCAGAGGCACCACACAGGCCATCTCACCACAAGTCACATCGGCTCCGTACTCCTTGCAGATCCGTCTGAAGGGCAGATTTCCCACAGTCGTCAAGGGACTGAGGAAGAGTTTGTCGCGGAAGTCTATTTGCCTCTTCTCGGCTGGCCTCTCAGGGATCAAATCTGTGTCTGGCGTATATCCCTGATTCCTTCTCTTCTCATATTCCGCCACAATCTTCCGACTCTTCTCCAGATTGTACTGCTTCTTCCGCAAAAGCGTCAGCATTTCGATGTCCACGTGAGAGAATGGCTTCCTCACACCTTCCTTCGCACCTAAATTCCTCTTATCCTCATCCAGATGACACGCTGCATATCTACATGTCAGGCCATATTGGCAATGGCCAGTCTGGGAGTAAATATAGCAGCTCTGGCCAATGTCTTTCGGCTTCTCCTCCAGATACTTTTTCACATCGTGCAGATAAATACATTTTGGATAACTGCAGGCAGACGATGGATCTCCGTTGACCAAACTCGAGCACAACTGGGATTCCCGCTTCACCTTGTAAGGCGCCGGGCGGTTCTTATTCTGCCCTCGTTTCTTATCTCTCTTCCTATCGGCTTTCTGCTGCAAGTCATGCTTTTCTGGATACTCACCCAAGTTTATATCAGTCGTTTTCAGCACTTCAATGAGATACCTGCAAAACCAATGCATTAGTCACTAGGCAAATGCCTCAACTTGCAATCTCTTACTCTGGTTTGATGTAACAAACGCCTGGATCCATGATTTTGGAGTATTTCTCTGGATGTTTTCACCACAAGCCGACTCCCAAAACACGTGTGGTGGCGAAAACTACCGCCTGTCAAAAATTCGCCGCAATGTTGTTGTTTTGCTTTTAAAGGTTATAACGTGTGTTTTCCAATGGTTTTCCTCACGAGAAAACTCCTCCAATCGGGAGTAAAGGCAAGTAGAATTACGAGGAAAACACGCCGGGAGGTCTTAATGAGCTTTTTCCCTGTAGTCTTTAAGAAAACACTTCCGTCCGCACTTTCTGGACACGCTCAGATTGACTGTAAGTGGAGGGCATGGAGGCAATGGATTACCCAAGAACGGCGGCGTCGGAGGTCAGGGAGGTTGTGTCTACTTCGTCGCCAAGGAGGATGCCACTCTCAAGATGATCGCGAAGGAACACTCCACAAAGCGCGTGAAGGCGACTCACGGTGAAGACAGCTCGAAGGTGCGACTTCTGGGCAGACGCGGTGAAGATCGGGAAGTCAAAGTACCCGTGGGCATCACAGTTATCGATGAGACAGGACGTCCGATTTATGAGTTGAATGAGGAGGGCAGAACATTCAAAGCGGCCAGTGGAGGTCCGGGTGGATGTCAAGGAAACTCTTTCATCGGTCAACCTGGACAATCCCGCACTTTGATGCTTGATCTAAAGCTGATCGCCGATGCAGGACTGGTGGGATTCCCAAATGCTGGGAAGAGTACGTTCTTGAAGGCAGTCTCCAAGGCAAGACCACGAATTGCTTCGTATCCATGTAAAAAAATGCCTATTTGAAGCGATTTGTTCCTCCTGCTCACGGTTATTTCTTTATCTTTCAGTCACCACGATTCAGCCACAGCTTGGAATCGTTCAGTACACAGATTTCAGGCAAATCTCCGTGGCAGATCTTCCAGGGTTGATCGAGGGAGCTCACGCAAACATCGGAATGGGGCACAAATTCCTGAAGCATGTGGAAAGGACGCGAATGCTGATCCTCATTGCGGACATCTTTGGTTTCCAACTGAGTCCTCAACACAAGCGAAGAAACTGCCTGGAAAATGTATACGCTCTGAATCGCGAACTCGAACTCTACGACGCCACATTGCTGGAGAAGCCCGCGATCCTCTTGATTAACAAGCTTGACATTGAGGGAGCGCATGAGGAATATGAGAACATAAAATCCATCCTCCATCAATTGGATCACGGACTGGAGAACTGCCCAGAAGAGATCAGGCCACAGAAGCTGATGGAATTCGAGCGAATTATACCGATTTCTGCCAAAGAAAATGTCGATATCGGCCGCGTGACGGCTTGCATTCGGGATGTGCTCGATGAGGCAGCCGCTGAAGGACTTTCTGATCCTGACACGGAGATTTTGAGCAGAAGAATGCGCGAAGTTGGCCCGAAAATTGTCTGAATCTGCCTCTGTACTACGCATAATACATTTATTATGTGGAATTCTGAATGGAACTGTTAGATACGCGCCACTACGTCTGACCTACTTGATCCTGCAGCTTCTCTGGCGGCAGCATGTACGATTCCATCCTGCCCATGGCCTTTGTGCAGTTCGGCACGAGTCCACACGTGTCCGCGTGACTCTTCCTGTGCGCCTGCAGATTGGAGATGCACGTGAATCGCTGCCCGCAGCCAGAGCACATGTACCTCTTGAAGCCCGTGTGCAGGGACAAATGGGTGAGCAGACTTCCTCGGTGGCTGAAAGCCTTCGGGCAGTAGGTGCACTTGTGGGGTTTCTCGCCCGTGTGCACTCGCTCGTGCTCTCGCATCTGGCCAGGCGTTCTGTACGGTTTGCCGCAGTATTTGCAGAGGAACGGTCTCACCTTCGTGTGCAACGTCTTGTGACCTTTGAGCGATCCTGCGCTGTGATAGAATTTGTTGCAGATATCGCACTGATAGATGGGCGATTTGCCACAATCGGACTTCTCATGGTCCGTGAGGGCAGTCTTGGAGGTGAAACTTTTGGCGCACTTGCCACAGAGATAGGTGGTCTTCTTCAACGCCTTGTCTGTGTGGCGCAAGTGAATGTGAGTCTTGAGATTGTGCTCTCCAGAGTAGGATTTGCTGCAGAAGTTGCACTTGATCTTCTCCTTGTGCGCCTCTTCTCTGTGCTCCTTCAGCTTGTCCTCATTCTCAAAGAACTCCTTGCACACTCTGCACTTTGTCAGGAGTTTACCATCAGGACCTGAGGATAGATGCAAACTTTTTAGTTGCTCTCCAGGTTGGAAAGTGCGGGATAAAAACTCACCATGGCATCTGACGTGTCTGCCCAGGGAAGAGGAATTCGCATAGACCCTCTTGCAGAAGTGGCATTCGTACTTCCGAAGTCTGGGCTTGTATTTCTGCTTCCTATTGATGTTCACAGGCCAATCCTCATCATCACTGACCAGTCCATGCTCACATCTCAAGTGGATAACGTATTTCTGCTGATAAAGATACACCTTGGAACACATTTTGCACTCAAATCTCTGTCTGACTAATTCCTTCCCATCATCTGAACCCTTCTTCTCACTCTCCTGAAAGTCAGAATCGGAATCTGAACCGAAGGAAGTTGATGGCGACTGTGCATGTCCACTCATGTCGTGGAAATTATCATCATCGGAATCCTCTGAGAAAGTATCATTCTTCTCCTGTCGCTTCTTACGAAGTCTCCTTCTGGAAGGTTCCTCTTCCTTCTTCCCTTCAGCCGGACTGAATTTCCTCTTATCTTTTCCCAAAAGATGCGACAAAGGCATATCATCATCGAGATCAAGAGCATCACTATTCTGTATGAGGACTTTTTCTGGTGTCGCTTCCTTCTTCACATTCTCCAGATTCCCATTGAAGACTTGCAATTGGGATTTGTCCTCCTCACCAATATCAACGTTCTGCACATTCTGTCTCGCAGAAAAACGTCTTGGGGTTTTTTTCTTGCTCTCCACCGGCAAGCCACAAGTGTACGGATTCGCCCTGCGATGCTTGATCAATTGCTCATAGCTCTGGAACGTTTCACCGCATTTCTCGCACGAATTCGGGCGACTTCCTCTCGAGTGCTGAGCCGTGTGCGTGATGAGACTGACTTGGAACGAGAAGGACTTTCCACACTCATTGCATTTGTAGGGCTTCTCACAGGCCAGCGACTGAACATGATTCTCAAGATCATGCTTACTGATGAATTCCACTCCGCACTTCTCACAGGACAGTTTGACTTTCTTCTTTCTCATCACTTCATTTCCTGACCTCGTCTCCTGACTGTTGTTCTTGGCGCCACACTTGCAGTCACTGTGGATGCTCATAATATGTCCCACGTAGTCTTCCTGGATTCTGAACTTGGCATCGCAGATCTGACAGCGATAGACTCGATGTTCGGCATTTCTGTGCTGCTTCCTGTCCGTCGATGAGGTGAATTTAGCACTGCAGGACGGACAGGGGAATCCTCCAGGCTCCTCGTGTCGCTTCTCATGGCGAACCAGACACTGTCCATACCTAAAATTCAGGCCACACTGTCTGCAAGAGAACCGCTCAATGGAGCCCTGATTGCAGAATCTCTCGTGCCACAGACGCTTCCTGGCAGTGGAGAATTCCTTTCCTGAAAAGTCAAGGAAGAATCATACGATAAATTAGTGTCTTACAGAGTAAAGGAATGCGAAGAACTCACCACAATAGTAGCAATGCTGCCTGAAGGACTCATTTTTGTCCTCCAACTGGATATCTTCCTGGTACTCAACCCAATCTTGGCTAAATTCCTCTTCATCACTGAGAAACTCCTGACAATTGTCGTCTACAGACTCTCGAGCCATTTTCCCCTCAATTCATTATGTTCTGCACAATATCTTCACATGGAGTCTTTCCGATAAAACTCTAGTAAGATTGTTGGTTCATTAGAAGTGGTCCAAGGATGGTATTTATCCAAAAATCAAGAAAAATACAACAAATGGCTTTCTTGTTTATGTTCTGTCACTTCAGCCCAGCGGAGAGTTTCTGCCGCAGCACAAGCTTCATGCAAATTTATAAACTTTCATACAGCGTATGCTGCGCAAAAAATAACGAACGCCGCCATGATTTCCTTTTCTTTTTCTTCTTCCAATTGCGATTTGTAAGATTCTCCGGCCTGAATGTGGCAAGTTTACTCAAAACAGCATCTTTTTACGATATCTAAAACATCTATTCTCATCTACTTTAATTGGAATATGCACTGAGAGAGATACAGCTAGGAAAGAACGCGCGTGATTATAGCTGGTCCTCCTCCTGAGGGATCATGTGGATGTCCATCGGTCCCACTGCCTTCGTGCAATTCGGCACAAGTCCGCACGTGTCCGCGTGCGCCTTCCTGTGCACCTGCAAGTTGGAAATGCAGGCGAACCTCTTGCCGCAGCCCGAGCACATGAACCTCTTGAAGCCCGTGTGCATTGTGATGTGTGTGAGCAAAGTCTCTCGGTGGCTGAAAGCCTTCGGGCAGTAGGTGCACTTGTGAGGCTTCTCGCCCGTATGTGTTCGCTCGTGAACTCTCAATTGCCCGGGATTCCTGTAGGATTTCCCGCAGAATTTGCACAGAAAAGGTTTCACCTTCGTGTGGAGAGATTTGTGACCCTTGAGCGATCCGGCGCTGTGGTAGAATTTCTTGCACACGTCGCACTGATAAATCGGGGACTTGCCGCAATCCGATCGCTCATGATCCAGCAGGGCAGTCTTGGAGGTGAAATTCTTGCCACACTTGCCACAGAGATAGGACATCTTCTTCAGTGTCTTCGTCTTTGTGTGCCTCAATTCAATGTGAATCTGCAAATTGCGCTCACCGGCGTACACCTTCTTGCAGTACGTGCACGTGACCTCGTCTTTGTGGAACTCCTTCTTGTGCTCCTTCACCTGAGACTCATCCTCGAAGAGTTCGTTGCACAGGCTGCACTTCACCTTCAGCTTGCCATCTGGACCGTGGCACTTCTCATGCTTCACGAGGGCTTCTTTGCTGGCGTAACGTCTCTTGCAGTGCCGACAGGCGTGCTTCCGATAGCCCAAGACGTAGGCATTCTTCAGCGTCTGCTTCTGATTCCCCTCGTCGCGCTTGCTCGGCCTCTCGATGCCATGCTCAGTCTTCAGGTGAACCAAATATCTCTTTTCGAAGCAGTAAATTTGAGGACAGAGCTTGCATCGATACTCCGGAAGTCGGCATGCTGAGGCATCGCTGGGCGGCGAGGCAGCCTCGTGACCATCTTTAGTGTCTGCGAGATGCTCCTGATCATCTCTCGTGTCCGGATTTGATCCGCCAAACAGAGAGTCGCTCACATCAAAGAAATCAACATCATCAGAGTCTTCCTCCCCTTCGCCTTCTGTCTTTATGGGATCTGTTGTACTTCGCCGACTCCTTGTCTTCCTCCCACGCTCCCGCTTTGCACACTCCACCTGGGACTTCAGCTGAGACAGTGGCATGTCATCATCCAAATCAGGAAAGTCTTCCACACTCTGAATTAAAACCTTTTCCGGAGAAGAGCGTTTTCTCTTCTTCCTCAGACTTCTCAGTGTCTTCTTCAGGGACTCTTCAGACTCCTCTCCATTGATCACCACAACCTCATCCCTCTCCTCGCTTCCTTCTCTCACGTTTTCCAGCGTTTCCACGACTTGCATTGGATGCGTTATCGACACTTCATTTCCCTCCATCAGCTGCTCTAACTTCTCAGAGAGACTGCCCATATTGCTTCCGCACTTGTCGCACGCCAACTGCACACTGCCTCTACCCAGCTCCTCATCCTTGACGCCCTTCTGCAGAATCCAGCACTTGCAGTCGCTGTGGACCTTCACAATGTGTCCCACGTAGTCCGACTGCTTCCTGAACTTGCCTTCGCAGATCTGGCAACGAAACACACGATGCTCCGCGTCCTTGTGATGCATTCTGTCAGCGACTGAGGTGAATTTGGCATCGCAGATGCGACACAGGAAGCCTCCAGATCCTTGATGTCTTCGCTCATGACGCCGCAAGCCTTGCTCGAATCTGAAGTTAATTCTGCACACCTGCCAGAAGAGATCTTGCATGAGTTCCACATCCAAAAACATCCCTCTCACCGCCCAGAGGCTTCACCTGGCATGGGAATCTCTCGATGGGGCCAATTTCGCAGACTCTCTCGTGCAGGAATCGCTTTTCCACGGAGAGAAACCGCTCATCTGCAATCCAGAGAGACAAGTTAGCCACAAAGCTGTGATGGTATTTGAAGAATACGTACTGCAATAGAAGCAATTCACTCTGAAGGGTTCATTCTTATCATCCAGTTCGGTGTCTTCCTGGTATTCAACCCAATCCTCGTTAAATTCCTCCTCATCGCTGGGAATCTCCTGGTCATCCTCATTCTTTGACTCCCTCACCATTTCCACTGAGTTTCTCACAACGCAGAGCACCTACATAACTCACGACACCAGCTGAGACGCCAAGAAGCGGCCTGCAAGAGGTATTTGGCCAGAAATTTGTATCTTTTTGTGTTTACCTTCTGACACTTCAGAAGCCCTCGACCACATGCAGCATATGCTGCGTACCGGGGGACAAATGATATCAATTTCATGACTGTGTAAGGCTATTGTATCGCATGCGCGGTGAAAATGTGTGAGCAAAGCGCCATAATTTTCCTTATCTCAAAATAAGAAGCAAGCGAAGCAAACTGATTAAACCTTGAAAATCTTTGTAAAAAAAGCTCTTGAATATCACTGAGACGCAATGAAAGAATGGATCTATCACTTAGAAAAAAACACTATTAAATACAGGTGAAAAATTGTTTATTCGCCAATAAATTCTAGGATAAAGCTTGAATACCCTTTTTCTTCATAACTTTGTCCTCGCTTATCTTATTTTTCTTAAAAGATATCATGATGATTGTGTAAATATCTTCAAACTTATTATAAATTACAATTTTAATGAAAGTGAATTGATCTCGTCGTCGTCTATTCCTGTTCATTATCCTCATTTTTCATAGACTGCACGTGGATTTCCATCGGTCCCACTGCCTTTGTACAATTCGGCACGAGTCCACACGTGTCCGCGTGGGCTTTCCGGTGAGCCTGCAGATTGGAGATGCAAGTGAAGCGCTGCCCGCAGCCGGAACACATGAATCTCTTGAATCCCGTGTGCAGAGATACGTGAGTCAATAGACTCTCCCGATGACTGAACGCCTTGGGACAGTACGTGCACTGAAAGGGCTTTTCTCCCGTGTGAATCCTCTCGTGCACCTTCAGCTGCCCCTGCGTCCGGAAACCCTTTCCGCAGTACTTGCAGAGATTCGGCAGTTCGTTGGTGTGCACATTCTTGTGTGTCTTTAGCGATCCGGCGCTGTGGTAGAACTTCTTGCACACGTCGCACTGATAAATCGGGGACTTTCCGCAATCCGATCGCTCGTGATCCATCATTGCCGTCTTCGAGGTGAAACTCTTCCCACACTTGCCACAGAGATGTTGCGGCTTCTTCACCCCCGTCTTCGTATGGCAGTTTCTGATGTGAACTTGCAGATGATTCTCATCGCGGTACATCTTATTGCACTCCTTACAAGTGATCTGATCTTTGTGTTTGGCCACGCGATGTTCTTTCTCCTTCTCATGAGTCTCAAAGTATTCCTTACAGACGCGGCACTTGATGTGTAAATTTCCTTCTGGGCCTTAAAGTAGGAGGACAATTAATAGAAAAGTGTAGAGAGTATTAATCAGGGAAACTCACCATGAACTTGCTCATGCTTGAGAAGAGCTGGTTTATTGGCATATTTCCGCTTGCAGAAGCGACACTCGTGCACGCGATCCCTGGGAAAGAGAATTTTGCTGTACCGCTGTTGATTGGGCAGATCCTCATCCTTGATGTCCATGTTGTGCTCCCTCTTCAGGTGCAGATTGAAGATGGTCTTGTAGCAGAACATCTTGGGACAGTGATCGCACTTGTACTCATGCGTAACCGACACTCTGTCGGCTCTCTTCTTGGGCTGTGAGTGCGGTATTTGGTCGGTTGGCTCTTCCAGCTCCTCCTCCTTAATCTCCGCCTCGTCAGGCTGATAATCTTCATCCGCTTCGGAGCCCTCTGAGGCATTTGGCAAGTCCCCAACGTCCAGGAAGTCAATGTCATTGGAGTCATCGGAATCTGCCGACTCTGACTTCTTGATGCGCATCTTCCGCACGCTCTTCGCCTGTCTTGGGCGCCTTTTGGGCAACTCTTTCGTGACTGTTGGGACAATTTCCACCTCAGTGAGAATGAATTTCTGATCCTTCGTCGTAACCACTTGTGATCTGAGATGAGATAGAGGCACATCATCTTCCAGATCTTCAGCTTCTCTGGCATTGTGAATGAGAACTTCCTGAACTTGAGGCTTCACATCGGAAATGTTCTCTATCTTGGTAGCCAGAGACTCCTCGGTGGCTCTCTGCGGAACTCCAGCAGCATTGAATATCTCCACTTCATTCCTCTCCTCCTTCACATCAATCTCCTCGCTTTGGTCCACAATCTGCAGCTGATGTACGATTGAGATCTCATTTCGCTCCACGAGTTTCTCCAGCTTCGTGGTCAGATGTGCGCGATTCTTTGCCTTCTTGTGCGGCGTGACTTTGCTGTTTCTCCTGAATTGGGGCAGTCCACAAGTGTCTGGCCGCGAGCGGCGATGCTTGATGAGATTCCCAATGCAGGAGAAGCGACTGCCGCACAATTCGCACACATAAGGACGAATTCCGGTGTGCAGGGACGAGTGAGTGACCAGACTCTCTCTGTAGGCGAACGCCTTGCCGCACTCATTGCACTTGAAAGGCTTCTCGCCCGTGTGACTCCGCTCGTGCACCTTTAGCTGCCCCTTGCTGAGGAAACTGTTGCCACAGTAGTTGCACAGGTGCTTCTTCTCGCCCAGGTGGATCAGCTTGTGCGCCTTTAGCGTGTTGGCCGTCATGAAGCGACTGTTGCACTCGTTGCAGCCGAACATCTTCACCGTGCCGCACTTGGAGTCATTGTGGATCTTCAGTTGGGTTGTGCTGCGGAACTGCTGGCCGCAGTCTGAACACACCACGGGTTCCCGATCCTTCCCGCCGTGCTGGTTCACGATGTGCGCCACATATTCAGCCTCTGTGCCGTACTTGGCCTCGCAGATCTGGCAGCGATAGACTTTGTGCTCAGTATTGCGATGCTGGGCGCGATCGGCGTCCGTGGTGAACGTCTCGTCGCACATGGGACAGAGGAAGCCTCCAGGCGCTTCGTGACGCGTCACATGACGCTCCAAGCTGCTCTTGGATTTGAAATTGAGTTCACAGATCTGCAGAAGATAAAGGGATTCCACATCAGTCTTCCAGATTCGTCCGGAAGTCTCACTGAAGCTTACCACACAAATGAACCTCTCGATGGAGCCATTCTTGCAGAAACGCTCATGCAAAAGTGCCTTCCTGGATGTGGGGAAGTCCTTCCCTGGAAATTCACGAAATTCAGCGTTCCACAAGCCACTTGAGAAGTGTTTTTAAGCCAGAGAAGTGATCACGAAACTCACCACAGAAGTGACAACACTTGAGTCCTTGCTCAGCGTCCGACTGAGCGTCTTCCACGTATTCCTCGCAAATCTGACTGGATTCATCCTGATCCACTAGCGTTTCATGTTGGGTCTTCCTCCTGGACCTCCCCGCCATTCCGCACGGCGGTCAGAACGGGGATTTCACTCAATGATTGATGAGACTCAAAAAAAGCCACGAAACAACTTATCACTTTCAATCCCGGCCAATTTGCCGGATTCTTGCCGGGGTTTGTTTACTTTTGAGTTGCCTACTCGATGAAACACTGAAAAAATACTACGCGAAAGTACGCAAGAGACACTAAAAGAAATTATTTGACTTTTTTCCTACAGAATTTACACTGAAAAACACTCCGAGCCACCATATCGATTTGCCCAAGCTGGCCCATCACGGAAAAGCGCAGTGTACTACCCGACGACAGAGCCCTCTGCCATGCTACCGTTTATTTACAGTGTGACTACCGCGGCGAATTCGCCGGTTTGAACTCAACCGTCGCCACCATGCTTCTTCCTCAAATGTCGAGAAACGAAAACACAGATTTTCTCACCTAAAATAAATCTATTATTCGTTTTATTATTGTACAGACTGCACAAAAAGCGATTTAAGTATAATAACCACTAAGTCACTTTTTAATGGCACTCAAAATATCATCCTAAATTTACAATAAATCTGCAGTGATTCACTTTTATACAATTTCTTTTCATTAGTAGTAACGCATTTTGGTTTTAATTTAATTAATTTGTTCATACAATTGGTAAAAATTAATAAATAGAGAATTAATTCACTACCACATAAAATTGCAATCTCATTTTTATCCACTCCTCCGTTGTCATCGTCTCGAAAATAAACCTTAATTAATATCAACAGTTAATTAGTAGAAACTTTTACAGTACATTCTTGTCGTAGAAATTAATTTGGGTTGCCAGGGCGGATGAAGTGGGGAAGAAAAATCAGGGATTAACTGGGGGAGATAGAGAGGGATTAGACTTGTTGCGTGCCTTAGAATCTCTACAAATGCTCATCGCCGTGATAGTTTCCATTTCTATTCAGTGGCTGTCGCTCCTGGGAGTGATCCTTGGGGCGGTTGCGATTGAAGAAGCCACACTGCAAGAGAACAATGATTATATTACAACGGAAGGATCACAAATTGAACAGTTTTCATACCTTGTACAGCAAGTAGATCAGAAGAAGCAGGATTATGGCTCCAGCGCAGGCGGACAACACCACAACCCAGAGAGGCACGACATCGGGCTTTATGATGGGCTCAGGAATGGCCGTTACTGGCACCTCGAAGGACTTGATGGGCTTCTCCTTTGGCTCCCCAATGAACGGTTGCTTGGTCACTCTAGCCACAGTCTTCGTGGACAAGTCAATGGGAGTGTTCAGAGTCAATTTGTCCAGCGTTCTGGCAACCAGACGCGTCCTTATGGCAATGTAGACGTTGTCATCCTTAACCAAATTGTAGGCGACACACCGGATAATAGCACACTTGGTCACATTGCAGTGCAACTCTTTATACAGCTCAGCGTCATCGTCTTCGACGGCTCTCTGGAAGCGTCTGTAGTGTTGGAAGCGATCGGGCACTCTGCCGTGATGTGATGGCCGATGTCCAGCCGGCTGACCGTTGTCCTCCACATCATCATACTCCTCCTCTTCCAAGGTGTAATCATCCTCCTCGCTCAGAGGATCGGGACTGCTGACGTGCCAGGCAGAGGAAGATTGCCTGCCCTGGTTGTATCCTGAGGCAGATGACGAAGCAGTGCGACTACTTCCACCGCTAGACTGTTGCTGGTAATTGTAAGTCCTGCCACGAGCTCCAGAATCATAAGAATTGGCAATGTGCGCTGCCTGACCACGTCGATTCAATTCATCATCGACATTGGAGCGCCCCAACTGACCCAGATCCACTGTCGCCGTGTGGAATTGACCATGTCCAGCGCTTTGGAGAGCCTTCTCGAGTGGCGAGGCGCCCGTAATGAGATCCGGTCTCGGCGCCTCACCATCTTGCTGGCTCATCATCCTTCGACGTCCTGTGCTGGCAGTGGAAGTCTCTGTTCTGGCACTCAGTCGAGAGATGTCCTGATTCACATGCTCCTCCGACGGAACGTCATCCAACTTGTACATCCCCGATCGGTAGACAGTCGGTGTGGGTCGAGAGTAGGGAGCTGGAGATGACGCCTGGTAGGCAGAGGCAACTCTGCGACTATCGCCACCGCCATAGTAAGAAGCATTGCTTCCTCCCGAAGAGTATCGCGAGCCTCCGCCCTGGGATGAACTCCAGGAGTGCTGGAAGTGGCCACTGCCAGTTCCCGTTCTCCCACTAGACCACACTCCAGCTGCAGCTTGCTGACTGTGACGATCCCTGTGCACCAGAGAAGCATCCCCAGTGGATTCCACATCCTCCTCAGCGTCCAGCCGCTTCTTCTCATCCTCGCTTAATCTCCTATTCCCGTAGGCGTGCGATCCCCTGGTTCCGCTCATCCTTCCGCCATGCTCCACCGTCACTTCGGACCGATGCCCTTGGCTGGAAGCCCTGTGATGCGTTGCCACGCGCTCCTGCACGCCGATCTGCCTCAAGATGCTCTTGGTGGCCAGCGTGCGATCCACCTCAATGCGCTTGTAGTTGATATAGTCACTGGGATCACAGTAGATGTTCCCATTCAGCTCTGGCGGCGACATCATGTACATGAGTGGCTTCCCATCCTGCGTTTCATAAGGCCACATGACGTAAATTTCCACTTCATCAGCAACAGATGGTCCAAGATTCTGAATATCGTACACATGAGCCACTTGAGGCCCCAAATCATTCTCAGACGTTGCATTCTCGAACTCCGTGTACTGCGAGATGTTGTAGTGAATCTCTTCCGGTTGGGATTTTCTGCAATTGGAGCGGAAAAAATCATGTATATATATTTTTAAACTCAAGATGTAGAGCAGAGGCCTCACTCACCCGCTAATCTTTAGCTCTGTCTCGAGCCAGATGCCCACATTCTTCCTGATGATGTTGTCGTAGTTGCTGCCCTCGCGCTCTGGATTCGTCGAGTTCACCTCAATGAAGAAGTCATAGCTGGGATCCATGTTGGCACTGTATGTGGGATTGAGAGCCACTTCGAACTTCACGGCCTTGCCGGACGGGAAGGGATTTCCCAGGTCACACTTCAGCAAATGCACCTCCTCAGTCGGCGCCGTGCACGTGATCGGCGTTGCTGGAGCATCGCCAATGGGCCTCAAGTTCTTGTACTTCACACTTGGCGGAATTGTCATGTAGAAGCTCGTCTCAAAGGCATCCTCACCACCGTTGGTCACCAACACTTCAAATGTCAGCAAATCTTTGGAGCCCAGCAAGAATTTATCCACAGTTCTGACACGATAGAGAAGGAGAAAATTGAGCAATCAGCGATGGTTATCAGAGACCTGCATATGCACTATATCTTACTTGATCTCCACTCGAATATCTGGAATGCATTCATTGTCTGGTCCACAATTCTTCTGAATATGAATAGAGTCACGCTGGATGAGTCCCAGATTGTGATCGAGAATCGGCTCGAGTGCAGCACGTCGACGCCGGGATTGGATTGACTGGAGAGGCGGAGGTGATTGTGTTCGCAAATTGTACTTCATCTCAACTTCCAGTGATGTTAATTTATCGCGAATGGTTTCCTGAAGAGTAAAACCATATAGATCAAATGTCAGGAAATTGATTTATACGCAAGATTTTACCGGAATGTACACTCGATCCTTCCTGCAGTCACTCCTCCCGCGCGAGAGTCTCATCGATGCATTCCTGATGTTCCTATTCTCCTCGTTCAGGAAGAACATCCTCGGCTGTCGCAACTTCTTCGAATCCAATATCCACGAGATTTCAATATCAATTGTCGGTGGCACATTTATCCCGTCATACCTCAGGCAGGAGTTGATCACAGCGCACGTGACCCTCTGCCTGCTGGACGTGGTGCAATTCTTCTCATCCAGCGAGATCAGCTTGTTGTCCGTCTCGAAGCCCACATTGGCGTGCAGCACCACAACGGGTCGAGACTTGAACACAATGGCCTTGCTAGCCTCATAAGCGCCAACCACGAGATCGGGGTACTGATTCCCATCCAGGTCCATGCCACCCGCCAGCGAGAAGCCGAAAGTGGTGAGATAGGGCGTCCCAATGACATCTTCAGCGTAGATAATCTGGGAAGCCTTCGGCAGGGGTCCTTTGCTCGAGCCATAGAATATGTGAACTGCTCCCTGACCTCGCGGGCCATCGTATGGCGCCCCTACGGCAAAGTCCCCATACCCATCGAGATTGATATCGCCGAGAGATGTTAGCGCCAGACCAAAACGACCCTTGGACGTCGTGCCGTCTCGCGTGTCGAGCTCCTGGAACTTCTTATTGTGGTACATGATATACACTCTGCCCGTCTCATACTTCCCCTCATTGTTGGGCTCCGTGTACATGGGCGCCCCAATGATCAGGTCCTCCAGCTTGTCTCCATCCACATCCACAGCGGCGAGAGAGTAGCCAAAGTACGCTCCAATTTGCTCTCCCGTGATGTTCTGCTGATTGGTGAGATTCCACGTGTAGATGAGCACTTTTCCCAGCAGTCCTCCACCTCGTGGCATTCCCACAGCCACTCCGGCCACACCATCTCCGCTGAAGTCTCCACTCACCGCCGAGTAGCCGAGATACGAATCATCCTCAGAAGCTGTACTCTCGCTCGTCTGATACACCTTCACGCCGGGATTTGAGATTCCCGTGGAGTAAATTTGTCCTGCACACACGGAAGAGAAAGCATTAGTCACTCTCGCCGCGTGGAAATGGCGAATGAAGCCGAATTGGCGAAAGAAAAGAGAGGAAGTAAACAGAAGTTAGTGGCTTTCACCTCCTGAGTTTTCTGCATTTTTGCAATAAATGCGTCCTTCTGTCGAGAATTTCTCAACAGAGCACTACAGAAAAAAAATGTTAAAGGCAAAGAAAAGTGAACCAGTATATCGGTTATTACACAATCATTACCTTCACCAAAAAGCCATTTACCCACAAAATTGCTGATGAGCCACAAATAAAACGTCTCTGTGTCTTTTACACCAACTCCCAAAATTGCATTGTGATAAGTTTTGCGCTTGGAATTTATGTTTCCTACACATTTTCTTATCACGAAGCAAATTTAAGCGGAATATTAAAATAGCACTATTATTCTCCTTATCAGCTATAATACATGTTTTAAAGGAAAAAGCCAAAAATACGCTCCAAATCTATCATTCTTGCTCACAGTGAGATTATTTTTATGTATACACAGGCTTTTGCCACGATTTTCTGCAAGATCGTCTAATAAAACACTGTTTTTGCATTCTCGCTTACCAATTCAAATGACTTTCGTGATATTTGTAATTCCTCATCGTGCTCTGGCGAGCCACCGAACTCTGAATTTAGTTATTGATATTGTGATTCTCGAAAAAATAAAGACCGGAAAGAATTTAATGCAATTTGTATTCCAGAGATGTGTTCTCTTTGTGGAAGAAATCAAAGACTTTCTTGTTCTTTTTGCATATATGTGTGTGAATAAATTCTGTACTTTTTACTTTATACTTCAGCGAGGAAAAAATTCAGGGGCAAAATACTTTTTGGCACGTTTGCAAGATTGCTTTTTTTGCACATCGCGCGGTGCTTGTTTAATATTTGCAGAATTACGGACACTTTAGATGGAAAACACAGGTAGAAATGCGACAAATATTTGTTTGATTGAAATCTTATATTTGCAGAAGCTCATTCGCGACACTGAGAGGATTTTCTTCTCGGTGACGGAATCAAAATGATCACTCAAAGAGTGTAGATTTGGAGCACATTTTCACAAAAATCTTCTTATCTCACATAAGATAATAATGAGGAATGACATTGGCCATATTACTAATGAGGCATCGTGACAAATGGGTTGGAGAATTTGTGAAACTGCACTGATAAGAGACTGAAACAAATGGATATCTCAGTATGAGGTTTTATCTTTCCATCGACGACAAGCCTTCAACTTTTACGCCACTTTTGCATCTCTAATGATGAGTGAAATGTTTTTGGTCAGGGGTTAAAAACTGCAAGAAGCCAATTGATGAGCACTTTTTAAAACACAAATCTTTCTCAGACTGCGACAAATGGGTAAGACACAAAATAGTAATAACAGAAAATGAACGACAAAATGAGTGATAACCAAAATCCAAAATAAAATGTGATGTCATTGTAGTTAACGGTAAAATGAATATCGGTTGTTGTTTTTATTTTAGATAAAAGAAGCTCAATTAACACCGGCGAATCAGCGGCTTTTCACGTGTTATTTTGTACAATTTTGATGTTTTAGAAAAAAAATATGGATTAAGAGATTATGGTAATAAGAGGCTGTATTTTGCAGTGCTTGAATGATTGATTACCTCCTTCGCCGTACTGTCCGTATCTTGGTGGCTTATATGGGTATTCAATTCCAGCGCGCATTGAATACAATTGTCCTACATTCCGCGAGACAGATCAATTGAGAGAGAGAGCCATTTTCATGAAAATGTTATGTCAATTGGGAATTAAATTTCAGAAGAGGAGAGATGTAATTCAATAAATGTAATTAAATATGATATTGTTGAATGGGTGAGGGAAATATAGACCAATGTGGGTTTTTATTGTTGTTGTTTTGTCGTGTATATTTTCAAAACATTATTATTGATGGATAGTTTTTTTTTTTGAAGGAGAATGTTTTCCGTATATATTTTTCAATGAGCAGAGTTTTTTGTCCATTGACATGTGGCGCAATAATGAGGAGTATCATGTGTAAAACGTAGACAAGGGTTGGATGATTGAGCAGCATTCAGTATGGATTTTTTGTTTGTTTGATTGGTCATTCATTGATGAAGGGCAGGAGCAGGCGCAGGCACGAGGATCACACAAAAATATACAATAAGGTATTAATTTGTGGTTCTCCGCACAGGAAGAGTGAAGAAAAAATCCTTATTAATTACATTATATGTGGAAAAAAACCTTTTTCAAATACTACAACTCATTGCGAAGAAAAAACTCATCAAAAAGAAAACAGATGATATCAAATTAAGTATTCCTATCAAACTCTACAGAAAGAAAGATAAATTTGATGTGCTATTTAATAAATTATTTATGACATATTTAGAAAAAAAAACAGTCATTTAAATGTATTACCTCCTGAGATAAAGGATAATTTCTCTTCAACTATCATATTGCAAAATGCAAATGCATGTGTAATATAAGGAATATTGCTCTATTGTCTCTTACCTTGCCAATACCAGCTGCCAGGAGCACCAATAAAGACTCGTTCACCATTCTGATCATGCATAGACGTTTTTCCGCGATCATGCGTCGTTCGAAGAACAAAAGCGGATGAAGATGAAAAAGAAAAGGGCAAGAAAAAATGTATTAGTATAAATATCCTAACAATTGAAGACAATATGACTTGATCATTGGCCAGAGTCGAGGCAGTTTAACAAAACACGCCTGCGTTTTAGTGAAACTACCTTGCAATCGCACCGGCATTTTATTAGTCTCATTGATGACTTTCATACCTTCGATATTGCTGCACTGAAGCCCGCTTGACAAGATCCTTGACGATGATAGCCCCAGTACACTGGAGGAAGACATTAAAATATCACACAATATTGCGGCTCAAGTGATTCTCAATTCGTCTTATGAATCCGTTAACGAGCTATTGAAAAATTAATGCAGTGTTGAAGGAGAGAAAGAAGAGAGACCCACCAACGCATATTGGGAAACCATGTGAGAGGAATACTCATTAGATTCATTCTCTTCCCATTCTTCAATTTCTTTGTGCCTCAGATTTACCACCCTGACCTCTCAATCACATCCACACAACCCTCGAGGTCCGGCTTGAATTACACATAGGATGAATGAAGAGGTGGAGAATATTTTAGGACAAGAGAGTGTCACATCAAGCGTGCAGGATTATCTACCCTCTGTTGACTTCTTAAGAAGCCAAACACCAAGAGAACTTTGTTCTTTCAATTTCCGACACTGATCTCGTCTCACACACCATCACAAAATATTCCTCCTTTTTCTCCTCCGCCTCCGGAAGCCATAAAATGCAGCGAAGGGAATGAGAGAGACAAAATTTTGCCTCTGATTTACATGTATCAAGTCAGTCGGGAGATTCTCGAGCGTAAAGACTTGCTCTGGGTTTCTTTCTTTGTATCCTTTACTTGATGATAAAAGGTCCCAAGAACTCTTGCAGTGACCTCATATTTTTCATTCCATCTCCACAAATATCCAGATGATCATTCTGACTAACCCAAGATATTGTCTCTGACTGACACTATCAACAGCATCTGATCGCTTACAGAATTAGAAAATGCCTTTAGAGATATCACTAATTAGAGGAGGTTAATCTTGAGACCTATTGTCGACTTGTTTAAGAGCGTTGAAGGGAAGATAATGGCCTTTGAGAGTCTGTTGAAGTAATCATCCAAGCAATTTCTATCTCTTCTGGGTGATTTAAAATGAAATTCCCAAGCATTTCCTGACAACAAGGCCACAATAGCGCGGAAATTAAGACCTTCCAATCACCAGTAATGTTCAATTAGTTATGCCACACCGCCAATTTACCCATTAAATGTACACCTTATAAAGCCACCGAGGAATATTTGATAACACGAAACGAATTAACTGCAAAAGGAGACGCAATGTGGAGAGCGCTAGTCTGTGTTTGTTGGTTTTCCTCTCCTCCCACTTCTCAAGCATACAATATTATCGTGAAAAGAACTCTTATAGCCCTAATAAATCCCTCTTCACCATGGTATGACACTAAATTATCAAAGTTATGGGATTCATTGGCCACACTCTCGTATCTTCCCATATACAAAATACCCCATTCATGAAATTATTGCATTTCATTTTCATCCCATTTCCGCAGTGACTTGACCTTTACGCGCGAACCGAGCACTCCAGCAAGGCGGCAAGGAGGGAAGATTGTATTGGTCCAATTCGATAAATCGATATTATCAGCAGGGTGGAGAGAATATGTGTGTTTTACTCTTTAGTGATCATTCGTGGTATAATACGCGGAGAGGATGTGGAATAAGTGTGAAATTAGAGAAACATGTAGAATGGAAATAAACACTTCAACTCACTTGTTCGACACGGTGAATACTCTGTAAACTCAGCCAGATTGCTCTTTGCCAAATAGCATGTTCCAACGGGCTCCACTCTTTCAACTTTGCGCGGTGACATCGTGTGAAAGACATATCTTGGAGCACATGCCTGAAAAGATGCAACACCAAGGAAAATTACTCAGATGGCATTTAAATTAAAAAGGTCATGACATAAAATTGTGAGACCGCGCAGATATTGCACTTATCGCGATGAAGTGTGGCAAAATTGTTCAACATTGGTGTGATACAGAATTCAAAACACTCCATCTTCTCATTTTTCCTCCTCCCCACTGTCTCCCCAACATCCTCCTTCAGCCACTCTCAGCCTCTTTTTGCAACCTCTCCGCGCGACCATCATCTTCTTATATGATTGCACATGGCAAAACGCTATTCGCAATGTCTCTCTTTTTCTCTATCTCTATGTGGCATGTAATGCACGAACTTGAGATTCAATTTTTAAAACGGTACACCAACTTTAACTGATGTCTCCATTATCGGAAACTAGTACCTGCTCAGTGCATTTATGATGCGCTGCGGCTGTAACATTGGCGCAAGAGATGACAATATTCCAGATTGCATTTATTTCGAGAGGTTTCTTTATCTCTTTCTCGCTCTCTTTCGCTTCGATAAACTAATTCTCACCTCATTAAAATCCCTCATAAAATTCTTCGGCGATTCTCACACACACGCACATGCTCTTCTTCACCGTCACCCCATCGTAATCATTGTCTTTCAATCAGACAGGATTTCGTGGTGATGTTTTGTGGCCAAACTATCATCCACGTTCATGGACAAACACACCATAAAGTGGAGGTGAAAGGAAAATTAGCCAATAAATGAATTAACTTTCCACCCATCATCAAGATCCTCTTAGCACCCAGTGGACAAGGCGCACATTACCGAAGACCTGAAAAAGCATCCACAAAACAGCTGAAATAACTCATGTGTAGGTCAACAACAAACGTCGAGGTTGCGCTTTTATCATATTCTGCCCAGATAAGAACATTTTGCGTGTGAACCTCTCCTAAATTATTCCCTAATCTTCCTGTCTTCCTCACACGCAGACTAAATAATAAATCAGAATACGGAAAGCCTGCTGTGCACTGCAAATTCCTACAAAACCACCTCTCAATACCAAGTCGTGTGGCAATCTCAGCCGGGCTGAGATGTTGATCAAGAGCGGGAATGGACAAAAAATGCCTGCCAATCAAGCAATCAAGCAAAAATCAACACGCAAATTGATTATATTTAATTTTGCGTGTATGCTTGACACGCACGAAAGAATATTTCACACACAATTCGTCCTTATCACTGTCCTAAAGGGGATGACCTACATTAAATACTTTATTGTGTGCCAAGGAGGGTCTAATTTTCTTCACCTTGGTCCCTTCAAACCAACATATTTTATGTCTTTTCTCCACCTTTCTGACTCTCCCTTTCGGTCTGCTTTTTGCTGTCTCTTCGCTCAGCGACTCTACGCTTGGCAATTTGGCAATATTTGCTAAAGCTGCCGAATTAAAAAGGTAAATTTTCACACACAAGAAGTGAGATTGAGACAAATTTTCCCACCTTCGAAGGCGTAAATGTGTTAAAACGGCAATAAAAGAAAATCACCTCGTCCATTAGCTATCGATTTTATTCCCAAGAAGTGAAATTTAGGCCACATGGCAATCATCGCTGGGTGGGAAGCGAGGAGATAGTCGCTCCGCTGAAGAGATTTCCAATTGGAAGAGCACCTCAATCGATTCACAGTCCAAAGGTGTGGTCTCCTCTGTCCACCACATTACGCTTTAGTTGCTCATTTCGTTTTTTTCCTCTCCTACGCTCTATATTGCTCCGCAAATTTGATTTTATTGCGCTCTATTTATAATATTTTACGCCTCCCTCGCGCTTCACCATCCCTCGACAGACACAATCATCGACAGTATTTCATTCACTGCCCAAGAACAATGAGCGGCGCGCGTACGAGGAAAAAGAGCAATAGAGGAAGGACAGACAAATGATATTTCCTTTTCTCTAAACCATCACACCACGAGATTACACGTGAGAGCGTCAGCAAAGCTAAACACAGGAATGGGAAAAAAACTGCTTTTATCAATTGTGTCTCTGCTCACAAGTTGCGATGAGACACAACAAAAATAAATAACTTAATGCACTTGGTCGGCAAGAAGTGTCTCTCGCGCGAAAGAAGGAAGAAAACATGGTTTGGTAGTGAGGAAAGGAAAAAAAAAACAGCACAAGAGAAAGATATTGAATTTAAGAGGCCAACAGAACGAAGAAACTAACATGCGAGAAGTTAAAAACAGAGTTCTCTTCTCTTATGCTCAGCCAACAGTTCCTTTCAAGCATTCCAATGCAAATTTTACGAGTCATATTAAGATAATACAAACCGAAAAACGACATACTACCACTTTAAAGGGCACGCTGCTATGGGAGGCTTTGGTCTTTCGGGGGGACCGCCAATGGGACCCCCACACACACCGCGTGTGTGCGGAGGAAGCGCGGAAAGAGGTTGGCAAGAGTTGCAAGGATCGCATCTCTCTTATCTCCTCTTCTCTCTTTCCACCTTCTTTTTGCTGGTGGCTGCTAAACTTTATTGCCACCACCATTGATTCTGCTGCAACAGGCATTTAATACAAATTCAAACACATTATAAGAGATGTTGCAAATTCCTCTCCTCATTCCCACTGGCTTCGGATGAAAACCAAATTGTCTTGTCGATATTTATACTAAACGCATTATTCACTAACCATTTATAGAGTGTTGAAAGGGTGAAAGGCAGTGGCGAGATAAGCAAAATTATCCTCAGGCCAGGTGGGATCTTGTTGAGGACCTAATAGGTCTCTCATGTTGCAGACGGACAAGGATGTTTGCTTATGGAAGTTCTCCATTAGGAGATAAAAAGTCGCTTGTTCAAGAAATTATATCAGAAAAGTCTCCATGCAGATCCAAATCGCACTGTAGCTCATAAATTATTTCATGAAGTCATGAACACATTCTAAATATAATCACTTTACGTCAGTAAAGGAAAATGAGGAAAATACACCAATAAAATTTCAATTCAGAGTCTCTAAGTTTGTAGTGCAAATAAATCGTTATACACTTCTTGAACGCCCTTAAAAAGGCCACCCGCGTTACATATTATCTATCGAGAATTCTCTCGTTGAAAATTGCATTAATAAATCATCAACAAAATGAGGAAGACAATGTAAAGAGCCATTGGTCTGGACAGTTTTCTTTCCAAGTATGATTTACCTTCACTCCCATATTTCAATTGATACGCTCTTCCATTAAATCACTCAGTTCTGTTCACATTGTTCGAGAATATTGTGGTTTTTCGACAGATTTGTGGTCAGCGAATATCCACATCTTCTTGCCCCGCCATCAGCCCCTTGCATCTCTAATAAAGCCATGAAAGTACAGTCGGAAGACGCCAGAACGACCGCGCATTCAAATAAAGTCGCGGCTCGAATACAAGAAGCTGGGATACTAAGAGATTCGTGATATGGAGGAGGCACTTCTTCTTCAGCATTCTCCTCCTCAGCTTGTAATCGCGTTTTACACATATTTGTCTCGCACACAATTATTCAATTAAAAAACATGAACATTTTTCTTCTTAAATGCAACTCCTGCGCCTCCCTTCATCTGGGCCGTCAATAAAAATATCTTTAGTCTTGGTTCCCCTTTCACTTGCTCGCAGAGCCACGAAAGAGTGGTTGAGGCATTTTGTACGGTTATTGTGGTGGCATGTGATCTCTTCAACTCTTGACATTGCATGCCATTAATTAATAATACACACTGGGTAGATAGATGAGATATTTAGACAGAAAACCAGCATGAAGTCACACAGTTTTTTTTGCGCTACCACTTCATTGTCGGATTTTTTTGTCAGCCACGATGTTGTATGTTTGTCTCTTGGAGTGAGGAGAATTTGTTAGGAGACAGACTTACCACAACGGGTCCATCGGATCCTGAGCTGGAAACGGTTGCTCCAAACCATTGAAAAGATTTTGTATCCACTCGATCATTTTGTTCGTTCCTCTGAGGCCCTGATATTCGGATGGTTGAGCAGTGAATGGGAGAAAAAAGAATGAGTTAGTCTCAAAATAAATAATTAGTACAATTTATCATGTATAATCAAATATAAGAGAGACACAATGCGACCAACAGTTTTGTGAAACACATCAATTGAAATGGTAGAGACGAGCGAGAATAGAATAATACAGAAAGAGAAGATGATAGAGATTTTCATGAGGTGGATAAAGCGCGAGTTTTGAATACGTGAGGCGTGGAGATCACACATATTTCTAATATGATTGATTTTTTATTTATATTCCACCAAAAGCACGATGAAGACTCCTTTGGGAGATGCTCATCTACGAGTATTGTGCTGAATGTTCACCTTTGATTCATTGACAACAACATCAACGCACACAACAAATAACGTGAATGAATGAAATCACATTTTATGAATGATTGTTGTGATAATTTGGTGCACTATTGCTCGATCAAGGGGTTAGTCATACTCATTCGATAAGCCACATTGCTGCTCATTCCTTTGCTGCATGACTACGCTCTGACTAACCCCTTGGCTGGAAGAATTTATGATCTTTTTTTTCTAGCATGGATGATCTATTGAATGCCTGACATCAATTGCTCTTTGATGGGAGAGAAATGCTTTGATGATCAACTAAATGGCACACAAGAACCCACCTTTAAGTGTTAAAAAACACTTGTTCAGACCTATGCACAATACACATATATCATCATTTAATTGGAGAAATTATTAATCATCATAAATAGCCAACGAATGGTATTACATTAGTCCCCAAATACATTAACCTATTGCAATACAATATTTCTCCTCGTCGAAGCATAATTTATTGCAAGCATGTGCCTCCAATACAAGTAATGGTTTTCGAGGAGGCAATAAAAGAATCATTTCTCTTTGACTGAAAATTTTTCCCATAGCGGATAAATTATAGTGGAAAACATAAAATTTATATTCCCCGTCTTTTCTATATTTGATTTTTCCCCTCCTGTCGTGTCCTCAAGATCGCACGAATGCATATGAGATTGAGAAATAAATAAAGAATCGCGGGAGAGAAGGAAAGATAGGCATGAGAAGAAGTCCGAGTGGAAAAAAAGTCTTTTGCCCATATCATTGTGAATCCCATTGAGATGGATATTTAAATGCATTTTACTTTAAAAGGAGCGTATAAAACGGGATTATGAATTTATACAATAAGTAATTTTATATTGCAAAAGTGTCTCCTTTCTCTCGCCCTTCTGCGCGCACCTTCTCTCCCTCTCTCTCTCTCTCTCTCTCACATATTGCTCAAAGCCACACAACCAACAAGAATAACATCTCACCAAATGGCAAATAATAACAATAAAAGAAGGTAGAATCTTTCAATTCTATTCTAAATTTCCCCTGTCTCGCGTGTTTGTTTCTCTTTGCGATTCGCTTATACGCCAATCTTTTTGTCGTTTTGCCTCCCGACAGACACTATCGAATACTTTGTCGCTCTCTTGTCGTGTGTTTATTCCTTATGCCACAAGGGAGAATTTGCGCGACTTGCGGCAAGAAAATACACACAAAACACCACCTCTCCCTCTCTCAGCCATGGAAATATTGTCGTGGGGAGGGAAAAAAGAACAAGTTATGCTAATATAATTTGGACAGTACATTGATTTGTTGAATAAGGTGTATCACAGCATTTTCTTATCCCTTCGCCGCGTCTCCTGTTATTATTCACATCACACAGCACAATGGCAATACAATAATCTTCAATTTTCATGCTACGATAACCGCCATACAGATAATATTTCAGGCCAATGATCAATTCATCTCCCTCGCCCGGAGAGATTATATTCAACTGAAGCACGAGCGTCGAGGATTCTCTCTCATTTACAAGCAATTTTGGCCATTCGGCGAATTGTTCTGCGAAATGTTTCTGAATAGCATTTAATGTGTTTCTCCATTCAATAAAAATCTTGTGCTCTTGTTTTCTGCTTCATATCTGTTCATTTTTTTTCTTGTACATTAATATCGACAGACTGTTTGATAAACTCACGGAAGTTTTCACAAGATTCCTCAGCTATTTTTTCCTTACTTACAGCAAATATAAAAGTCGTCCCACTCTTGAGAGTAACGCGCATTCTCAGCTTGTGAAACTCAATGTGAGTTATTTGTTTTAAATTTCTGCCTCTCTTAGCATTTTCCCTCCTTTGACTGACCATGTCACATTGGAAATCTTGTACAGCACTCACATTTTACATCGTTTGTCAACTCAAGAGTCAAGTGAGATGGACAAAAAATGCATATTGTTATCTTGTGGCAATAAAAGATGTAAAACAGAAGTTTAAACAACGTCACACGTAATCCAAATTGCCTCTCGGGGATAAATTCCAAATAATAATAAGCCTCTGCTAATAAGTGTTTCAATTAACATCAAATAATGTCTCTCGAGAGTTGACGTTTTTCTCCTTATGCTCTTGATTAAAGATTCTTATGTAATTTTGCACTTACGACTTCATTGTGACTGTGTTGCTTGTGAAGTGAATTAATATTCTTTCCAGAGCCGATATATATGTATGTTTGTGGCCTTCTCGAGATTATTCTAAGGCGGCATTTTCGTCGGCCCACAAATTAAAATGTTGATTTTAACGGTATGAAAGCCATGTTGGAAATACATATTAATTTATACAAATTGTGAGGTTTTCGGAAAGCATGTGTTTCAAACCACGTATCGTGGTGTTGAATTGCAAAAGAGAACCAATGAGTGAGATAAAAGTGAAAAAGCAACAAGCTGAATCTCTTGGGTTTGTAAAATACCCCAAAGGCTCTCACTCTTACGTGGATACATAGTGTATCGATAAAAAAAACATCCACTTGAGTACATTTCCACCAAGATTGCATCCGCGGCCGAAGAGTGTTGTTGCTTCATCGTCGGCACGGCAAACATTAATAAATCACATTGTTGTAGTTTTTAAAGTCATTCTTCATTTAGCATCCTATCAAAAGTTATTAATATGATGACTTTTCTTCATTTTCTGCCGTGGGTAAATATCTCACTGCAGCCAAAAGAGTACGAAATAGAAGTGAATAAGAGAATTGAGGAATGAAATCATGTGAGTAAACACCAGAGAGGTATATAATATTTGCATACACACATTAATTCTTGCCTTTTTCCTCTCATACATCACCACAAAATCTACAGTGGGTGGCACAAGTCTCAAATCGACGGCTTTTATGATGCCATTTTCTCAGCATGTTGATTGGAAGAGGCATAAATTTGACAGAGAGAAACACGATTTTGAAATTGCATCTTCAATATTAATATTTCCACTGGGAAAATTGAAAGATCGTAATGAAATCATGCGTGTGTGCAGTTTTCGCACTCAACTGTATCTAGCTTTACCTGTTGTATTTCCTCTCTTTAAGTGTCTATGTTTAAATTTGGTTAATAATATTGCCACGCTGTGTGACATGAATTTCTGTTCAACTAAATAAATTACGGAGACTCTAAAGGCAAAGAGACAGAGAGAGAAAAAATTCAATTCACCATAACTCTTATAGTAATCTTGTAGGTGGCTATTTTAATGGGTTTTCTGCTTTATGAATGGGTGTCGTTCTTCTCATCAATAAACCACAGCCGAGAGAGAGACAGAAGAAAACAGAGAGAAAATGTATGAGCAATAATAGAAAATTACCATTTCGGTCGAAGGGAATTATTTGGCAGTGACTATCTGAGGCGAGATCACATTTGTAGACTGCTCCACCTTTGATAACTTCTGGCTGAATGGCGGAAGTGTCCGCCTGTGGGGCTCCCACAATTATCCTGCAAGAGAGACAAGAACACCAGCATTAGTGTTAGAAAACAGTCATGTTGCCATTTGAGGGACGCTCAATTGATCTGAGCGGAAATCAATCACATATCGACATTCCTCCCGCGGGAATCTTCAATTTCTTTAGCAAATGGCACAATATTTTCGTCATAATTCCTCCATATGTCCATCGATTGCCGTGCCAAGAGTGAGAGAGAGACACATGTGATTTTTTAAAGGCCACTCTCATGTAAATTTTCATCTGTTTTACATTATATACTCGCGGGACAGCAATGCGCTCAGTATCTTGGTCACAAAGCACACTCCCGTCGTCCACCTCCTCAACATCATGCCAGTGATTCAAGACCGAATATTGAAATGGACAAAAATTGTCTTAAAGATCGTTTTCGCTGATGTTTCTCTCATCATCAGCCTTTTTGGTTGTGTGATCTTGTCAGATGTGTGTGCACAATCGTTTACAAGATATATTTCCCCACTTTTTCTCTCGCTCACACAATATGCCATCAATAGTTTGGGAGCTGTACATAATCCATTGGAAAGATCTCTGTGTTTCTCTCGCAGTGACTCTCTCACTTTTCTGACAGAGTATTCTCTTCCAATTGAGAATATAAGGCACAACTCCTCATATCGGCGCTGTTTTTCTCAGATTCTTACATTGATCACCACAGCTTCTGTTGCCTTTTCCATCCAACACCACACAACATTGCTGGGCGGCCTACGTAGGAAATTGTTGAGGGGTTTGTCACCAAACAAACATGGTGCATTTGTTCAAATAATATTTGATTCACTGATTCCACAAGAAGCTCAAATTACACATCGCAATGATGAGACAAGCCATGTCTTTTGTCAAGCATTCCCATTTACCCATTCAATCAATTGCATGATCTTCCGATTTCCACGTTTCTGTGTGTTATCTTAAAGACAAACAGTGGCTTATTAAATGCCGAATTATACCAAAAAATAACCCTCCCCTAAATGCTGAAGTATTGCAGAAATCGGAAGTAATAACAGTGTTTATCTGTTAAATGCAGGGCAAGAGACCTTCATTACAACCTCTCCTCTCTGGGAAGACTTAATTTCTTCGTGATTCACGTGAAACCAACCTGTCATCAATAAGTTCTCCTTGCGACCTCCCTGAATACACATATATTTCAATTGATTATTCGAGCCCCTTAATATTTATATTTATTAACTACATGGCCACAAATCCTAATTTAATAAGCCACATTGTTAAAATATTGACGCAGCTGTATTTTGTAACATTTGACTAATTTTTCATGGTAATTTAAAGCCCCAATAAACCGATCTCTCGCCATGAAACACGATCATGCGGCATAACAACATATTCCGTGGACAAAAAGTGTTCAGATGCACTGCCCTCGAGTGATTCTGGAATGGGGAAGAGAGGCTCATCACCACTGTCACACATTGTGCTTCTCCCACATTTGCTTCCCATGATCAAGTGTGAGATCAAATGTGATCGTCAAATATCTTAGTGTTCAAATATCATTAGTATCTTATTTAAGCCCTATTTACTATTGTATTTGTTGTTCTCCTTAGCTGCATCTTCTCTGTCATGCGGTCTCCACGATCGCACGAGCACGGCATGGGCAATTTATTATTACACAAGCCTATGCGGCGCTGTGTGGATATATTGAAAACGGAGTGAGAATTGATGGGGATCCCGCTCCGAAGATCGCCTTTCCAGTCAAATCCAGGGGCACCGCCGGAGACAGTAGTCGCTACAGTCAAGTATTTCTCACTCTATCTGTATCGTTTCCAGTGAAGCGAAGATACGATAGAGGAGAAATGCAACAACCGAGGGAGATGCTCTGCAGAGTGTTCAATTGATCGCCTGTTCGCCATTAGATATATGCCGCACAGTCGGTAAATTACAATATTGCTTCATTGGCAGATCACCCCTGGCGAGTTGTGCTGCATCAATAAAAAGAAACCCATCCAACTGGTTCATCATTTTCGATTAGCGCGCGTCACAAATATAATCAATGGAATCGCGCAACGGACAATTGGGATGAATTGAATTATACGTCCGCGAAGAGCGAGATCACTTGAAATATATGTAACAACGGAAAGGAGATTCCCCGGAGCAGAATTACAAATCACTTTATATCAATTTGTACGATTAACAGGCAGCATTTTGCACAAGATCCAATGCGATAAATTGCAACTCTCCCTTTCCTCGAGTGCGTAGGCACTCTTTCAGTGTGCGCCAGCGCGCGCTTTTTGAGTAACGCAACTGCTGTTTCATCAGGCATTTTGCCAAGTTAAATTAACAATCTAAAATTAACTTATTGTGAATCAGATCATGATCTTGTGCGCCTGCTCAAGTTACTCCGAATCACTGTCACACGACGACGATGTGTCCCTCTGGAGAGAACATTCGCCCCCTTGATGGGCTCTTCTTTTCCACCTCACTTGATCAAATTGATGAGGAAGAGACAATGATGATTGTTACGGAGGAGACGACAAAGTGCAGAAGCAGAAATTCCACGCGAGATTGCTACAAATTGCCCATCTATTTGTCTCTTGGGAGTCCTCCGTCTCCATCCTCACCATCCAGAGAGTCTCTCGCGAGTGGCTCACGCCTCTAATCTTTTAGTATATTTTTGTATTTGGAAGATTGCACTTAATCTGGAGTTGTGTTAAAAAATAAACCTTTTCTCCCTAGCTTTTCTCGTCTCATCTGCACGGGCGCGCTCTCACTCTGTCTCGTGTCTTCGACATCAGAGATTTCTTCCACGATTTCCAACGTGTTGTATGTTATTCTCTCATCCCAAGAGTCGTATTCTAAATATTAGTTCCCCACCATCTATTTTTGGAGCATCCGCAACTAAATAAATACCTTATTTACTCATCCATACATCACCACATTTATGTACGTGAGCATAAAATTCACAGAAGTTGAGGAAAAAGACATCTTTTACGCACATATGTGCACCACATTGCACATTTCGCCTTAAGTGAAAGGACCCTCATCACTGAGTAAAGGAGGCGAAATCGCCTTGTGCAACTTGCCAGAGACAGTAATTACCATTTCCGCTGGGACTCCTGATGCAGGGCCACACTGAATCCGAACATGGCATCGTGGTGTCCCTCGTACTTCACATAATTCACTGTATCCACATTGAAGGCCTGGGCAGTGTCCAGGAGTGTGATATGGAGGATGAGGTAGGCGCCACACCATGTCAGGAGATTCACGGATCTCCACCACAGTCTCGTCATCTTTCAACGTGATGTAATGCTGACCAATTTGCACAACTTTTCCACAGCACTGGCTGATCCAATCTCGTGCGCCACACACACACTTCCTCTTCAGGCACACTCTTCAGATGGCCATCCCGTGCCACTTGGAAGTCGAAGGCACACACGGCAAGGCACTCCTCGGACGCACGGACTCACTGATCCCTGGACGGCCGTTGAATTTCTGGGCACCCACACAGTCCTCTCAGAGCGGAGTGTCTTCACACGGCCGAGTCATGAGCACAACTGAGCTTTCCTCACGGCTCGCACTGTCGTTGCCAACGGTCGCTCGCGCGCTGTGCCTGTGTGTCTTATTGGAAGTGGCTGAGAGCGCCAAACAGCAAGATTCCGGACGGCGCGCTGAGAGCAATTGGCACTGGGACACCCTGTGCCGGCACGCGTGGAACTAGAGCACAATGCAGCCTCTCTCTGGCGTCTCTCTCTCCGCGTTTCATGCATTGCTTCTCTCTCCAGGCACTTCTGAGACGCAGTGGGAAAGCGAATGAATTTTTCTGAGATTAAATATTAAATTTTAGAAAATAATAATTTCGTTAAAATGATGGCAGTGATTTTGGACGAATTAAAATATCAACTCTTAAAATATGACTAAAAAAAGAGCGAAATACACACTAATATGTATTGTCTAATGAGGGAGTTTCTGCTCTCGAAAAAGGTCTGATTCGTCTGATTATATTCAATTTCCAGCGTGTCTTATGTGCAGGAGCACCGAAGAAGATCGATACTTTTGGGTAGTTCCATGCTTGTTGCTCCATTCCAAAACCCACGATGGGGTCTGTTTTTATCAAAACAGTCCCAATGAAGCCCAATTTCACAAATAGTACCAATTGGAAGAAGATCCTCAGCCACGGTTGATTCACGGTGTGATTGTGTCGAATTTTTTGATGATTATAGTTCGACAAGACAAGAGAACCTGGTAAAGATAGATTACTCATATTCCAAAAATATTATATTAGGGGCAATAATGAAGTGCTGGGAAATGGGATATGGATTTTTCTTCATTCTACATAATATTTTCTCAGAAGCGATTTGAGAAATGTGTTCTCAATCCTCTTCATACCACACAAACTCCTGGACAAGTCCCTATATAATTTTTTTTTTTACAAGAAAATAATAATAAATTCTATAAAATCCAGAGAATTACGGCACGACTTTAGAATAACTTTGAGCTTCTCAGAGCGAATTAGAAAAATTATTTATGAGTAAAGGTTCTCCACGCCACTAAATAACTCGTCAAATACTCCATCCACTCATTGAATTTGATGAGTTGCAAGTTCAGAAAACTTCACTGAGTAAATGAACGGAAATTACCATCGGGAACATTGCAATTTCCAACCAAAAACAGCACTTTTCTCACCTCAAAATCCATTTCACAACAACGATTCACACAACACTTCAATTCTCCACCTCAGTGGCACCAGCGCTATTGGTGGATGATGCGCGAAGCAGAAGTCGCAGCGCCATCTATCACGGCGAGTTGCGGCGAAATGGATTCGTGTAATCACGTGGGACACCGTGCGCCAATCACAGAGCGCCCGAGTGGCCGGCGGCATGTGGTGAGCAAACCGAAGAGCCGAGTGTCTGAGCCGAAGTGGCGTGTGCGGAATAAATTGGCATGATCGAGGCGCTGGTGTTTCAGTCGGCATGTGTGGCCGCTTTCCTGTAGACCGACATTTTCTCTGACACAAGCGTAGAAAAAGTTTTCATCAACAGCCGCCATATTAACTTTTCGGGTCTCAGTAAAATTCGTGAAATTTGTAATCGTCTGTAGAGCGATTAAATGTACATAATATTGGGGAAAAGTTTGTGAAGAACGGTGAATAATGTGATTAGGGAGCGAGTGGAGTGATGAGTAGTGGCTATTTATGGGGTTAAAGTGTCGAAATTTGTGTTCATTTTCTGCGCTCATTGTTGGGGAAATTGAGTTCGGCTATTTTGAAGTCGTGAAATTTTTACTTCTTTATCTCGCCACCAATACATCACATTGGGTGGTCTTTTCCCGGCCATTTCTTTCTCGCTGCCCAGAGGAGTGCAAAGGGACCAGGAGGACCTGGTGGCCGGATCCGTGGGAGCCGTGGCGTTGGGGTGAAAAATCCAAGTGCAGCAGAGATCCACTATTTGTCGTCGATGGCCCAAACACAATGGCCAATGCCAAGTAAATGGTGGAAGCAGTGGAGGCTCGAGTGTTGAGAAATTTCTGGCGGACCAGAGACTGCACTGAGGCGCCCAGCAGCCACTTCCCAGGCGCGCTCCCACCATTTCGGGGGCCATTTTCACGTCCCGTCGCGCAAAAATCGCCTCCGCTGTGCCCTCGCGTGTCTCCCCGTCGCCCTGCCGCTGGCCACTACTGTCGCAACTCTCTGGGGCGCCGCGAGACTCGCCCCCCTCCGGAAGCGATGTGTTGAGGTGAGACGGGCAGCAGCAACCGAAGGAGAGCGCCCCATCGCATCTTGCAAATATGCACGGCAGGCGCCCCAAATCTCAGCAGATGCCAGCGCGTCTGGACGATCCGTGCAGGTTGGATGCCACCACGGGCAGGAGCCCCGCTGAGCCACCTCTCTCGGATGCCAGGAGGACTGGCCGGAACTGATTCTGCCAGTGTGCATTCGCATTGAGACCCACGGACGATCGTTTCTCGAGACGCGCGCGCCAGGAGAATCAAAACATCCATTGGACTAATTTAGCGAGAAAAGCAGTGTTGAAGGGAGGACTTTGAAGAGGAACTTTTGTGCTAAGAAATTCGTGGTGAAAAGGACTAATAACCAGTGAGGAAGAGAGAGAGAGAGGACATTTAGTGTGTTTTGACAGAAGGACAAGTGTGCAAAGTGTGCAGTGAAATAGGATGGCTGATCACTTGGATGAGGGGCCGCCACAGAAGCGGTCCAAGCATTCCTATCAGCAGGGCCCATCGGACTCCGGTGAGTGTCTGGCCACATGGTTTTGTTATTCTCCCGCCAAATTTGCCAACACTAATCAAAATGTATAAACACACTCTTTTCGCCCGTGCAGAATTGATATCGCGCAGCGATATATACAACTTGGAAGATCACCTGCCCGATGAGCTCGTGTCCAGTGGCACGAACTGGGGTGATCAGATGGCGAGCAACAAGCCGCCGGCCCAAGGCCCGGGCCCCGGTGGGCCGCCGCAGATGAACGGCGAGGATTCTGGCGTGGTGCCGCCGAGCGCCAACATCGCCATGCAGAGACTCCACCAGCAGCAATTGACGCATCTCATGCAACAGGTAAGTCACTCTCTTCTGCCCCAGAGTGACCGCCATGGCGCGGGGTCTCGCGGGGTGGCGCGCCAAAAAGTCAGTTTTGTGCTAACTTGCCGGTCCAAAGAGAACATGTGTGTCTTTGCAGGGAAAGCAGAACATGATCGGCGGCGTGGCGGCCATCGGAATTGGGCCGCTGGGCAGCAAGAGTCCCAATCTGCAGTCACCGCCCAACGCACAGGCGAGCATGTCCAACAATTTGGGTGTCGGCACGATGGGCAACTCCATGGTGATGTCCATTGCGAGCAATGGCGCTCCGCAGCCCATGAGTTCGCTTCAAGGTAAATACTGAGATGCATGCCTGTCTTTCTTTCGGGAGGAGGGTGTGGGGGTGGGTAGTTGAGGGTGGGGAAGACGCTGGAGCATGCGATTCGCCAAAGGTGATCTGTGCAGAAACAGAGAGTGTGCAGAAGTCAAGTTATTCTGAGAGCTCATGATGTGTCTATTTGAGAATATTCTGAGGGGAAATTAAAAACATCACAATGTAACCTATTCTGGGTGTTTTTAAGAATTGAAAACTCAATTTTCATCACTTTAAGGACGGTGGTTAAATTGTTTCTTATTATCATCTCGATAGAAAATTTCTCACAGCCATTCTTTAATATTGAATTCATTGCACAATTCAAGCACAGGATCTGGCAAACCCTGTGAAGATATATTTATTTCTGTTATGAATTTTTATGCACAAGAATTTTTTTCTCTCGGAGTAAATATTGTTCAACTATCTTCCCCAAAAGGCTTCACGGGGGATGAAACACGATAAGGTGTGTTGTGAAGAATTCGATATTTATATTCTCTCTTCTCTGCTCCTTTGCAGCAATGAACAGTGTTTCGCAGGGCAGCGCTGGTGGCATGATTATGTCGAACAGTCTTTCCGGACTCGGTGGCAACGGCGGCATGTCTGGTGGCGGATTGGTGGTGAACAATTTGAAGCAGCAGCAGGCGCTCGGGGCCGCCGGTGGCATGCTCGGCGGTCCAATGGGTGGTGGCGGTGGCCAGGGCCAGGCCATCCACCATCCCGGGCATCCGGGCATGCAGAATGGGCCCCTCATGCCGGGTCGCGTGGTGGCCATGCAGCAACCGAACCCGCAGGGCCACATGACTGGACCCCGAGGGCCTCATCTCATTGGGCCTCGCATGCAGACGCCCAACATGGCACTAGGTGAGTCCTCAGTCTTATCAAAATGCCCCGTAATGATGGTTGAAAACGAGCCTCTAGGAAATACTTTTTCCTCCCCACAAAAAAAGAGATGAAAACAATAAACATTTTGAAACGTTTTTTGTGAAAATATTCCGCATGCTTTGGAAAAGAAGGATTTTTGATGCTTTTTTGTATGTGAAATTTTTTTCAGAAAATAAATTTTTATATATCTTATACATAATATTGTGAAGTTAGAGAAAAAGAAAAACACATTCTGCTGTTTTTGGGGGATAAAAAAGAAATTGCGTGAAGAGATTGTTGTTGAATTTCTATAATATTCTTAGGTTATTGAACGACGTATTGCGCAAGTTCTGTCTTTCAAGAAAAATCTTGAGGCGATTTTGAAATATTGCATTTTCTGCGAAAACTGATTCTTCACATAATCACAGAGATTTTCATGACAAATAAAAACAGTGAAAATTTGAATAAAAATCTGTAAGAATTCACAGTGAGATGCAAAGAAACATCTCTTATTATCCTTTGGCAATTGGAAGAAAGAAAAGGGTGTATTTGGAGTGAATATATAGTTGTCACTGATGATGCATTTTGTGAAAGTTATGGAAAACAGCAGAATGTAAAGTATATCCCATGATTATCTCTCCTTCTTCTCTTCTCTCTCATGCTAGAAACACTTGTCTGTGTAGAAGCACAAGGGGAAGATGAGGAAAAAAGAGTCATGTGGGAGAGATAAGATGAGACTGAAATGGATGTGTTTTGCTTTTCTTTTCTGCCTGTGTAGGGAACAACATCAGCAACATGCAAGGTCCTGGCGGACCCTATAGCTATGGCGGCGGGCCTAATCAGCAGAGTGTGAATGTGGTGAACCCTCAAGGTGGCGTGAATGCCACGACGGGTGTTGTTGCACCTCAGCAGCGCGGTGTACCGAATATGGCAGCAATGCCAGGCAATCGATTACCAATGGGACCCAATATCACGGGCAACAATGAGGGTGGCATTGCCGGACAGGCGCAACCCCCGGCGCCGTCGCCGGCACAGCCACAATCTGGTGCCCCCGCGGGTAGTCAGCCGAGACCTCAGAGTGCGACGCAGACACAGAATGCGACGAATATGTCTGCGGCGCCACAGAGTAGCTCGATGGCGGATCCGGAGAAGCGGAAATTAATACAACAGCAACTAGTGTTGCTGCTGCATGCGCACAAGTGTGCACGTCGTGAGACGGAGAATCCCAACAATCCCAATCCGTGCACACTCACGCACTGCAAGACGATGAAGGAGGTGTTAGCGCACATGACAGGCTGTAAATTGAATAAGGACTGCACTGTGGCTCATTGCTCATCATCAAGACAGATCATCACACATTGGCGTAATTGCCAGCGAGCCGACTGTCCGGTGTGCTTGCCGCTGAAGCAGGCGGATCGCTATCGCAACAATACCAATGCCCAGCAAGGTGGTCCTGGTGCTCCTGGGCCAGTGGCTGGCGGCGGTCCTGGACCGACAGGTCCCGGTGCCGGCGGGCCTGGCCCGGGTGGCGGTGGGCCCAATGTTCCAAGCAATGCCGGTCCCCAGGGTGCAATTAATATCAATCCCACGACCCAGGAGAGCGGCGGAAATGTGGGAGCGCCTCAAGCGGCCACAGGACCCACGGGCGGTCCTCTTCAGACTGGCGGTCCTGGCCAGGACGCCGGCGGCATGAGGCGAAACTACGACGGAATGACCATTCAAGGGACACCCGCGTCCTCGGCAGCACCGTCAATGCCCACAACGACGCCCCAGGTGGCTCCAGGTCCCAGACAGTGCGTTCGACTGCCGGGACCGAACTCTGTGGTGCGTGTGATTGTGCCGAATCAGGGTACGCCGAATCACAGTCAGATTCTGCCGAATAATCTTATGATTGGTGGTGATGTTGCCCAAGCGGTGAACGCTCAGCAGCAGCAAGTGGCGGGTGCTATTGGGCAGCAGCAGCAGCAACAGCAACAACAACAGCAGCACCAACAGCAGGCTCAGCAGTTGGCGCTGCAGCAGCAACAGCAAAATGCTACGCCGCAGCAGCCACAGCAGCAGCAGCCGACGATGCCGCAAGTGACAAACTCAAACATTCCAACATCACTCAATGCCCAGCTATTTGGAGACAGCCAGGGTGGGAATGCAATAGGTAGCAATGCTGCTGGTCAATTGTGTCCAGTTGGCGCGGCATCAGGCGGCGGCACGGCGACAGGTGCGGCTGGAGCTGGTGGCAATAATATGACCTTCCAGAATAACCAAGTTGTGGCAGTCCCTGTGACAGCGGCCAAGGACTGGCATCACTCCGTAACACCAGATCTGCGCAATCATCTCGTTCACAAATTGGTGCAGGCAATCTTCCCAACGCCCGACCCGGCGGCCATGCTGGATCGGCGGATGCACAATTTGGTGGCGTACGCTAAGAAGGTGGAGGGTGACATGTACGAGATGGCCAACAGTCGCTCGGAGTACTACCATTTGCTGGCTGAGAAGATATACAAGATTCAGAAGGAGCTGGAGGAGAAGCGCATGAAGAGGAAGGAGCTGCAATTGCAGCAACAGCAGCAACAGCAAGGTGGTCAGGTGACGCAGGCACAGCAGCAGACGCCACAGCAGCAGATAAAGCCAAATGTAAGTGGAAATGCCACGGGAATTGTCGGCCAGCTAGGTGGCCAAGTGAATGTCATGGGCACCACATTGCCGGGAGGAAGTGCAGCCGGCGGTGCTGTTGGCATTCAGCGGCCGCCAGTGCCGACCATGGGCCAAGCGAAGCCCGGCCAGAGTGTGAGGAGTCACTCGCCAGGTGGAATGGTGGGCATTAGCATGGGTGCCAATCGTCTGGCATTCCCGGGCAATCAGCAGCAGCACTGCTTCGTGGTGGGCCCGTCGGGACCGAGCCCAAATAGTCAGCAGAACATGCTGGTTCCGAATCCCAACTTGTCACCCTTCGGAGGTGGCCAGGGTGGCGCCATGGGCGGAAAGCCCGGCATGGCGGGCACGTCAAATCAATCGGCTGCCAATCAATTCCTGAACGCCAATGGGCCGAGTGCGCTGCAGACGCAAGCGAATCAATTCAATGAGATTATGAAGGCGCGCATGGCCCAGTCGCAATCTCAGAACACCAACTCAATGGTTTCACCGCAGGCACCATCGACATTTGGCGGGAATGTGAGTCAAATGCAGGGCAACAGTGTCTTCAACAGCATGTCTAGCGCACGAGGCGGCAACATGGTCACAACATCCGCCTCAATGGACTCTATGAGTGGTGGTGGATTGGTTCCGGTGCCGAGTCCGTCGCCCAGTCTCACGCCCAATGGCCCCATTCCGGTCAGTACTCCAAATCCACCAAGTGTTCCATCAATGCTACAACCACCGCCCGAACCCACGCCACCTCCATCACTCTCATCGCCGTCGCACAGCGTCAACTGCTCGACGGCAACATCGCAAGTCTCCACGATGGCTGGCAGTCACCATCAGCAGGCGCAGGTGATGCAGCAGCAGTCGCAGAACAGTATGGGCAAGGGTGGCCTCACTCAGGCTGACAGGAACAATCAGGCGGCTGCGATGAAGAGACAGCAAGCCGGAGCGAATAGCTTCACATCCCAAATGGCTGCCCTCGAGGCGGCGACGCGGGATCGCGATGATGACTCCCAGTCACCGCAGAATAGCAACTCGTGCAAGGGGAAGTTGGACATAAAGCAGGAGGATGACATCAAGAAGGAGATGGAGGACACAGATAGCAATATGGATGGAAGTGGAACAGGGAAGAATGTCAATAATGACAAGATTAAACAGGAGTGTAAGGTGGAGCCTATGGATCAAGATGGGACAGATTGCAAGAATATCAAAGAGGAGATCAAGGAGGAGCCAATGTCACCGTCCAGTGATATCAAGCCTGACATTAAGCCCCTTGTTCCCGAACCACTCCCGTCGACCAGTTCGCAGGATAAGAAGAAGAAATGCTGTGAGTATTCCGTAATTTGTCAGTTTGATATACAGTGATTTCTGATGTTTGTTTGTTTGTTTTTCAATGCAGTGTTTAAGCCCGAAGAGCTGAAGCAAGCCTTGATGCCCACATTGGAGAAATTGTATCGTCAGGATCCGGAATCGTTGCCTTTCCGACAACCCGTGGATCCCAATGCGCTGGGGATTCCGGATTACTTTGAAATTGTAAAGAAACCAATGGATCTCAGCACCATTCAGTTGAAGCTGAGCTCTGGCCACTATTCTGATCCTTGGGAGTATGTCGATGATGTGTGGCTAATGTTTGACAATGCGTGGCTCTACAATCGAAAGACATCGAGGGTATATCGATATTGTACAAAGGTAAGGATATACTCTTCAATTGATCTTCACAGATGCCAATGTCTAACGTGAATTCATTTGCAGCTTTCTGAGGTGTTTGAGCAAGAAATTGATCCGGTAATGCAAGCACTTGGATACTGCTGTGGACGAAAGTATACATTCAATCCTCAAGTTCTGTGCTGCTACGGTAAGCAGCTCTGTACAATTCCGCGAGATGCTAAATACTACAGCTACCAAAATAGGTAAGATCTTTGACAATGCAATCTTATCCATTATTGCTGCACTTCCTTAAACTGTAATGTAATTCCTAATCCTATTCGGGCTTCTTTTCTAAATGGCACTTTGATCTTATCACACATGAACGCTCTTTTCTAACATGTGTATTTTTATTTTTTTTCTCTTTATTTTCATATTCCTATCATTTATATGATTTTATGCTGCATCTAACCTACCCACACAAAAAAACATGCACAAACTATATTGCCTACTAATGCACGTGTCCTTGAAAACAAAACAAAAAATACCATTTTGGTGTGTGGATAAAAAAAAAAACACAATAATCACATCTGCGATCCTGCTTGCAAAATCTTTATTCTTAATTGCAATATGCACGAAAAAAAAATCACTGTTGGCCAGTCTGAGTTCTTATGGATTTAATTCTGACAGATATACATTCTGCCAAAAATGCTTCAATGATATTCCTGGTGACACTGTCACACTTGGAGACGATCCTCTTCAGTCTCAAACGTGAGTATTTGATAGTTTTATTCCCATTGATGCCAATAAGATTTCTTACATGGTTGTTCTCTCGATGTGTGTCGCACGCAGGCAAATCAAGAAGGATCAGTTCAAAGAGATGAAAAATGATCACTTGGAGTTGGAGCCATTTGTTGATTGTTTGGATTGTGGACGAAAGCAGCATCAAATCTGTGTGCTATACCTGGAGGCAATATGGCCAGGTGGTTTTGTATGTGATAATTGTTTGAAGAAGAAGAATCAGAAGCGGAAGGACAACAAGTTCAATGCCAAAAGACTACCCACAACCAAATTGGGTATTTACATTGAGACACGCGTCAACAACTTCCTGAAGAAGAAGGAGGCTGGAGCTGGTGAGGTGCACATTCGCGTGGTGTCTAGTTCTGACAAGGTTGTCGAGGTGAAGCCTGGCATGAGGAGTCGATTTGTTGAGAATGGCGAGTTGTCGCCGGAATTCCCGTACAGAGCGAAGGCATTGTTTGCCTTTGAGGAGCTAGACGGGGTGGATGTGTGCTTTTTCGGCATGCACGTGCAGGAGTATGGATCGGAGTGTACGGCGCCGAATACAAGGCGAGTGTACATTGCGTATCTCGACTCTGTGCACTTTTTCAAGCCGCGCCAGTACAGGACGGCAGTGTATCATGAGATCCTCCTGGGGTACATGGATTACGTGAAACAGTTGGGCTACACAATGGCTCACATCTGGGCGTGTCCACCATCCGAGGGTGATGACTACATCTTCCACTGTCACCCGCCAGATCAGAAGATTCCCAAGCCCAAGCGTCTGCAGGAGTGGTACAAGAAGATGCTGGACAAGGGGATGATTGAGAGAACCATCCAGGACTACAAGGACATCCTCAAGCAAGCCATGGAGGATAAACTGACGTCGGCCGCTGAGTTGCCCTACTTCGAGGGTGATTTCTGGCCAAATGTGCTGGAGGAGAGCATCAAGGAGCTGGACCAGGAGGAGGAGGAGAAGAGGAAGCAGGCAGAAGCGGCAGAGGCAGCTGCAAATGCGGTGAGTACAGCCAAGAGAAGAAGAAGAAAATGTGTTGACTGAGGAGTTTCATTATCATATGAAATGTGTGTGTATTTTTCAATATGATTATTTTGCGTTTTTTTTTCTTGTCTCCTCTGCACTTGTGTAGATTTTATCACTGAATGATGACAGTGAGGCGAGTGCTGATGGGAAGAAGAAAGGCCAGAAGAAGGCGAAGAAGTCAAACAAATCAAAAGCTGCCCAGCGAAAAAATAGCAAAAAGTCGAATGAGCAGCAGAATGGCAATGATTTGAGCGCGAAGATATTTGCCACTATGGAGAAGCATAAGGAAGTGTTCTTTGTTATTCGATTACATTCTGCACAATCGGCAGCCAGTTTAGCTGTAAGTTGAGCATCTTATTTGTTTATTATAAAATGATCAAGTTGTATAGTTGTGAGGAAATATTTATTATTGAGAGGATTGAGAGAGAGGGAGAGACAATTTATTATTGATGCCTTTTGAGTTTGTAGTCAATCATTTTACTTTTTTCTTCATCACGTCTTATCAATGCTGAAAAACGTATTTATTTGTAATAATCAATTTTCTCCTCTCTTGACTCTCTCACAATCTCTCTTTCTCTATCTCTCTCTCCGTTGTGTGGCCCAACATGCATACAATAATATTAATAATATGTATACCTTGCAATTCTATACGAACAGCCAATACAAGATCCCGATCCATTGATGAATTGTGATCTCATGGATGGTCGTGATGCATTCCTGACACTGGCACGAGATAAACATTATGAATTCTCATCATTGCGACGAGCACAATTCAGTACATTGTGTATGTTGTATGAGTTACACAATCAGGGACAAGACAAATTTGTTTATACCTGCAATAACTGCAAGAACCATGTTGAGACGCGATACCACTGTACTGTTTGTGATGTAAGTTATTTGCCAATATTCTTTTATTTTTATTTAACATTTTGAGAAACTACAAGAAGTGTTAAACAAAACCGGGGAAGATGCGAGAGAGCAGATGTAAACGAATTGCTCTCTTTCCTCCCTGTTCTTGTAATTGTTCTCTTTTTTGATGATGAAAGTGTTGTGGTTAATATGTACTAACATGTCTCTTTTTTTCTGCTCTTGTCTCTCTTCATCTCTTTCTCTATCTCTCAACCAAATGCGACTTTTGTGTGCATTGACAAAAAACAGGACTTTGATCTCTGCATTGGCTGCAAGACGAAAGTTGGTCATCCGCACAACATGGAGAAGTTAGGCTTCGACTTGGACGACGGCTCATCGCCAACGGATCTCAAGCAGGCGAATCCACAGGAGGCGCGGAAGCAGAGTATTCAGCGGTGTATACATTCGCTGGTGCATGCTTGTCAGTGTCGCGATGCCAATTGTCGACTGCCGTCGTGTCAGAAGATGAAGCGTGTGGTGACACACACGAAGAATTGCAAGAGGAAGACCAATGGAGGCTGTCCGATCTGCAAGCAACTTATTGCGCTTTGCTGCTATCACGCCAAGCACTGTCTGGATGGGAACAAGTGTCCAGTGCCTTTCTGTCACAATATCAAGCAGAAGCTCAAGAATCAGGCCCTACAGCAGAGGTTAGCATGCGATAGGCGTTTGTGGGATTTCTGGGAAATGCTAATCACTTTATCTTCTCTGTCTTCAACAGAATTCAACAAACTCAGTTATTGCGTCGTCGTGTGGCTGTGATGAATACTCGTGCCGCCGCTCCAACGACATCCAGCAACTTTCCATCGTCCGGCAGCTCAGGCATGACCAATACTCAAGCTTCGAGTGGTGGCAACGGAAGTGGTGGCATGAGCCCAACAGCGACTCCATCACCGGTGTCACAAATGGGTGGCATGGGAAGTCCTCATCAGGGTATTGGAATGAAGCCCGGAGCTCAAACACCACCTGCCAATGTGCTTCAAGTTGTGCGACAAGTGAGTGGAAGCTTAAAAGATGATTTGTCAGCGGAATGTTAATGATTGCTTGGCTTTGTGTAGGTTCAAGAAGAGGCGGCGAGACAACAAGTCCCGAACGCTGGAGGCTTCGGCAAGGTTAATCCGACTGTTCCTGGGAATCAAATGCCACCGCCAGGGATGCAGAGAACGATGGCGGGACACTTGAGTGGACCGCCACAGCAGCAAACTGCCCAAGGTGGAGTGGCCATTGGACCAGGAGCCACTGGGAATCTCCTGTCGATGGACCAATGGGGTACAAGGTATCCGAATCAAGCACAACCCCAGCCTGGCTTGCGACCACCGAATCAGAATCAAATGATGCAGCCAATCATTGGTGGACAACAACCGGTGAGTAGACTGAAAATGACAACACATCACTGACTTTCAGACTGATGGAAATGTTTGTGCAATCCATTCATTGTTACAGATTATGGGAATGGTGGGGCCTCAGAATAATCAAATGATGGCTGCTGTCCGACCGCATGTTCAGCAATCAATGCCGCAGAATCAACAGCAAAACAATCCGGCTCACAAGCATGCCCTGCAGCAATTGATGCAAACACTAAAGAGTCCATCATCGGGTCAGGAGCAGCAGAATCAAATTCTGCAGATATTGAAATCAAATCCACCTCTAATGGCGGCATTTATAAAGCAACGACAGGTAAGTGTGAAGAGTGCCGGAGGGTGATGGGACTCTGGCCACGGGCAGGTGGAATTAATTGGGTGTGTTTCTTCCCCGAAGTCACAGCAGAATCAAAGTCAGGGTGGTGGACAGCAGCAGGGTGGTCCGCTGCCGCACATGATGAATCCGCAGCAGCAGCAACAGCAACAACAGCAGCTGCAGCAGCAGCAACAGCAGCAGCAGCAAGTTGTGATGCCAGGTGGACCGCCTAACCAAGGACCTGCCAATCGGATGCAGAACATGCAGAATGCGATACTTGGACAGCCAGGAGGCAATCCACATCAGGTTCAGGTGAGTGCTTTGGCGCTGTGTGGTATGGAAAGTATGTGTGTAGGATTTATGGAGCATTAAGTGTTGAAGTGCGTCTGTTTGTTGAGAGATCATTTTATTGGCCATAAAGTTTTTATTTATTGTGCAAAGATGGGAAAGCGACATTTTTGGTCGATTTTTAGATATGTTTCTCCCGGGTTTTGTTCTCGTCGACATCTATTATTATATACTAAATTTGTCTTGTGAAATGTTATTAGGTTGGAGTTGGTGGGCAGCTTCAGACGCCGCAGCAGCAGCAGCACTGGTACAAGCAGCAGCAAATGATGCTTCAGCGTCAGATGCAGATGCAGAACTTCCCACCTGCGCCGCCCTATCAGCGGCCAAGGGCGCCACAGATGGGCGGATATCAGGGCGGCGGCGGTGGCTTTGGCCAAGACCAGCAACAGTATGCGATGCAGCAGAGCATGAAGCAGCCGAATCCACAGCAACCGGGCGGTGGCGTGCTGTCGCAGTCGCTGCAGCAAGCGGGCGCCGGTGGGCCGAACCAGGGCGTCATGGGACCACCGACGCCTCAGCATGCGATGCAGCAGCAACTGATGCAGACGGTGCGATCGCCACCGCCCATCAGGAGTCCGCAGACGACACCATCGCCACGGGCGCAGCAATCTCCGCACCACTTGTCCAGTCACTCGCCGGCGCCCCAAGGCGGCGTTGGTGGAGTGCCGGGCGATCCAGTGGGTGGCGGTGGTCCGGGCGGTGACACATCGCCACTGAATCCACAAGAGAGACTCACGAAATTCGTGGAGCAGCTGTAGTTGAATCTGTGACTTCCTCGTTGACACTGTCGTCCCTATTATTTTGATATTCTATCAACGATCCACACAAACACTGGCGTTGTGGAGAGAGACTTATGGGATTTAAGGGGGTGGATATATAGAGAAAAAAAGACATGAATTATTCCTTTCTCCCACTTTTTAATTGACATGTGCGAAGGTGAAAGAAAAGAAGAAGAAGGAAAAAAAAACTAGGAAGAAATGTACTGTCAAGTGTTGGGGTTTGAAGTGTAAAGTGGTTGAGAGATAGTATGAGGGAGTTATACAAAGAAAATGAAATTGAGATAAAAGAAGAAGAAAGAAAAACTATTATGTACTTATGTAAGAAGGAAAACATTGTAAATAGTTGTAAAATCGTTAGAATAATGAAGAAAAAAAAACCCTATTTTAGGAGTGAATGGCAAGAAGTGCATAATTTGACGTTCGTCTCTTGGGGGAAAGCATCAAACAAATCGTGTTTAAATACCAAATAAGAGTCAAATTCTTCTCATTAATCGCATCCATTTATGATTGTATATAAGGAAAGAAAAAGAAAACCACATGAATGATAGTGTAAATTTTTGTAGAATTGTTTCCGTGACGAGGAATAGGATTCGCCCATGCATCGCCCATTAACTTCATGAATATATAGGATTGATGGTCGTGTACGAATTGTAAACCATGCATAAGAATGACTCGGGGATCTCTGGAGCCCAAAGTGGCGGCGATACGCTATTAAATTAAGAACGATCACAAGAACACAAATGAAAGATGAAACATTACAAAGAAATGACTAAATAGATGAAAAAAACCAATAAGTGAGTGGACGAGAAAAGGGGTGGTGGCTGTGTAATTTAGAAGTGGTAATGAAAATCAACTAAAATTGAAGAGGTATAAAACACAAAACTTAGCAAAAGTGTGAAAATATGAGGCGCGCGCATTAGCAAGTGTGTGAATGATCGCGAGTGTGAAGTGAACAGAATCCAAATTCCAATAATATTTAAGAGGGATGAGAAGATGCTAGACGAGTGTAGATTTATATACAGCGCGACGAGGGTCAGGCCTACGGGGGTTGAGAGGCCTCGGAAAGTGGAATTTTATAGCTGCGATTTAGAATGATTTCTTTTCTCAAGCAAGAGACCCAAATTGCGTCACAATCGGCATCGTATCTAAAAGGATAAAACAAAAAATTAGATGGGAAACACATTCTCTAAAAGGAAATTCTATGCAAAAATTAGTCGATGATAGGAAGTATTTATCAAATGAATTTGCTTGGTTTACACTCGTGAAGATGAATTTGTAAGAAAAAAAAGAAGAAATAGAATTTTTTACAATTAGCTTCCAAGAAAACAACACAAAAAATGGGTTAATGAAGAAAGCGAAAAATGAATCTTAACTGAGCGATCGAAAAAATTTGACTTTGGATATATAAAGAAGAAAAAAAAACCAGAAAATTGATAAAAAGACGGAAAAATTTGTAACATGAAAAAGAGAAATTATATCTAGAAAATGGAGTTAGTAGAGAGAAATTATGGTTTAGTTTAGAGAATTTTTTTTTACTTACGGCTGAAAGATTTATTTTTTAAATCATTACTATTTTAAAATAATATTCTGTAATTATTATTATCTTAATATTTAATTTGTAGCGTGAAAATAGTTCTTTTTTATTTTGACTCTTACTAAAAGAAGAAGAAAAAAAAAACTAGAGATGAGAAAGAGAATCTGCTGTGCTTAGATGGCAATTTAGATGAAGTTCCCTCTTTTTCCTAAACTTCTTTTTTTTATAATAATGTATATTTATTGTGGAAGGAGATTTCCATGTCACAAAGATGAAAAAAAGGTCCACTTTAAAAGGGGGAGGAAATATTTCATGCATCTTTTTTTTTTCTTCTCAAACTTCGGGGACACGTAAATACAGTGGAAAAAAAAGAGAAAAATTTAGCAAAAAGATTCTCCAATTATTCATTTTTTGTTAAATTCTCGAAAACAAAGTTTTATTTTGTGTGATAAGTGTAAATAAAATTGAATAGTAGAAAGGATGAGATGAAAAGTGACTAAAAAATCTCTTCTATCGCAATTAATAGTAAAGGAAAGAGAGAGAAAATGATTTTTGCTGACATTGATAAATTCTAACAACCAATTTAGCGAGTGAATATACATGAAATGCAGCCTGTGTAATATACGAAAGAGGATTAAAACTAAAAAAAAAAAATGGAAATTTTAATAAATTATTAAGCATTGCATTCTAGTGTAGGTGAAAATTATAATTAAAAGAGAAACTAATAATGATTTTAAATAATTATAAAATGTAAAATTCATATGACAAGAAAACGAATCGTGGGTTTTTATATTAAAAGATAAAAGATATGAATGAGAGAATTGCATAAGAAGAAATGATAATAAAATGTAAAATGAACCTTATTCGTAATAAATTTTTAGTATAAAACCTTAAATTTATGTATAGGTACATTATAAATGAGATAGAATTGTGGATGGAAAACAAGTAATTGTAGGTGTAAAAAGAAGAAAATGAAGAAATTTTTAAGAGACAACACAAAATATTCAATTTTAATAGAGAAAGAGGAGGAGTGGAAAAGAGGCAGAAGAATTATATACAAGTAGAGTAGCGAAGAGACGCGAATGAGATGCACTTTCATAGGTAAAGAATGGGTGAAAGAGCGTGGCTGCGAATGGCGATGATAAATTGTGTGCATGAGTGTGTGAAGCGAGAGAGAGAAAGGAGGAGAAAAACACTGAAATGAGTATTATTTGATATTTTTATCCTATACCTAATATACGATACGATATATACATATATAAATATATATATCAAAAGAAGGATCTAAGATTAACTTAGTTTTTTTTCTATTAATACCTATTAAACTGAAAATAAAATTGATTCTATTGAAAATGCCGGAGAGGAAAATAGTGAAAGTGCGAGTGTGGAGTGAGAGAAGAGGAGAGACACAGAGGAAAAGCCACTTTGCAGAGAGAAAGAGAGAAAGAAGCGGCGAGAACCGCGATATAAAGTGGTGACGATAAAAATGAAAACAAGAAGAAAAAAATCATAGGATTATTTTCATAATTATTATGAGAAAGTGAAAAAAAGTGAGGAAGAAATGAAATACATATGTAATAAAAATAACAATATTTTTATTTTATTATTTTTTAGAGTATAAATAAAACACTGTTGTGTTTCAATTTATTTATTATTAGTTTTAAATAAAATATATTTCAATGGAAGAAGTTATGAGTTTTTCTTTCGTCTCACAAGAGGCACAATTGAAGGATCAAACTGATGTTCTTCACAAACTCTATCCCGGACTGAACTGCAGGTTGAATCTTAATAAGAATCGCAGATGAATGTATAAATATGCAATGTTTATTTATTAATGCACTGTAGAAAGCCACATAAAAGCAATAAGGATGGTTAAATATCGTGGTTACTTGGCGGAAACCGTGCCGCAATGGATATAAACGCGAGATGAGAGCGTGTGAGTCTGCGGATCCTTCTTCTCAGGCACCTGGACAGTGTTCACGTAGGAATACTGCACGGTGAAGCCGATGATCGCCTCCGAGCCGGGCGCCAAATTATCCTGCGGCTCAATTGAGAGCTCCACGCAAGCTTTATTGGCGCGACGCCACAAAATGAATCTGATGGGAAGGTGAAAAGAGTCAGATTAGAGACAGTGTGGAGGAGAATTGGAGGCAACTGGAACTCACTTGGGATCCCCTTTGGGGAGCTGCGTATCATCATCAAACTCAGCAGCGTCATCCCGATGGAGGAGCACGAAAGACTCGTCCGGGAGATCCGTCTTCACCGTCACGCGCTTGTCCACGCTTCGAGGCTCCTCCGTGAGAGACACTTGGCGCGAGAGGGAAGCATTGAGACTGGTTGGTGTGGATGTCACCGTGGCCCTCTTCATCTCCTCTATCAGGGCAGTCTCCTCGTCGGTCGACGGCAGCTCTTTCATGCCCACAGTCATCTCATAGATCGTGGGATTCGAGAACTTGAGCTGCAGCGTCGTGGCCACGCCGGCCTGCAGCTTCTCCGGGAGCTGCACCACGCGAATCTCGGGCACGTGGTGAGACGCAAAGAGTTGGATGCGATACTTGATGGATGATGGATTGTATTCGGGCTTGATGATGTTGTGTTCGCACTGACGACAGCGCAGAGAACGCTTGATGGTGAGACTCTTGTGCTGCGGGAAGAGATGACGCACGGTCACGGGCTGGCCAGCCGGCTGTGCCAGTTGCTGCCTGATCGTAGTGAGTTCCCTCAGATTCACTGGCTCCGTGAAGATCGAGTCGGGCAGCTGGTCGACCTCTTCAGTGGCTTCCGAGGGCTTCACGTCGATCGGTTTGGTCTTGGGCGGAGTCTTGTCCGACCAGCCCATCTGGCGACGGATCATGGACACCGTCAGTCCCGTGCGATCCGTCAAGCTGGGATACTTGTGCTGCTTCGGCGTCTTGCGGCGCAGATAGTCCTGACGCTCCTGCTTATCCCGCAACACCACGGCCTGGAAGTGTTCCATGAGGAGAGCGAATCTCGTGGCGTGAGCGTACTCGCTCTCGGGCCAGGAACCCGTGGCCACAGTCTGGTCCGGAATGCCCACATCCCGGGACGTCCAGCGACACGCCAGGCATGCCAAATAGTACATCTTCCGGGTGATCACGGACGACTGCTTCGCATCGCCAGAAGCCTCCTCATCACCCTTCCGCGGCACCGTGACCGTTGTAGCTCTGGCGGAGAGGGTGTGCTGGCAGCTGGGGCAGTCGAAGCAGCTGCTGCACTTGTATTTCTTCAGCTTCGCCTCCGAGGATGGGATGTTTTCCACGCAGTTGTAGCAGAAGTGGGAGTCGACTTCGTGGCACAGGCAGAAATCGCATCGCAACACGAGACAGTGGCGACAGAAGAAGAGCTTCGTGAGTGGGTGGAGGATGCCACAGGCACAGGCGTACTGTACAGTGGTGTTGGCCAGGAAGTGAGCCATTTTTGGCTCAGAAAACGCCTTTTTCTGCCCGGATGAAAACTGCGAATGTCACTCTCTAATGTGTGCGACTGAGATGGCATGCCCACCATCGGGGCATTAATGTTGCGCGAGAGGAAGCGAGACGACTGCTGGTGTTTCGGGATGCATCATGTCAGGAAGACGTCAAGTGTGGGACATTCGAGAAATTTTTGGTAGGAAAAAATTTGCCAGTGAATGACCATTTTACGCAATTTAGCGGTGAAAATACTCTGTGACGGTGTAAAAAGTGAAACAGGGACAGGATGGAGGAGCGGTTAGATGATCTATCGACGAAGGATCGGCAGGAATTGCGCAATATCCGGACACTTCTTTGGGGCTCAAATGATGTCGAACAAACGATCTTTGAGCGATGGTCACAAGGTGATTTTCCCCATTTCCACTGTATTTTTCCCACCACCAACAGTTGGATTGTCTGGCAAAGTTCAATCTTTGACCAGAGATTGCAAGATGATTCGCAGAATCACATTTTTCCGATGATAAAAGTGCTTGTAAAGATTCTAACCTAAAAATTTGTGGGGAAGCTGTTTTCATCAGGACTTTTCCTCGACTTTTTCGCTGAAATCTCTCTGATCTTTGCAGGGTTTGAGTTCAGTGAGTTGGAGCCATCGGCCCTGGTGCAGTGTCAGGGCGGACCGTGTGCCGTAATCGCCCCTGTGCAGGCCTTCCTCCTCAAGATCCTCCTAATGGATACTCCAGGCTATAGTTTCTATGACCTCACGGCGGACAAATGCAGAACAGTATTGATCCAGGCCATCTGCAATATCCTGATGAAGTGCAAGGAGACAAAGTACAGGATAGTTACGCTTAGGGCGGCCGAGGAGGCGCCCGCAGACGAGGTGGACGCCGCCAGGGTGAATGCCGCCGATCCGGACGCGTCGCCCAGCAGTCCGCCAGCCGGAGAGGTGCCAGAGGCGCCGGAGCACCAGCCCGCGGTTTGGGATCCCGACCAATTCCACGAGAGGCTCACCATTCAGGACATGGAGACCATCGATGAGGTGGAGAAGTTCTACACGGAGAATCCCGGCCTGTTGGCCGGGCAGTACGGCGTACTGCTGTTCCTCTACTCCGTGCTCGCGACAAAGGGCATTGAGAACGTGGTGCAGGAGCTAAACGACACGTCGGAGCCCCTCATTCACGGCACGTACGGGTACGGATCGCAGGGTCTGATCAATCTCATGTTAACAGGGAGGGCAGTGGCCCATGTGTGGGACAATGACGAGGATGTGGGCGGGCTGAAGCTGCGCGGCATCAATCAGCAGTCGGACATTGGCTTCATCACCACGATGGAGCAGATGCGCTACTGCACCGTGGGCTCCTTCTACAAGAATCCAAAGAACCCCGTGTGGGTGATGGCCAGCGAAACGCACCTGTCCGTACTGTTCAGCACGGAGAAGCGCCTGGTGTCGCCAGAGACGCCCAGCGAGATCGCCAGGAGGGTGTTCAAGAGCTACGATCCGGAGGGAAACAATTTCATACCATCTGTGGTGCTTCAAGATGTACTCTGTACATTGGATTTGGTCAGTGATAAGGAATAGTGAGTATCGCGCGCGAGTTGGTGCGGTTTTGGCGCAAAATACTAACTTTTTCAACGATCTCTCTTGCAGCGTTGATATTATGCGTTCGAAGCTTGACCCGGAGAATCTGGGCATCATCCTTCTGAATGGCTTCATGGACGAATTCTTCCCCCAGGAGAAGCGCTCCATGCCGGACACGTTCGTGCTGTGGCACTACAATGGCATCCCTGGCTCCAATTTTGGCAGCAAGGTGAAGTACAATCGCGGCGTGGCGATTCTCCTGGAGAGTGACCTGAAGCTGATGTGCAACATCTCGAATCCCATGCTGATGTGTCTGCAGACAAAGTGGCCAAACATCGAGGTGAATTGGCAGGAGATGCGAACGCCGTCACTCAATTGACCAACTCTCGGCCAGGACCTGAGGCTCCTGAGTGGCAACAATTCACGCCCCAACTGAGAACCACTGCTAAATCTTACCTTTCCGATGAGTCTCCGACGGCACACACACACTTCACTAGGTTTCCCGCTTTTCCGCCTCCGTTCACCCTTCCCGAGCTAAATTTTTAGTGGTTAAATTGCATATTTATTTAAGTTATTTATGTTGGCAGCACAATTCAACGTTGCTTCCATCGCGCCATGGCTTCGCAGGCAGTTGACACTCGCCTCGGATCTCGTGCATTCACAGATTTTCTGTATAATCATTTTTAAGTGTATAATAATTCTCACCCAGTGCGATTTTATGGATAAAAACTATTTTAAATTACATGAAAAATTGAATAAAAGTAGATAAATTCGCGCATAGGATGTTTTGAGTCGGTCAGAAGGGGAGCCTCATGAAAAAACACTACACAATTGTCCTTACCAACTCAAGTCACATTTATTTCGTCACTGTGGAGCCGGAGGACGAGCCCTGAATGTCTTCCTGGGCTGCTGGTTTACAATCTACGACCACGACGACCGCCCTTCCTGCGCGTGGAGTCAGAAGGAATGGGCGTAACATCCTCAATGCGACCAATCTTCATGGAGGAGCGAGCCAGAGCTCTCAGAGCTGACTGAGCACCGGGACCGGGTGTCTTTGTCTTGTTACCTCCGGTGGCGCGCAATTTGATGTGCAGAGCAGTGATTCCCAGCGTCTTGCACTTCTCAGCCACGTCCTGGGCAGCCAACATAGCGGCGTAGGGGGACGCCTCGTCGCGGTCAGCCTTCACCTTCATTCCTCCGGTGACGCGCGCGATGGTCTCCCGACCGGACAGATCCGTCACATGGACGAAGGTGTCGTTGAAGCTGGCGTAGATGTGAGCCACTCCGAACACCATCTCACCTTCCTGCACCTGAGGGCCCAGGGACACCTGGACCTCTTCCTTCTGGGTTTTATTCTTCCTCGGAGGCATCTTTCAGAGAATCTGCGAGGTGAGAATATGGTTAGGTGGGATGTCAACAAGCCTTCTTCACAGCTTTTCTTCGTGTCTAAGTGAGTTTTTCAGAGAATATCACAACCACACCCTGGACAGGTGACTTGAGGACAATTTCACGTGTAAATTTAAAGGCAAAATCACTGAGAAACCGTACCTTTTCGCAGAAATTTGCGAACACAATCCACGTTTCCACGGCGAACGAATGGAAAAGAGCGACAATGGCCGCCGGAAGAGCCTATGACACCCCCAAAGCGGGTTGCCGCACGCAAAACCACCAGATTTGGGACAGCGAGAGAATTCGTTGGGACGGTGCAATTGGCACGTTTCTGTGTGCTGTTGTGCAGTGATGGATGTGTGTTGACAAATTGTGGCTCTTAAAATTGGTTTTTCTCTGTTAAAATTCACGTATATCCTCGAGAAAATGGTTCGCATCGCGTCCCAACATCACAGTGCTCAAGTTCACGGTGTCCATCCCTAGTTTGACGATGATTTTCGGCTGACGGACAACTGTGTCGGGCTATTTTGTGTGTGTCTCCATTTGGGGCAGTTTCCCTGTGTGTGCGGGCCTCTCGTGGGGCAGTCGCCCTGCTGAGTGTCCACTGAGTTACCCCCGAACGGGCGGGTTGTCGCGAATCGCCCCCCTTCGTCTTTGTATGTTGTGTGAGTTGGGACTTTGATCGAGCTGGCGACCGCAGGGAGCAATCCGGGAGGTGGCGGAGCCACCGCCAAGGCGTCCGCCGAGACGACAGAGTGGAACAATGAGGAATTGGATCAGATGAGCTTCGATGACTCGGACAGATTCGAGGAGGACTCCCTCTGCAGCTGGAGCTCAGAGCCGGAGAGTCTCTGCAACAACTGGCGCGGCTGGAAGAAGCCCATCACGACGTGCACATTCGGTTGCGGAACATTCAGGAAATCAGCTGAAGGTGAGTGTTTTTCTCTGGTGGAAAACTCACCCTTCCCCACTATCGATCAGAGCCCCCATCGTGCCGTCTCACTCGTGTGCGCGCCACACTGCATCGCGCCGTCTCCGTTGCACGCACACACACGCCACCACGGCGGGCGGAGAAAGAGGGAAACAGCGGAACAAAGTAAAGTCTGCGAGGCTGCCACAAAGGGACAAAGATGGCGCTAACGCATCGCAAAGGGTAGAGTTCAGGCGGCTCCAGACGCAAATTTCACACTCTTTTTCAGCCGCAGGAGCTGCAGAGAGTCCCTGTGCCGAGTCTCTTCCATTGTTTGCTCCACTTTGCTATGGCTTCGCATTGTCAACAGTCGCGCTGAAAGCCACCCTCGGAGACTTCCCCGTGCCAGAGCGACAGGAAGTCTCCATGGGAAAGTGGCCAGATCTGGGCGGGAGCAGGTGTTTCACTCATACACACAGGCTCACGGTCTTCTTCATCCCCCGCGGCTTTTCCCCGCGCGACGTGCGACGCGCGACAAGGGAATCATAACAAAAAGACGAGAGCAAGGCAGCGAGGCAAGTTCTTTGTCGTTGACCTGCCGTGCGGCTCTTCTCTTTCTCTCCCTCCTGTTCGCGCTTCTGCATCCACGTCTTCGCTCGGGAGGATGGTCTCCGAGTGTGTGCGTGTGTGTATGGAGAGATAAACAGAGAGAGAGGAAGACAAAGAACGGCAATCAAAACAATTCCGTTGACAATCACGGCGATCGACTGGGGCGAATCCGGGCATGAATTGCGCTTGGCGAAGCGATGCTGAAATGTCTTCTTGAGCATCTTCGTGAAAACTCTGGAGACGCTGAGTGTTTACGAATGGATTTGGGATTAGGATGAAGGAGGCCTTTAAATGCATCGTGAGGTCATTGACCCTTTTTCGAAATAGGGAGATTCTAAAACTTGCTGGTCAAGTTTTATTTTAACCCTCGTGTGACTCTCAAAAAAGCAGGTTTTGATGATTTTCTCATTCAATTCTACCGCAATAGATCAATGAATGTCGAGAGAGTATTTTTAGCAATTTTAGTTGTTCAATTATGTGGGAAAAATAGATTGACAGAAATAGCAATAGATTTAATTGCATTCTCTTTCTCTTCGAGAATGCTTTCATGTAGCATTTTGACGCAATGTCAATTTTGGTTTCTCTTAAATGCTAATAATTTCTAATGAATAATTTTGGCAGCATTTTATTCGTTACGGAAAATAAGTACATTTTCAGAAAATACCCGCTATTTGAGCCTAAGAATTGATCTCAATTCACCCAGAAATTTAATATAAATCCTTGACTTGACTTTAAACATGAGTATGAAAATCACATCTTTTTTTTAACATTCTCTTTGCAGAAAATGTAACGACGCTCACGGAATTGGCGGCTCGATGTGTCGCTTCGTATATTCCCTTTGAACTGGTGGAGCACGTCTTTCCGCCCGTGCCGGAGCAGCTGCAACTCCGCATCGCCTTCTGGAGTTTTCCGGACAATGAGGAGGACATTCGTCTGTACTCGTGCTTGGCCAACAGCTCAGCCGAGGAGTTCCATCGCGGCGAGTCTCTGTTCAAGAGTCGCTCCGTGAAGGATCCGCTGCAGATCGGCTTCCACCTGTCGGCCACTGTGGTGTGCGTTCAGCCGCGGGCGCAGTTCAACGTGGCCGTGACGTTCGATCGGCGTCGCATCTCGTCCTGCAACTGCACCTGCACCTCGGCCGCCTACTGGTGTTCGCACGTGGTGGCCGTGTGCCTGCATCGCATCCACTGTCCGAACGAAGTGTGCTTGCGGGCGCCGGTGTCGGAGTCCCTCACGCGCCTACAGAGGGATCAGCTGCAGAAGTTCGCGCAGTATCTGATCAGTGAGCTGCCGCAGCAGATTCTGCCCACGGCGCAGCGTCTGCTGGATGAATTGCTCAGCTCCCAGCCCACGGCCATCAACACGGTGTGCGGGGCTCCGGACCCCACGGCGGGCGCCTCGGCCAACGACCAGACGAACTGGTATCTCGATGAGAAGACCCTCCACGATAACATCAAGAAAATACTCATCAAATTCTGCCTGCCCGCTCCGATGGTGTTTAGGTGAGTTACTCACACAATCACTTTCCAAGCAGAGCCTTGGAATTGGGCCATGAAAACTGGCGTCAATTCCTTCCGGCTTAAGCACCACTTTATTCACCCTTAATCTCTTAATTAATTAAATTCTCAGCATAAGTCTCAAACTTTCGTTTCGAGATCTTTTCTAATTATCTTAATGGTTAATTGAGAAAATTGTCGCTCGCACATATTTCACGTCTTCTGCTGAAAATGACAATTTACCATTTTGAGACAATACGAAGAGTGGAAAATATGTCTGAAATCTTGGAAAGAACAACACCTGTTCGGTGTGTTGAGCAATGATTTGCCTTAACCATGCGAAAGATTTTTTTCAGTCACGCGAAAGTCAAAAAATAATCATAACAACTATGGTAAATAGTGTACATTATATGCAAGCTATTTATTTTATTTGTGACTCAAATTGAATGGCAAATATTTCTCTTAATCGTTAAAATTTCCTTGAATTTTTGAGATAAGATTGTCATCGATTTCTTCGGAGTTTTGTTTGTATATCTGCAAAGCTTTTCGCATGAAAAAGGGTAAATCAGCCACTGAGGAAAAAATGTTGAGTCTAGAGAGGAATTATGCTGAAAAATGTTATCGTGATAAATTCACGTATAGGATTGAGTGAGATAAGGAAGGGTTATGTAAAGTTTTAGGGCGTTTTCGTGACTTCCTCACCTATCTTGCAGCGATGTGAACTACCTAACGAGCTGCGCTCCGCCGGCTGCCTCGGAGTGGAGCTCCCTGTTGCGCCCGCTGCGCGGCCGGGAGCCTGAGGGCATGTGGAATCTGCTGTCGATCGTCAGAGAGATGTACCGTCGGTGTGACAGGAATGCCATTCGGCTGCTGGAGATCATCACGGAGGAGTGCATGGCGTGCGATCAGATCCTCGTGTGGTGGTTCAACACCAAGCTGTCCCTGCTGGCGGGCACGGGTGGCCACAGTGGCGGGAAGCACAGCAACACGCACAGCAACTCCAATGCCTCTCAACACGCCTGCAGCTCTCTTTGCGACGAGATTGTCGTCCTGTGGCGCCTGGCAGCGCTCAATCCCGGCCTGGCGCCCGATGAGCGGGACATGTTGCATGCTCAATTCACAACTTGGCACCTCAAGATTCTCGATCGTGTGGCGAAGAATCGCGTGGTGAATGCATCACACAGCGCGAAGCAGCAGCAGAACTCACGGTAAGAAGATTTCAATACTTGTGATGGCGGGATTTCACTACACCTTTTAACGTTTTAACACGTTGATCGAGATTTTTCTTGAGCATTGTTATTTGGCACTGAAAATATGATTTGTGTAATTGCAGAAATCTCAAGAAATTTCCTAATTCCCTAAGGCAAGTTTCTTTTATATTCTTATTGAGAAGGTGTATTTGGTTGGACATTACAATGAAAAAAGTATTTGTCAATGTATAAAGAGCAAGGGAATAGATATCATACGTTTGCTAAAGTCTAAAAGTATCTGTGTCAGAGCTGATTAAAGCGGATGTTTTTGAACTTTTGGACTTTAACTACGTTGATCCTTGTGATTTTGCCCTAGATTTAAGCTAATATTACCCAATATCATATTCTTTGCAGACCTAAGTTCTATCGTACGGACGCTGAGGTGTTTATTGGATTTAAGCCGGCCATCGAGGCGTGCTATCTGGATTGGGAGGACTACCCAATAGCTGGAATAACGCATACTCAGGATACGAATCCCATGTATCACTGTCCCTTCACGTGCTTCAAGCACTCAGACACGAATAGTCACGTAAGTTTTTTTTTTGCATTAAATCAATGGCATTAATAGCAGATCTAAGGATCAATTATTACCGCAGCAGGTGAATTCGAGTCAAGCGGTGCTGATGAATAATGTAAAGCATTATCAGCCAATGACGGCGATTCACAATGCCACGCTGAAGAATCGACGAGAGCGCAGCTACAGAGATCGCTGCTATGTGTCGAGCAGCAATAACAGCAACAGCAGTTCGGACAGTGTGAATGAGCGCCTGAATTCGCATCTGGACGAGTTGGGGCATCATCGCGACGATGGGAATCGCTCAAGTGCCAGCAGTGAAGGGTTCTGCGAGAATGAGAACGACGACGAGGGTATGGACAGTGGGGGCAATGCGGAGGGTGCCATTAGTGTGGTGGTGGTCGCGGCGTCGGCCGGTCAGGACAGTGGTGAGGCGACAACGAATAGAATTGTAAGCATCGATACTCAGGTGGCGGGGTCGCGTGGCTGTGACTCGGCTGGGAATTCGTGTACATCGAGCAACGATAGCTTGAGCAACACGGAGAAGTGTGAGCCGTGTGCGGAGGAGAACGGCGGCGCGAGGAGTTGTGTTACGGTGACTCTCTTGGTCACCTCCTCAGATGATGAGCACATGCAGACGGTGGACAGTAGTACTAGCTGTAGTGTACATTTAGATAGTAGCCATGTAAATAGTTTCAATGAGAACGTGAACGAGGTGAAGCACGAGACGGCAACTCAAACAGCATCAAGCACTTCACCACCAGTATATACTGAAAGTGCCAATGAGAAGGGGAGCACTCAGGGCCAGCCGTCGAAAGGCTGTCAGGCTGACGAAGCCGCAGGAGAAGTGACAGGCTCCGGTGAGACATTGGAGACAAATTTGCGTCGTCCGTCGAAGGAGGAGAGTCTCTCAAGTTCAGAGTCGATAGATGATTATAATGTCTACTATTATGACTCCAAGCCAACTGCCACAGCGCCTGGAGCCACTGCACTGAGTTGCCACTCGGCCTGTGATGCCAACTCATGTGCATATGAGAGCAACAAATACAAGGCGCCGGAGCCCAAGAGTCAGATCTTCTCGAACATCAAGCCCACGGAGGACGCCTGGGATATACTATTTGCGCGGGCTGAAGGTCTGCACGCTCATGGACATGGTAGGGAGGCGTGCATCCTTGCTGTGCGTCTCGCTGAAGAACTGCTGGCAAATCCACCCAACTTGATGATTGAATTGCCGCCGCCGCCGAAGAGGAAAGGCGGCAAGAAGTCGTCAATTCACCCGTTGTCGCATCAGATGAGCGTGTTGGCGTCAGCAACACTCTCCAAGTGCGCCTTTCTCTGTACAGTTCTGGCTGAGAACTCTGAACACTATCATCTAGCATTTCGCATTTGTCTCTTTGGTCTGGAAATGCCTCGACCGCCGGCCAGCACGAAGCCGCTGGAGGTGAAGTTGGCGAATCAAGAGGCGGACTTGCTAGCACTACTGAAGCGTATTCCAATGGGACAGTTGGAGTTGAGAGTGATTCGGGAGAGAGCGGAGCATCTCAGAGACTGTACGCTAAAGTCACGCGGAGAAGCCCTGTTGCCCATCATGTTGGCCAGCTTCATCTTCGACGCAATGGTGATGCCTTCAATTTCGGGCAAAGAGAACCGGAATAAGGTCATGAGTATGTCTTACCGTTTGCCCACGGATGAAAATTTGGGATTTGAAGCGGCTGTGGCGGCTCTGGGACTGAAAGCGAATGTCTCAGAGGCGGAGCATCCGCTGCTTTGTGAGGGCACCAGACGCCAGAGGGGAGATTTGGCAGTGACTCTGCTGTATTATTATAAAGATGAGCCGAGGAAGATCGCGAAGATCATGGAGAAACTTCTCGATAGGGAGATTCATGTGTTGATGAAGACACCTCTCCTGCCGGCGTACTACTCCAACAATCCACCCGTGAGGACAGCGGGTCAATACTCTCGGCGGGATGAACAGGAGACAGTGGCTCAAATGATGACGGATACGCTGCAAGAGTACGGAGGAAATAGTCGACCGCAGAGCAGCACCAGTGCTGAGTTGGAGGGTTGCATGGGTGCCATGAGTCTCTCTGGAGCACCTCAGGGAGCTGCTGGCGGCGGAGGAGCAATGGGAGCGCCCGGAGTGGGTCCTGGTGGCGCAATGCAAGCCCAGGGTACGAGGATGAAGGACTCGCGGTATAAGGGAAAGCGCCCTTATCCCTCGATTCCCAATCAACCATCCGAGGCGAGTGCTCACTTTATGTTCGAATTGGCCAAGAACATCCTGGTCAAGGCGGGCGGCACGAGCTCCACGTCACTCTTCACGCAGGCTTCGACGAACCAGAATCACCATGGACCTCATCGGGCTCTGCACATGTGCGCCTTCCAGTTGGGCTTGTACGCTCTTGGGCTGCACAATTTCGTCTCCCCGAATTGGCTGTCCAGGACATACTCGTCACATGTGTGCTGGATCGTTGGCCAGGCGATGGAGATTGGAGCTCCGGCGATCTCTTTTCTCATTGACACTTGGGAGGGGCACTTGACACCGCCGGAGGCAGCCGGCATGGCTGACAGGGCATCTCGCGGGTGGGACAACAACATGATCTATCCGGCAGCGGAGTTGGCTCTGTCAGTCCTCCCTCACGCTGCTGCCCTGAATCCCAGCGAGATTCAGCGTGCCATTCTGCAGTGCAAGGAGCAGTGCGATCAGATGCTGGAGAGAGCGTGCATCACTGTGGAGAATGCCGCCAAGGGCGGAGGAGTGTACCCGGAGGTACTCTTCCAAGTGGCCAGATACTGGTATGAGTTGTACATTCGCAACAGTCCCAGCGGTGAGATGGAGCACGAGATGGGCAATGATGTACATTTGGATCACAATGTGATGAATCTTGGGCCGCTGATGGAATCCCAGGAGATGCCACCTCAGGTTGTTCCGCCGCCGCAGCAGCAAGCGCCACCGCCGCCTCCACAGCAGGCGCCGCAGCAACCTCCGCCGCCCGGGCAGGGTGTTGTGGTGGCGACTACGACACCGCCGCAGCCCTATCAGCAGGCCGTGACGACACTGGCGCCCATCGGCATGACCCACTACGGCCCGTACAGCTTCCCCTGTCAGGGCATCTACTCCCATCACCACAACATCCCCTTTCCGCACAATCAGATGCAGATGTACATATCGACGCCACCGCAGTTTCCCTACCCGCCACCCAACCAACAGCCCGGACCGTACGTGCAGCCGCCGCCTTTCCAGCAGATGGGCCACCCAGCCACTGTTGGACCACAAGGTTACACGCCCCTGCAGTGCCCCACCCAGCAGCAGTACTCGGGCGTCCAGGTGCCAGTTCAGGTAAGCCCTTAAAACTTGTGCTCAATCAGTATTAATCGTGTGATCTGTGCTTCTAGATGCCTGTTCCACCGCCCAATAATGGTCAGATGCAGCAAAATATGCAGTATTTCAGCCAGGCAGTGACTCTTGCTCCTCCGCCACCGCCGCCCAACATGAGCAACATGGGCAGGAATCAGCATCAGCCTCACGGATCTCATCACAGTGTCATGTATCCGTTTGTGCCGAATCCCGTGCGCCAGAGGCATCCTCATCAATTCAGGTAGAATCGGGCGATGGGATTCCATTAATGTGGCACTGTGTGACTGAGAAATTTCTCCGTGTCTTTCAGCCAAATACAGCTGAGGTACTTGCTGGCGGCGTACAACGTGGGCATGCTGGCGATGGAGACTCTGGCCAGGAGGGTGCACGATGATCGTCCGCAGGCCAAGTACGCCCGAGATCCACCCTATGGGGAGGATGTGAAATGGTTGCTGAGAATTTCTAAGAAATTGGGCACTCAATACCTCCATCAATTCTGCGTGTGTGCCGTGAATTCCATCGTGAGCCCTTTCGTTCTGCACGATGTGGCCATTGAGTCGGCTTACTATTTGGCGCGCAACAATCCGGCGCTCGTTCTCCAACACCTTCGATCAGCTCTCACGCCTCTTGTGCAAAAGTGCCAGCAAATGTAAGAGAAAAATCGGCGAGAGGGATTTTTCATTGGGATGAAGAGCTGACTTTTTCACTTTGTTCTTTGTAGGTACATTCAGTGCATTCATCAGAAGTTGTATCATCTCACCACGGCAGACTATGAGGACTTCTCGAGCATTATTTTGGCCGCCAGGGCAGCTTTTCAGATTACGCCAGAGGGAAATGCACAATTCAAGGATTGGCTGCAGTCCATCAGGCGGTAAGTTTTGTAATACATTTTTGCACCACCCTTGAATCCTCTGAAACGGGACCTTCTCTCTCATTCAGATCGAAGTCCTGCAAGAAGGACTTGTGGACGCAGATCAATGCTGCACTGCAGAACAATTCCAAATGACAAAGACTCGACTCGGTCAGCTCTGAAGGGGTTGGTCCAGCGCATTCGACACCGTGCAGCTCACAGTCGCGTCCGTACGTTCAGGGGGGCGGCAAGAGGCCCTACTGAGGGCGTCCCACCATCACAAGTTGACCCACATGCAGAGAGACGCGATGAAAGTCCATTTCTTTATTTTGGGGTTTTGTTGAAAATCTAATTTTTGACCATCACAGTTTCTTCTTCTTGCGTTCGTGTTTGATGGAAAAGAAATCCCGAGGACTTTTTCCTCCTATTTTACTTGGTAAAGAAAACAGAGAAAAATGTCTAATTTCAATTTTTGCGTGATTTTTTTTTTTAAATAATAACTATGATAAAAATGGAAATTTTCTCTCTTTTAGAGAACTAAGTAATATTAATTGAAAATGTAGATTTTCAAGAGAGGATTTAATTTCCTGGATAATTCTAATAGATTTATGTTTTTTTTTCTAACGGAATTTTAATGTGAAGCCATGGAGGAAATATTTTACTGATAGAAGATCATAGAATTAAAAACCCTCATCACCTTTTCTTTTAGCTAATGTTAGATGAATTTTTTCCCCTAAAATGCTTTCTTGGTAGGTTTTAGATGACAATTGCAGCCGTGACAGAATCTCAGATGAAATTTCACAATAAATAATCCATCATTCTTACACGCCTTCGTGAATGTACTAAACTACTATATAGATTTTTGTCTCAGAAAGATTAACTCTAAATAAATACAGTAGCATAAAAAGTCCCATTTGTGTTCATATAAGTCGTGAAAGTGAAATGAAAACTGAGATGAAATACTTTTTAATTTATTTTACGGTTAATTGACTTTTGAAATAAATTGTGAGTCCTTTTTGTGTCTCTAGAAAATGAAAATATGAAATAGCAGAAAAAAGGAAGTAGGAAAAAATTAATAGGATTTTAATGTCACGCATAATAGCATCACAATTACGTGAAAAAAAATATTGCGAAAATAAACATCCTCTTTTCTTTATATACATTTTATTGAATGTATCCGATTCTTTTGTCGCTGTATTTTTTAGTGTGTTTCGTTTTTTTACATAATTTTTTTTTATTTACAAAAATACATATATTCTTATTTTATAAATATACACCAATTTTATCCTGAAGCGTTATTTTTATTCCTTTCTCTGTGGTCCCTTTTTAACCGCCTTTTTTGTCTCTCAGTGCGCAACATTTGCACGAAAAGCGTTCTTACTTTGGGTATAGAAATAGACACTTAAAATGAAACATTGAAACAGGACGGTTGTGCATTTTCACCGTAGAAACCCGAAGAATGTATAGGAAATCCAAGGCAAAGGAGTAGTTTTTAGGAAGAAATCAACAGTTGAGTGTTTCTTTTGTTCTATTTAGAAGCGAAAAAACATTTCTTTGCGCTTATTTTTCGGCGAAATACTTGAAGAATGCATAGTTGTAGTGGTATAAAATTTAATGGGTAATTTTATGAAAAAAAAATCTTTCTCTTGCATTTTGTGTGATTTTTTGTGGTAGTTTGTAGGTAAAAAGAAAGAAAAAAACACATTTTAAACAAGTATAAAATATAACCTTGTATTGTATTTGAATTGAAGATTCGTGTAAAAAAAACGTAGATTTTCAGAGTATAGATGAAAAAATTTCTGTATTTTTTGTCTCACACGCCCTCACTCAGATGAAAAGTGAATAAGAAAAATAGAAATTTAACAATTTAAACGAGAAAAGTAATGAGAAAAAACAGTAGATGATAGAAATTGAGAAAACAACTCATAGGTTTTAGTGCGTCATGTATAAAAAAAGAAATCTACCTTAACCACTTAATAAATATTACATACTAAGAAATATTCTTATAATAAAATTTTAATAAAATAATGGATAAAAGAGATATTCTTGAGAACATGGAAAAATCGAGTACATTTGATGTTATCAATTATTGATGGATATAGTGGCGTTTTTCCGCAGACAAATCTTACGTTTTCTTCTGTTCGTGTAGTTTTAATCACGAAAGAAATTCTATGAATTGCAAATCACGCGCAATTTCTCACAGCAATAGTTTTGAAGAAAGAAAAGAGTTAGAAATATATAGAAATAGCCTTTTAAAAGAGAGCAGAAAACAATACCCACCTCTTGTCCTTCTCTTTGTTGCATATTTTAGAGATCGAAAGGAAAAGAAGGAAAATACAGAATGATGTTTTGTCAAAATTGCTCTTTCCAGAGAGAATTCAGTAAATAAAATCTATTAACATTTCTTCAAGTTACATTTATGAATAACGAAAAATTGAATAAATTATAAAATAAACATTTCTTTTCAAAACTGTTCAGACCCTAAGAAAAAAAACATAAGAAAGAGAAAACTTTTTAAAGAGTAGCGAAGAATTTTATAGGCAGGTAATGAAGAAAATTATATATATAAAGAAATAATGAAAAAGTCTAGAAAGAGGCAAAAAAAGACATATTTTTACACTCACTATAAAGAAGATAAAGAGGTTGGCGAGAGAAAAAAAATATCCCAGGAGGAAGATTCTAACATCCCTCTTTCGTGTAACATCTAGCCCACAATTAAAGAAAAAATACTTCTTTTTGGAATATGAAAAAAACAACATGAAAATTATCATGCAATACTGTGTCTTACGAAGCATAGGAAAGAGAAAGATTAACACTTATTCTTCATTGTCAGAGAAAGAGATCAAAGAGTAGAAGAGACAAGAGATATTCTTATTGAGCATTCAAAATACTCACTATAAAAAATATACATATTTATCTTGGTGTTGTAATAAAAAATGAACAATTTTTAAAAGCAAAAATGAAAATATTTAACATAATCTTATTATAGAATTTTATTATTAATGAGAAAAGGAAGAGATGAAGGAAGAAAGAAAAAAAAACATTGAAAAAAGAATACAAAAAAAATAATTTTGAAAACTACATTTACTTATACATTTTATCACATTTAAGCATTACAGAAATATTGAAAGCAGATAAAAAAGAAATGAAAATCAGGAAATTTAGTTATTATTGAATTTTAACATGAAAAAAAAGTATATTTCTAGCAAATTAAACAAGATAATACACTATTAAAATATACATAAAAGTAAGAGAAAGTAAAAGGAAAAGAATATTGCATTGCATCAATAAGAAATGAGAAGTATAAATAAAGTGAAAAAAAATTGTATCTAGAGATAAGAAAGGGGAGAAAAATCCACAGATTATTATAAGAAGGAAAGAATAAAAATATCTTATTACAACTTATACAGGAAATCTTGGCAAATGCATCACAACACATCTCTTCCTCAGCATGTGAAAGGAATCTATGCAAATCACGATGATGTTTCTTATCGCTCTTCATGGCCATTTGCGAAGACTCGAGTGATAAACCAGGAAGCATTTACTTGGCATCAGCTGGTAATTGGATCATTTCGCAATGCACGAAGCCTGTGAAATCGGTGCCTCAATTTAGCTCTTTGGCTTCTCTCATCAGAAGTTTGCCCTTCTGCTTGATTTATCTCTAATGAAATAGTCAAAAGGACAACTATTGATTAATTTTCATGACACTTTTCCTTGGATTGTCGAAAGAGCCTCAATTCCAATCTCAATCGTCTATCGAGTCAGTGGCGATAAGAAGAGGCTCAAGAGCCCAACATTCACATGCTTCAAGCATGCTCCTATTCTCCGAGTTAATCACGTTCAGGCGACCGTCACGTGTACGAATGAAAACACTGGTTAGACATGAAAGTGGGTCTGTGGAAACATTTTGGCTTTTTGCCGCCCAGACGAGGGGCATTTTTAATCAATTTCTAGTCCAAAAGTCTCTTCTCCCTTGATAAGATTTATGCAGATATTTCGTAATAATCATTATTTACTAATAATATTTTTAATCATCTGACAAATTGACAGTGTGGATTTGACTTCCTGTCGATGGAAAAATATTTACAAGCAGATTATTATTTATTTATTGAACATTTTCTTAAACAAAAAATCTTATCAGAGTGTTGTGAAGAATTAGATTTAATTATTATTGGCACGAGTTTCTATGAAGAAAGTCGCTTAATCTTAAGAAGACGAAATTCAGAAATGTTTAGCGAGAAATTTTTGATGTTTTTGTGTAAAATAATTATGCTTTATGAAATTATGATTCACTAATTTGAGATCTTAAATACTGAAGCTCTTCAAAATCTTGACTGAAATTTATCTTGTGTCTGCTGATAAGGCGAAGTCGCTCGAGCTGTTGGCCCCTGGGCTGACTTCTCTTATCAGCCGACCGAGAGAGTGTGCCAGAAGAGCGCCGAGAGAGGCAGCCAATCCTCCCGAAAAGTGTGTGCTCACGATGCCGTGACGTCACGAGGCGTGAGTATAAAAGATGATGCTTCCGAGCCGATGGGCATTCACTTGTGCGCGTCAGGCAAGTGCTGAAGACCAGCCCCACGCCAGTGGGAATTTCCTCTGCTGCTCAACGTGTTTGTGACTTCTCGCCGAGGATGAGCTCCTTCCAGATGGCCGAGGACCTGTGCAAGGCCGACACTATCAAGCTGCGGAACAGGCATATTGGGTGAGTGCGAAGTGGCGCCAACGCAGAGGAGGCCATGGAAAGTTACATCACGCCGTGTCTTTGCAGGAAATCGTGCCAACTGTTCTACAAAGGCGCCCCCCTGAAGATCGTCCGCGGCCAGGGGCAGTACATGTACGACGAGGAGGGGACGCGGTACTTGGACTGCATCAACAATGTTGCACACGGTGAGACGCATTTTCTCAATTTGCCCGCCGTTATAGGCCACTTCCTCTGACGCACGCAGGCCCATGTCATTGACAGAGGGCAAACAATTTGACTCCCTCCGCCATTGTCTCGGCCAAAGAGCCCCAATTTGTTGCTAATATCGATAAGAAGTCTCATTACTCTCTCAATTCCACACTCATCTCGCGGTCGCCATGAAGGGATGGGGCTGATTTATTACTCTTCCTTGTTGACGACGCAATTGGTGATGTCACGCTCTCGGCACACGCGTAAACAATGATTTCGGATTCCGCCCAGAGACTCTGGCTATCTAGTGTTATCAATGTGAATCTCATAAATATTTGTCAAGTGATATTATTAGGCGAGAGAGCTTTTATTTACTTTAAAAATAGAACGTGAATCAAATTGAAGTGGACAAATTATTAGGCTTGTTGTTTGGGATGGAAATGTTTTTGCGATTTAAGCTGAGGATGAAAGTTCAGCTTCATTCTTTGTAATTAAATTTTTGGTACATTTCTGAAGATAGAAAGGTGAAATAAATCACTCCACTTCAACAAACTGAGAGCTCAGTCACTCTCGCGTCAACTGAGCAAATATGTGCATAAATTCACATAGCTGTAATACCGAGTAAACACAAGAACGTGGCTTTATTTTTAATATATCCCAAAATACAAATAATTTGCAAATGTAGCAGAAAAGCAGAAAATTTCCCTATACAATCTTTTATCGTTTTTCTCTACGCTCCCTTGTCACCAATGGCGTGTCGACAATGCCAACTGGCGATCGCGATGTTTGGTGATCATTTTATCACTGTGATTACCATTGCGATGAGCCGTGCGGGGGTCGAAAGGGCACAATGGAGGCACTCAGAGACGGCGTGCTCCCTCCGCTCTGCACGTGATTAACTCTTGCAGCTTGTGCAACTCAAAACGTGGTTCGGTCGTTCGTTATCAGGCCCTATGTTTGCTCACTCAGTGTATATTTAATGAAAACTGTGTGTCGTTAATACTGTCAGCAGCTGCCTGAGTGGGTCCGGAGTGGACATTGTGGATGTGAGGGCTATTTTTGTACTTTCAGATCGTCTCTAATTCCCTCTAATCGCCACTCTCATGAGACAATTCTCTTATCGTCCCAACACTGAGTAATATTGAATTGTCACCATGTTTCTCTGTCATGATTCCTCATTTGACTCCCCATAAATTGATGAAGGTGTGTCTTGATGTTCGCACTCAACAGAGGACAGTTAAATTGTATAGAAAAATTGCTTTCTATGCATAATGCGAAAGACTTATAGAATTATCCAGATAATAGCTCTTAAAACGGGAATTTTTAATCATTTTTAGACTTCACGTTCAGCTTGATACCAACGAAATTGAGTTTGTTCGTGTTTTAGCAAAACCTTGATCAAGTTGATTTTCGAGGAAATCTAAGAGATTAATCGTCTAATCAATAAATGTCACTTACAATTGGATGAACAATCCAGGTCACAAGTCTAAAGGTACAATATTGTAATCAAAATTGAGTATATTCCGTAATTGATGTTGCGCCTCGCATTTAAAGTCCATTTTCCGCGACTCTCTCTTCACGCTCACTTCACGTGCTATCAGTCGCGGTGAGAGCAATTATTTGCTAGTGTCTGATAATTGTTTGATTGTCATCTCCTTGTTGATTCGCCCTCCGCCCCCGCACGCGTGCTCAAACAGCCGTTGACAGGATCTGTGGGAATTTTCCCACTCTGTGGCGTTGCACCATAACTGAATTAGTCTCTGCATTTTCCAGTGGGACACTGCCATCCGCGCGTTGTGGCGGCCGGCTGTCGCCAGATGGCCACTCTGGCCACCAACAATCGCTTCCTGCACGACGAGCTGGTGCGGTGCGCCCAGAGGATCGCTGACAAGACTCCCGGCGACCTGTCCGTGTGCTTCTTCGTCAACTCCGGATCGGAGGCCAATGATTTGGCCATGCGTCTGGCGCGGGCGGCAACGCAGCAGCGAGACATCATCACACTGGATCAGTGAGTATATTTTAGCGTATTTTGCCCTCCTTCATCAGTCTTATCAGCTAATTTTACGCGCGACCTTTTCGCGATAGCGAGCAGCTGTTTTTTGCCTTTCGCTCTTCATTGTAAATTTCTCTTGATAACCGCGGAGTTGTTTTGTCGTCGAAAGATGCGCCTTGTGTCATGATAAATTAAGTTTAGGAGCACTTTGACAATCAGGAAACCAATATTTATACTTTTAAACCTAGTTTAACGAGAGATAAATTATCAACTAACGAGTAGTCTTTTCCTCTGTTTCTTCATCATCCCCATCGCCATTCTTAGAGGCTAAAACAAGGTTTCTTGTAGCGCCTACCACGGCCACCTGATATCCACCATGGAGATCTCGCCGTACAAGTTCAATCAACCCAATGGAGACCCGAAGCCGGCCTACGTGCATGTGGTAAGCTAGTCTCGCAGCCTGTCTGCGAAGAAATCCCGTCAATTGAGACCTCCTCCATCCCCAAAACAGGCTCCACCGCCGGACACCTATCGTGGCCGGTACACGAGCCGGAAGCACTCTGACGATGAACTGGCACAGCTCTATGCTTCTGAAGTTGATGAGATTATTGCCAAGATCAAAGCTGAGGGACGCGGCGTGGCGGCATTCATTGCCGAGAGTCTTCAGAGTTGCGGTGGGCAAATCATCCCACCAAAGCAGTACCTGGGCAATGTCTACAAGTGAGATTTCCTCCATGTCGCACTGTCTGCTGTTGTAACTGATATTTATGCTCTCTTTCCAGGGCCGTGCGAGAGGCTGGCGGACTGGTGATTGCTGATGAAGTGCAGGTGGGATTTGGACGCGTTGGCACGCACTTCTGGGCTTTCGAGCAGCAGAACGTAATTCCAGACATTGTGACAATGGCTAAGCCCATTGGCAACGGTTATCCAGTGGGAATAGTGATAACAACACCCGCGATTGCAGACGCATTCGCTTCCAGCGGAATCTCCTACTTCAATACAGTAGGAAAACACTTAAATTCTCCTTTAGACAGTTGCCTTATTATCTTCTTTTCTTTCAGTACGGCGGAAATCCCGTTTCGTGTGCCATTGTCAATGCTGTTCTGGATGTCATCGAGGGTGAGGGTCTCCAGGACAACGCCCTGAAAGTGGGTCATCATCTGATTGAGCAGTCAAAGATGTTTGCGTATGACTTTGATCTGGTTGGCGATGTTCGAGGGTCGGGATTGTTCTTGGGCATTGAGTTGATCAGGAACCACGAAACTCTGGAGCCTGCCACAGATGAGGCGACTTTTGTGGTGAACAGGATGAAGGATTTGCACCATATTCTCGTGAGTCAGGACGGACCCAACAACAATGTCATCAAGCTGAAGCCTCCGATGGTGTTCAACATTGAGAATGCTGATGAATTTCTTCTCGCCTTCCGCGAATGTCTCAACACACTCAAAGCGATGGAGCAGAAATCGTCAGAAGTGACTGGACAAACCACCATTGTTTGCACAAAGTCAGAAGCGAAGATCCTCAAGACGTCAGAGGTTTTGATAAAAGGAGTGTAAAAGATCGTATTATTGCTTAGTGTATAAGAAAATCCTAGCATTAGAATCTTGAGAATTCACCTATTTCTATTGTATGCATGATATTCCAGAAGAAACTTTGTCTTTTAAGCTCCTCCTGCTGATAAAGGATGTGCAAAGATGTTATTGTATGAGAATATTAAAAACAGAAGAGTACGTTTCACTGATTAAAATCGATTTGTATGATTTGCCATCTGTCCCACTCAGATAAAATGATGTGTCTTGATTCTCCTGTGCAAGCTAAAAATTTGCGGTTGGTAGTTTGGCATGGGAAAAGCATGATATTTCACTCTTTATCACTCCTTCTGATAAAATGGGTGTGCAAAGAAATTATAATATGAGACTGTGGAAAAGAATGTGTTTATCAAATGCTGTGAAAGTCTGTAAAAAGTACTACCGGTTTCCCACAAAGTCGCTTAACGGAAATTGTCTGTGGTGATGCAGACGATATTCAGGCTAGCAAAGTGTCCTCCAGCAGATCATCGCCAGTGTTCTTTCGTTTCTCTCACTGTGTAGTCCATCAATCAATTTGTCCCTTTTTTGCCTCATTAAAGTGTTTCCGCGTGGATTTTTCTCAAGACGGAGTGGAGGCAGTGTGGATCGAGATGAAAATGTAAGTGGAAAATTGCATTCTACCGAATTTTCCCGCAGAAAATCTGAAAAAAAGTGACGCGAATGATGAACCGCGTGGTAATTCTTGAGTGCGAACACGTTTTTTCTCATGAAGTGATTTTTAAGGACCTTTTAACCGGGAAATTTGTGAAAAACGCTAGGAAATATTGCAGATTACTGTTAAGCATCGCAAAGTTTCTCTCTTTTTCATAGAATTCTTTCACAACTTTTCTCTAAGAATGTTGGAAAATTCACCAGCATTAGAGTTTTTTTTTAGTTTTTTTATAATGATTTTGAGGGCTTTCCAACTTCTTAAGGCAGAAATCTATTGTCAAATAGTGCACAAATAATGTGAGCAAAGAAATTGATGACTAACTATTGGTGATAAGAAAAGTAGAGTAAACCTGTTTTCAGAGAGTCATAAATGCAGTCTTTTCAATGTTTGCAAAGGCGCAGTGAGCAAAAAACGATGTAACCTAGAGCCATTAGGCGTACTCACTGCATCACTTTTTATCCTTTTTATTGTTTAATTTCAATGTTCAACTTAAAATTTATGCAATAATCGTAATTTTTCATTCCAATTTTCTAGCTCCACCATTCAAAACACTCTTCTAGGATCAGCTCTTATTTTCCTGCTGTATTTTCCGAATTTTGCGGCCTCAGACGCCGATTGCTCAAAATCTGATCAATATCTCTGTGATAATGGTGAGTAACGTCGTAATATGTTGTATTTTCGATGCCAATTTGAGCCTTGTTGAATTGTAGGCGAATGCATTAAGAAGCAGGCCATGTGCAATGGAAAGGTAGATTGCGCGGATGGCAGCGATGAGATAGATTGTGACCGGAAGCAGTGTCTGATGCCCAATTGGTTCCGCTGCAAGGATGATCAGTGCATCAGCTCCTCTTTCCGCTGCGACGCACACGAAGATTGTCGCCACGGAGAAGATGAGGACTTCTGCAAGGACTTCCAGGCACATCACACACCGGCGAACTGTACTGCCTTCGAGTGGCGATGCTCCGACATGATGTGCATCCCGAAGGAGTTGGTCTGCAATGGTTACCACGACTGTTTCGATAACTCGGACGAGAATGTTGGCTGTGATGGCATCAACAGCACTTGCAAGGGATTCCTCTGTCGGAATGGCCACTGTCTGGAGAGCAGAAAGTGGCAGTGTGACGGTGTCAACGATTGTGGCGATGGCAGCGACGAGGACAATTGCGAAGGAAAGTGCAGTTTGGAGTTCCAGAAATTTAAATGTAAAGATGGAAGTGCTTGTCTCACCCTGGATAAGGTCTGCAATAATGACACGGATTGCAAGGATGGCTCAGATGAAGGTGGACTGTGCAAAAACAGTAAGTTTCTTGATATGTTACGAGTATTGCTTTATTGTTAATGTTTTATTTTCTTCCTTTAGCCACTCTCTGTGATAAATTAAATTGCCCAAGACGCTGCAAGGTGTATCCTAACGGCCCCCAATGTCTGTGTCCAAATGGATACTACTACGACGTCCATTCCAACACGTGCGAAGACATTAATGAATGTGACATCTTCGGGCATTGTTCCCAAGGCTGTATAAACAGTAAAGGTTCCTATCAATGCACTTGCGTCGATGGCTTCCGACTCAAAAGCGACAATCGCACGTGTGTTGTGTCCAGCGGTGACGCCCTGATGCTCTACACCACGCAACGTTCCATTCGCGGCTATCACCTGAAGTCACAAGTGCAGACTGTGGTGGCGATGAATATGTCCCTGGTCATTGGAGTGTCATACGATGGGCATTGGGTGTTCTGGACAGATCTTAGCCTGAAGGCGGAGAGGATCATGCGAGCCAGGGATGATGGAAGCCAGCGTGAAACCTTGCTGAGCACAGGCCTCGGTTCACCTGAAGATGTCAGCGTTGACTGGCTCACTGGGAATATCTATCTCACGGACAGTGAGAAGATGCACATCTCGGTGTGCTCCATCGCGGGCCACTATTGCACAAAGCTGATAGAGAAGAACATCCACAAGCCACGAGGAATAGCCCTTCATCCCAGGCTTGGTGTCATGTACTGGACAGACTGGGGAGCGAAGCCTCAAATTGGAGTGGCCGCGATGGACGGAGCAGGAGCGAGACCATTTGTGGACAAGGACATTCATTGGCCCAATGGACTCACGATTGACTGGCCCAACGGGAGAATCTACTGGGTAGATGCCAAGATCAGGCACATTGAGAGCATCAAGCTCAACGGCGAGGACCGCAGGGTAATTCTTAGAGATGTGGTGAAACATCCCTACGGAATCGCTGTATTTGAGGACAACATATACTGGTCTGATTGGAATACCAACTCAATTCAGACGTGCAATAAGTTCACGGGAAAAGATCACACTCTTGTGCTTCACAGCAGACACATTTACGACATTCACATCTACCATCCGGCAACTCAGCCCAATGAGAAACATCCTTGCTATGGCAATTCGTGCTCACATCTTTGTCTCCTGAGCCACAATCAGACTTACACTTGTGCTTGCCCGACGGGAATGGTCATTTCCACAGACAAAAAGAATTGTGTTGATTCATCCGACAAGCACTATCTCATCCTTGGGGTGGGAAATTATCTGGTTACACTTGAGCATCAAGAATTTGGTAGATATACAACAGGAGTTGGAGATGATATCAACACAGTGATTAGTGAACTTGTCTACAACTCTCTCACAGGTGAGCGTTAATTGTTTAGTGTTTGGTAGAAGACAGGTCTCAATACTTTACATTTCTCTCAATTCCAGGAAACGTAGTTATAGCCAGCAATGTTGAGAAAAAAATCTACACTGTTAACTTCCGAACGAAAGAAACGAAAGAACTTTTGAAGAGTGGGATAGGAAATATCTCTAGTTTAGCTTTTGGTAGGTTTTTCAATCTACATAATGCATGAAAATATTCTCTACCTGCACTGTTTCACTTCTTTCCAGATCATTTGAGTAATAATCTGTACTGGACTGACGTCGAGCGAGGAACCGTGGAAATCTACTCATTCAACAGCAAACATCGGGCCATTGTGCAGCATTATATGGGCAACGAAAAGCCAACGGCAGTGGCCGTTGTCCCGGAGATTGGGACGATGTTTATCGCTCTGCAGGACATCAGCGGACACATTCACATAGACAAGCAACTCTTGCATGGACGAGGTGTTCACACTCACGCCATTGAGGAAGATATTGGCGTTGGCGGAAAAGTCTCCTTCGCTATCGATACAGAAGTTGAGTCTTTGTTCTGGGCAGACGAATCTGGCGATAGAATCGAATTCACGAACTTCGACACAGACATTCGTCACATATTCAGAGGAAACCTGCGAAATCCGGTCTCGATCACGACAATTGGGAATAATGTTTTCTGGACTCAGGCGAAATCCGCTAAGGTTTACTGGGCTGATAAGAATAACGTACAAGTCATCCAAAGAATTCCACTCGAGAAGCCGACATTTGGACTGTTCCCTGACAGAATTCCTCTGGCCAGAGCCAGCGCAATAATGCAGACATCTGATCATGTCTGCATGAAGGGCAACGGAGGATGTTCACATATCTGTGTGTCAATGGGCAGGACGTCCAATGCTTGCGTGTGTCCGCCAGGAATGGTCTTCAAGGACTTCACCAATATGACCTGCATTGAGACTTTCGATTGTGAATTCCGCTGCGGAAGTGGCGAGTGTAAAACCTCCTCTAGAGTTTGCAATGGACACGCAGACTGCGCCGATGGCTCAGACGAAGCCAAATGTGAGGAGAAGGATTTCCGGAAGAAAGGCGTCAAGTGTTCATTCGATGAGTTCCGATGCTCTGACGGAAGCATGTGCATTTCTCAGGAGAATCGCTGTGATCTCAACAGAGACTGCTCAGACGGATCAGACGAAGAAGATTGTGTTCACTACGAACACAAGTCCAAATGCCATCGTCTTCAGCACGCCTGTCCGGATGGGATGTGCATTGACGTTACTGCACTCTGTGATAGCATTAAGGACTGCACAGATGGGTCAGATGAGGTGAATTGTACGCAACCTGAGAAAGCGGATCTCTGTGACGTCTCCAAGGGAGCGTTCAAGTGCATTTCCGGACAGTGTATCGATGCGAACTGGGAGTGTGATGGTTTCGTAGACTGCAATGATGGATCTGATGAACATAATCGTTGTCCAACTGAGGGGATGAAGTGCGCTAACGGATTTCGACAGTGCGCTTCCGGACATTGCATTGACTCCAGACTCTTCTGTGACGGACATAATGATTGCGAGGATTCGTCAGATGAGATAGACTGCAATGTACCAACGCTAGATATTTCCAAGGTGAGAATCTTTTGTTCTTCCAAAGATTGCGAAGAGTGTAAATTTCAATCTCACCTTTTCTTTCCCGTAGACTGAATGCGGCGACGGAATGGACACAACGAAGGTCTTCCAATGTGTGTCTGATCCTAACATTTGTCTCAATCTCACCTCTCGCTGCGATGGATTTGCCGATTGTCCTCGCGGAGAAGATGAATTTGGCTGTTCGAAGTGCAGCGCTCATGAGTTTGAATGCGGCAACAGTCGCTGCATCCGCCTTGAATGGGTGTGCGACAAAGAAGATGATTGCGGAGACAAGAGCGACGAAGTGAATTGCTCCATCAAAGCAACGGCACATCCTTCGGGCGCCTCGAGGCTGCTGTGTCGAGATGATATGTTCCACTGTCGAGATAACGCCTGTATTGAGTGGCATGCGGTGTGTGATGAGAAACCGGACTGCAGCAATGGAGAAGATGAGTCGCCTTCCTGCAAGACAGCCTGTGAAAAACATCCCTGTGATCATAAGTGCACACCCTCGCCTAGTGGTCCTGTCTGCTCCTGCCAAGTTGGCTACACTCTGGCTGGAAACAAGAAGGACTGCCTAGACATTGATGAATGCAAGGAGTACAATCCCTGCGCTCAAAAGTGCTTCAACACGGCGGGATCCTTCAGATGTGGATGCAATCCTGGCTTTCTCTTGCGCTCCGATAAAACCACGTGCAAAGCGACCGGAGGCAGCAAGTACATGCTGTTCACATCCTACAATCAGATCCGAAAACTCACGCCTTACCCATCACGGATGAGCATTGAGTGGTCTGTGAATACCACAAAGATCACCGGATTGGATGTGAATGTGCAAAAGCACAGCTTGTACATTTCACTCAGTGAAGCTTCCGCCCTGTTCCAGATCAACATCAAAAATCATACGGTGAAGTATGTGCAAGATGTTGGCGCTCCGGATCGTCTTGCTGTGGACTGGGTGACGGACAATGTGTATTTTATTGATAACAACGGTGTTCCGTCGGTGAAAGTGTGCCATATGCAGGACAAGGCTTGCGCCAGGATCATCAAATTCAAGTCCAAGGATCATTTGAGAGATGTGGTCGTTGATGCTGTAAATCGAGTCATGTTTATTTCCGTGATTCACACAGCTCTTCTGGGCATTTCGGATTCTGTCGTCTATCGGGCCAATCTGGATGGGAGTCATCTGGAGAAGATTGTCCCGAATGCGGTACAAGTGTCTTCCCTTGCGCTGGATCCTAGCAAGAAGATCTTGTACTATGCTGACTTTGGCGCCAATTCAGTCCACTCGTGTGCCTACGATGGAAGCGAGGTGAAGACTCTGGTGAGGAATAATGCAGCTGTGGCTCAGCCCATTGCCATGACCTTCTTCGAGGATCACCTGTACGTGACTAACTTGGGCAAAACCACGGTGGCCCAGTGCCGTGTCTTCGGTGATAAACACTGCAAGCTGGTCAATGTGAATGTCTTCAATGCTGAGGAGATTGTCATTGTTCAGGAGTCTCGCCAGAGGAATGCTTCTAATGTCTGTGCTGCTCATCAATGCTCACATATCTGTGTCCAGGCGGATCTTGGCGCCAAGTGTCTCTGTCATGGAGGATCTCAAGTGAATCCAGGTATATATTTCATGCACTTTCGCCAAATTTCTCCAGACTTGAGCGTCAATTTCTATGATAATTTCAGGGGAAAATTGCGACGGGCTCGATGCTGAGGACTCACAGCTGATGATGAGCAATTTCGTTAATGCACCTGACGATGGAAACTCTTCAAATCTCCCAGGGCGAGTCACGCTGATCGTCTTTACAGTCCTCGGGCTGCTCATGATGGTCTCCTTCGTCGCCTACAAGAAGCGCTATCAGCTGAAGAATCTCAACATCAGGTACTTCAATCCGCTGCGGATTTATGGCGCAAATTTATCATGTTCACTCCCCCCTCGCAGCATGTACTTCCAAAACTCATCAGCCACAACCAGTCAGGCCCCATTGGTAAAAATGTGCGGTGCACCGACTGTTGTCTCCACGGACACTCACAATGAAATCACACTGGAGGTTGGCGATAAGGTATGAGCGATGATCCTCGCGCTTCTCAATGGATGAAATATTCCATCCTGTGCGACTAACGTATAAAAGTTTTATGATTGCAGAGACAATTTCACGGCATGACATCGAACGCTTTTGACGATTCATGCTCATTCGACGAGATTGACGATAACCCAAAAGCTAAACTAATCAATTGATTTTCACTGCTCTCAAGACGCTCAAGAGCACTGAAGAATCATCATCATCCATCTCACCACGCATCATTTAATGTTAGATTCTTCCCCAGCATGTTTTACATGTTATTCACACGGGTCATACATAGATAGGTCATTATTAGAATATGTAAAAATCAGTTTACATAAGTTCCTGTAAGGGAAGAATATTATTGTTGTTAAATTGTATTATCCATCAGTATATTAGGTTGAGTAATAAATGTATTCATAAAGTCCATTTGTGTGACATTTCCAAATCGAGCACAATTTTCACACGAGTTGAGGCTTTTAAACTTTTAACATTCGCTTTAAACGTTTCTTTCTGAATCTAAAGCACCTCTCATGCTTTCTGGAAAATGAGTACTTTTCTCCTTGCCAGACTTTGTGTAACTCACGTGTATTTTGACGAGAGAAAAGGAAAAGATGTTAGTATTTTCCCCACCAGAACGGTGCTGTGGAGCAAAAGGAAAGCACTGCTCAGTGGGTGGATGTCGTGAAAGGAAGCGATTCGTCTTTGGTAGTGAGACAGATTGAAAAATTGCTAGAGTTTTGGCAATTCCATTGGGACATGCTATATTTGGGTGAGAGAGAAAAAGTCGAGGCTTTCACTCACGCCTCACCCTCCCCGTGCAACGGTGGCATTTCTCACCCGCCACGGCGAATTATGTGAGTGACGAGGAGAGTCTGCTGTGGCCCAACTGTATTTATTTACACGAGATAAGCTGCAGAGACAGTGGAGAGTGCGGGGAGTGATGAATAGGCAAAAGTTTCTTGTTAAGAAATCGGTGACAAATTAAGATTTTATCGCCACAATTGGTGAGTGGGTTTCAATGAGATTCTCATCGATCGTCATGAGACGAGATGAAATATTTCCCAGGAAATGCACATGATTGTCGAGCGTCACTTGTCGCGCTTTGGGAGATTTCCTGAGATTCTTGCTGTGGAAGCTCATTAAAGCGGCTTGACTCTGGCTAAATGGCCAATAATTTTCTGGCTTTATCTATGAAATTACTATTAATTTGCTTGTTTGTCCATTTTATGTTTAACCATTACTGAAATTTGTGAAAGCATGACAACACTTTTCCCATGGTTTTTCCGCTCTGATTCGCCCATTAAGGGGAATGCGGAGAATCTGGAAGAGAATGCAACTGATGGCTAAATCCTAGGATATGATGTGACTGAGCTGCAGCGGTGGTCGTGGGGATGAGCATAAATAATGGTCTGGCGATGGGAACAAGTGAAGATCATTAGAAGATTATCCTAGTCTGTGGTGCATGGAGACAATTAAAAATCCGTGAGTTTGCCACCACGAGTGAGACGCTGTGGAGCAAAGTGGGGAGAAAATTGATGAGGACCCCACAGAGACACACATTTGCAGTGGAGAATATGGATTCAGCGTCTTCCTCGGACCGCGGAGGATGAGTGCGAGCGAGCCACAATGCACGTCCTTTGCCAACTTCCAGAGAAACAGAAGCTCACACAGTTCCGAGGCATCGTCATCTTCATCCATCTCACGACTTACTCTCATTTATTAATTCACAATATATATCGCTTTGCTTCAGCCACCGTGCATGTCGCGCTTCCAATTCCCTCCTGCACTCCTGCCTTAATTAATTAATTAACTCCGTGACAGATAATTATTTGCATAAATTGTTAGGGACGCACACGCTGGACAAAAAATAGCCGCACTGAATAAGAAATATCCGGCACAATATTATATCTATTTTGGACACCGCGAAAAATTCGCGGAAGGGGTGAATAAATTTGCAGGAGGGATTTTTTGCTGCGCTTCTGCGGAATTTCAATGGATCCATTAATTCATTATTTTGTCCTGCAGTGTGTGAGCGATGAAAAGATTGCTCTTAATTGTTACCAGTGATGATAAATTACGCGTCACACACCATTAGGACATTTTCTCGTAATTTATCATAGCCGCAATGCAAAGAAAAGACGAAAGCTTTGCACGAAAAGCTTTGAACAGGTTTTTTCAGGTCGGATTTCTTCCTGAATTGTGAAAATAAATTCAAACGCTATTGATTATCTCATTTGCGGGTCGGCCAAGTTCGTCCAGAGACTGCAAGTAATCGAGGCCTCTGAATTAATTGGTCAATTAATAAAACCTCAAGTGTTAATTGTTATTTCAACAGCCTGTGATTCATTGCAGACTCTTTAATATTTACGCCCTCACTTAAGCGCTCTGCAGAGAAATCTATTGCTTGCAATGACTGCGAGTGAGGCTCTTAATATAGAGGCTCCAATTCTTAATTGCACCCTGACATCGAGTGCCATCCATTTGCCGGAGCATGTGCGGAGTGTCGCAAAAGAATGCGCGTGTAAATAAAGTCGCGGTGAGGTAATTAAAGAAGCCACGTGATTGAGGAGGACACTTGAATGCTCTGTGTGTCCTCGAGAAATGCGTGCTGCCTTATCTCACCTTCTCGTCTTCGCATGCTTCTCCTGGATGCTGCCTTAATTTAATTCAATTTGCAAATCACGGGCCTGCGATCGCCGGGAGGCTTATGGGCGACGAGTGTGTGGCATTTCGCCCTGGGATGTGTGTTGATTTCTCCCACATGACGTTGGCTTTTTCGCAGGAAATCTCATGGTAAGCCACCGACGATCTCAATTCCAACGTCGCGCGTTGACTCTGCAATGTTGGCAGTTGTCTTGAATTACATTAAAAGGAATAGTTAGTGACAATTTTTCCACAATATATACCTTCTCCATCCGTGCGAATGCGAAATTGCAGGGTTCACAAATTCCCCAGGGGTCTTCCAGGAAATTATGATTTCGCTGCGAGTGCGCGAGATTGAGTTGTTTTGTGTATTATGCTGATGATCTCAGCTTCTCAGGCCCAAAGTGTTGATCAAACTAATTATCTTTGAGATGCTGTGTGGTGTCAATGAACCATACGTGAATGACTGTCACTGATTGGGCAGAATTAAGTCTTGCAATTCTCTTGGCCATCCCTCGTCCGGAGATTTGTGGATGCCACCTTGAGCCTATTTAGCATTAACCGAAGATCTCTTGTCCATTTCCTGAGAACTCCATTGCGACTCATTCAGTCAAATCGACACCGCAGCATCTCATGTGCATGACCAACTCCATTATTATCAGCTGCTGCTCACAGACCCGCGAATAATCTTGCGCTTCCTCGCATTTGCCACTCAGCTTCTCTTCCCGAGGACATTTCGCCAGACGAGCAGCTGCTTGCAGGAGCTGGGATTCATTCGTGGTCAATGAGAGGCGATAGAGCATTTGAAAAGTCTTCAAATCCTATTGCATTTTCAGTGTCTGCTTGAAAACATGCGAATTAATGTTGTGCTTCATTTCTGATTTCCGAATCTACTGCCCGTGAGACGATTTGACAAATCCGTCTTTCTCGCATGATTGCAGAAGCCCTGGAATATGTGAAATTCTTCCACTAGACCTTGCCGCAGCATCTTCTCATAGCTGCAACACCCACGAACGGAGAGAACATCCAACCATAGAAAAAAGACCACGCGAATTCTCTGCACACCACTTGGCGCGCGGTGGTCTTTTTTAGTCACACTCAGAAATTTTTACAGGTAGCCAGTCAAAGGAACAAAGTGTCTCATGTTCAGATGCATCAATTTAATCTAGATCGGTTGCCGTTTTATTGTCCGGCAGCTCGATGGCACTTTTTTGTTCCACACCCATCGAGGGTATTGTGTGTAAAACAATTTTCTCATGGGTGTTTTATTTGAAATTTATCACCGTTGTGAAGTACCGCAATCGCTTTGATTGGATTTTGATGACATCAAAATCTCTCAATTGCTCTTCTTTTTGCCCAGCTCTTCCGCTTGTTCGCCCAGTTGTTTATCCACAACCTCCCGCCCGCCGCCCAACTGCCGCCCCGTCGGCAAATGCAATATTTTACCATCCGTCAATCTCGGGGCGCTCTCTCTGCACAATTGTGCATCCATGGTGCAGCCGATTCGCCACCCCGGGGCGGAGTGGGAGCCCAAACCGCACACGTCAACCCCAAATTGCCCCGCTCCACCCCCCACGTCACTTTTCACTATTGTTCACTAATCGAGAGTGAGTGGTGTGTGTATTATTCACACCGCGATTGGGGTAAATTGCACAGTCAATTTGGTGTATTCAATACGAGCAATTAGGCTTCGCTTTGCAACTCACCCGCGTAATCACTCAGCGAACAGTGTGCCATCCTGAATCGTCTTTTTGTCTGCCACCGGTGCACCAGAAGGTGTCAAAGAGGGCAATTTCAATCAGATCGCTCAATTGGAGATGCTCAACTGTCGATGAACAATCTAAATAATAACTGTGAGAAATGAATTGAGCGCGGTCTTATCGAACTTAGTAGAATCACCTATAGAGGTAACTCTCCGCATTTGGCTATCAATTTACAAAAAAAAGTATGCGTAATTCAACGATGGCAGTAAATTTTTATACGACTGTATTATCAAAACCATTAAATTAGCTTCTATGAGCTGTCTCAGAGGTCGCATTGTAATAAAATTTTGCCCGTAAAATCTCTGTGTCTCCACCCTCTGAATCCACCCTCATTTATTGCCATTTTGGCTGGTCGTTACTGGATACCTGATAAATCTTGAATCAAGCGCAGCACACAAAGCACTCAGAAGTTGACAAATTTTTCTCACACGATCATCTCTCTCATGCACTTCTCAGTCGTGATGATTTTTAAGTGTCTCCACCATTAGAATAAATTAATTTTATACTTCCCTTATTAGCCTAAAAGCTTTCGCTATTAGTGACTTCTTTTGCATATTTGAGACATTTTGCGGAACGCCTCTCGATAGTCGCACGTTCCGTGGCTATCATTTGGTCTCTATTTGTATGGATGATATGTTTTCTGGTTGTTTTGCGAGCAAATGCCATCGAGATTCTTCAGGCACGCTGATGGATTGATTGCGCTGGACGAGGCGGAGAGAATTGGCTGGGTTGGCGCTAAGGATGAGTGGTCTCTTCGGTCTGTGGCAGGCGTATGAATTGGGGCGACGCCGAGGGATGAGATTGCCACTCGAAAAAGCCCTCACAATTCCATCCATCGAGACTACCTGCTGTGACTGCGGTGAGCTTTGCCTGTGTGTGCTTTTGGGGGGGAAGTTTGGTCGCCCCGAGATGAATGTCTGTGCACATGACCTGACTTGACCCCGGCGGAGACGCGTAGGTTATAGAGAAGCCGATACTTTTCGGCAGGGGAGGCTCCAGTTGTTGTGTGTGCTCACAA